GCTAGTAACAGTACTGTGAATATCCTTGCAGTAGATGAAAATACTTTGGAAGAAGCTGACGCAAATCAACACAGTACATTTATAATATACTCGATCACTATGATTTCTGCCGCCATTCTGGGGATGATCAAGTCCTATGCCAACTTTGATTTTTCAAGAAGAGCTTCTATCAACATACACAAAGCTATGGTTACAAATATATCACAAGCAGTGATGGCATTTTTCGATTCCCATTTCATTGGGAACATTCTAAATAGATTTTCTCAGGATTTGGTTAATATTGATGAGCATCTACCCTTTGTGCTTAGCGAATGCTTCAGGGTAAGTACGTATATTGAGTTATTTTCCGTCCAGATTTATCAACTGAAAAACTATAAACATAACATAGTTATATGTCCAATCTCCCTGAAATGATATTATTCGTACTTCTCCTCAAAAATCACACATCTGTCCAGAAATAGAAATATTTTCGAAATATCAAAAAAAGTTTAAGCAGATTTTCTTATTGATTCTGTTACGTTATTGGTGGGAAGATGTGAACACCAACACTATTTATTCATGAACAGATTTGCTTAACTTGAAGAAACAATTATTTATTACAAACTTATATTTGCGTGCGGGTATAGGGTGAATCACGCACGCTTGTAGAAAAATAATATCACAATACTTTTCAACAACATATACCCAAATTGACAATTTTTTTTTCAGATTGTATTTTCGATTTTGGGGCATCTGATATTAGTGACAACAGTAAAACCAAGTTTTTTGACTTACATAGTTGCCATTATCATTATCGTACTTGTTATCAGGCGAATGTATCAACCAGCGGGTCGTAGCTTGAAGAGGTTAGAAGCAGCAAGTAAGCAACTATTTTCTATTAGATATAATATCTAGATAATAACTTACTCAAAATTGATTATATTGTTGAATTCTTTAGCATTGACAGCTGAATATTGCTAGTTAGCTGTATACAGGGTGTCAATTTGAAAACTTCCCACCCTCAATATCTCCCTCCAAGTCTATAATATGGAAAAACGAAAAGACAGGTCGATTTTATTTTCGAGGGGGACATGGTTCTAAAATATTTTCAGCCCCGCGGCGTTGCCGCTTCTAAGGAAAAGAAGCAACAACTTTGTTATTTCAAATGGAACACCCTGTATTTTATTGCATTTTTAGATTCTCCCTGAGAAGCTGATTTCATCAATGTAGCACACTTGGGGTCTAGCAGGAATGATTACAGAGATATAGGGTGTTCAAAATCGAGATTTTACAACTTTAGGATTTTTTTGAGTCGAAACTATTCATTATTGGTCAAAACGGCTTTTATGTCCCTATCTCAACTTTTGATTTACTATCTACTGACATTTATTTGAAACAAATACAGGGTGGTTCAAGATTCAGACTTTTGATCATTGATTATGTACAGGTTACATACTCACTACATACCATCACTACATTTACAGTAAGTTTTGAATTTGAGAGAACATTTTTACGACAGTTCATCTATCTTGGATTGTGAAGGCAAAGAAGAATGTAATTCTTGATTGTTAGTTTATTTAGATATTTAGTTGAGCCTCTAAACCTAGCGTAAATGATATCACGTGTCACTACCTCGTAATGAGCACTAAACACTATCATACTGAACACTATCTTGCAGCACGTAGTCCGATGATAGGCCACCTCAACGCTTCTTTAGAGGGCTTAACGACGATCAGAGCTTACAGGGCTGAAAATATACTCATCGAAGAATTCGACAGGCACCAAGATCTTTACACTTCAGCGTATTACACTTCAATCTGTTCGATGCGAGCATTCGCTTTCGTAGTAGACTCCGTGTCTGCAATCTTCGTCATCATAGTAGTCGGAACATTCGTCCTGATGAACAAAGGTAAGCTATCCTTAATGGAGAAGCGAATAACGAGATCTCCGAGCCGTATAACAATAACAACTCGACGATAAATCGACAGTTGCTCTTCCACTCAACTATAATTATTTCATTTCCAGAAAGCAGTGCAGGAGATGTTGGTCTAGCCCTAACCCAAGTTTTTGCCTTGGGAGCCAGTATCCAGTATGGAGTCAGACCGTGGTCAGAACTCGAAAACCTGATGACGTCAACGGAAAGGCTCATGGAGTACACTGAAATCAAATCTGAGAGAAACGATGGTACCGAGCCAGAAAACTGGCCCAGCAAAGGATCAGTAACTTACGAGCACGTTTCGTTGACTTACAATAACAGCGAGACGGTCCTGAAAGACTTGAATTACACTGTGGAACCCCGACAAAAAATCGGCATAGTCGGTAGGACCGGTGCTGGCAAGTCTTCGATTATATCTTCCTTCTACAGACTCTATGAAGTCGAAGGAAGGATTTTGATAGACGGGGTTGATATCAAAACTGTTTCTTTGAAATACCTGAGGCGGAAGCTAGCCATCATTCCTCAGGATCCGGTTCTGTTCACAGGTACTGTTCGTACCAATCTGGACCCGTTCGGGGATTTCAGTGACCAAGAACTTTGGACTGCTCTGGACAAAGTGAACCTCAAAAGTTCTATCACTAGCTTAGACCACCCAACGGCGAGTAATGGCTCGGACTTTAGCTCTGGTCAAAAGCAACTGCTTTGTCTAGCGAGAGCTATTCTTAGGAAAACTAAGATCATCATTTTGGATGAGGCTACTGCAAATATGGACCACGAGACAGATATTCTGCTTAACTCTGCTATTGAAGAAAACTTTGTGGACTGTACCGTTTTTTGCATTGCGCATAGACTGCATTCTATTTTGAATTGTGATAAAGTAATGGTTTTGGATAAAGGTGAAATTAAGGAGTTCGATGATCCAGCGAGGTTACTGGAGAATGAGAACGGTCTGTTTTATCAGATGGTAAGGCAAGCAGGGTTGCTTAACTATCTTAACTGATGTAGAGATAGAGTTGAATAAATTATATTTTTAGATATTATCGCTTCTGATTTTATTTGTGAGTGTGTATGCATTTGAAGGTGTGAAATTGTCAAATGAATTTGAAACTAGTACCTACAGAAGGGAGGTGTTCCCCGAGGCATATAACCTCCAGAAATTTAAGAAGAACATCAATTCCTACCTCATTTCGCTTGGTTCTCACGATGTTCTCTGAACATTACAGGATATCCCTTTTCGTGGGAACCAGAACATAAAAAAAAAGTTGAAATAAAAATCAAACATACCGGTCGTGCATAAAATATTGTATGTATTTCGGACGTAACTTGATTTTATGGACCTTTAGGCGTGTTCATACTAACTTATACCCTACGGTCCATAAAAGCCTATTTCACGCCCTTGATACATAAATAACTGTGTCCTTCGACCTCTACAAAAAATCACATTTTATGTTCTAATTTCTGAACGAAAAACCGACTATTTCCGAAGGCAAGTACTTTTTGTCCGCAGACACGAAGTTTTTGTCCACAAACACTTTTCGTTCGCTGCAGGGTTCCAGTTTTACTGAATGTTCAGTAGATCTTCTGATTTGCATATTGATATACTGATCTACTGAAACATTTTATAATCTATTAAAACATATTTTTATTTTCATTTATTATTATATAATTACCAATATTATTATGAATCTTTGGTTAATCTAATACACTTATGATTTGCATGATATTTCGGCTCGCTCTGTTTAAATTAATTTCACAAAATAAGTAATAAATGTACATACTAATAATATGTATAAACCAAAAAAGGACAATACTTCATCTGATTCAGATTGGTTTTTATTTATTTTGTATCTTTGTTGTTCATTTTTACTATTCGTTTCTGTTTCTTATACAGTGTATCCCACTTACCATGCTCACCATGGGTATCTTTTTAACGGTGAGAGATACGAGGTCGGTTAAATGACACCAAATGTGGAGTTTGTCAAGGCCAACTATAATGTGAATTTTTTTTTTTTGATAAAATCTATTCGTTTTTGTTTCATACGGAAAAAACAGATTTTGATCATTTTTATGTCTTCTCCGTAACTTCTTTATTTATGAAAATATTCAAATAGAAATTTCACATTGTTATGGCAGTTTTTCAAAGTGATTTCGAAAAAAATATGAAATTTATACCAACTCTTCTAGAATTTGAGATATCAGCACCAACTCTAGTTTTTCAAACGTAGGTCATAGCTCACTATGACTTAGTTACAAATAACTTTTTTTTCTCTCACAGATGATATGTCGCAGTAATAGTTTTATGTTGATAACAACGGAGTTATCGTCATTTATACAGAAACAAAAAATTATTTGGAAGCCGCCATCTTGAATTTATAAATTTTGAGAAAAAAATCATGATCTCTGACCTCAAGAATCCCCACTTATCAATTTTGAATGGAATCGGACCAAATCTTGTCCGCCATCTTGGAGCAGCCATTTTTTTTTATTTCAACAAAAATTCCATTACTCCGATTAACTTGAAATTCGGCAGGTGTTCATGATTTCGGTGACAATACATTATGGAACAACGGAACAACGACTGTCATTTGCTGTTGTCAAATTAATTATACACGAAATCTGATAGATTTCACGTGTGAATAGGACGTGATGAGAGTATGTGTTTAAGTTCGACGGAAAAATGTAATATGCACCTATATTGTCTCGCCTGATTGCTAGCCTCGGCTGAGGCCTCGGCTATCAATTTGCATACTCGACTATAATAGACAGTACGCACGATGTTCTCCGAACATTATTGAAATTTCCTTTCGTGCGCTCCAAGAGATAGAAACATAACTGATCTGATATCTGATTAATTTCGATAGACTATGAATATGATTTTGATTATCGCTACTGAAAATTGAGGGGATATCACAGTCTCGAATGACGATGCGACTTTTTGGAGATTGTTATCGGAACAAATAAACATTGAAGAGTTGATTGTTGATATTGATTAAAAATCGCTACAGTCATTATCGAACTATGTATACATACATCGACATTCGAGTCTTGAAGATCTATCTGCAGTCTACGGTTGGATGTTCTCGAGATGGACCACATTGGAAAAGAAGAGAGAAAGAAACATCCGAGAGAGACGGCTAATATCTTCTCTAAGCTAACTTTCGCGTAAGTAGGTACCTACTTAGTATACAGGGTGAGTCATGGAAATGAGGAAGTTGGATAACGGCTTCGCTGTTCGAGATAGATGAATGCGATTTTTTTCTGTGTCGGAAAAAAGTTTGAAATTTCTTCTCTGTTGACAGATTATAAAATGTCACTTCTCATAAATTACTTTTTTCCCACGGGAAAAAAAGTGGGTACTTATTTCCCGGATATATATCACATAATATATACACTCTTGATGGATTTGGTTGTTCCGGAATACACCGTCTCCGAGAAATAACTACAAGTCCTTTTATTTTCCATTCGAAAATTACTAAACAACCACTAAATTCGCAATTTTCGTGAATCAAATCATAGAATTAGACTGACAGATATTTGATTACTTCAAAAGAATGATAAAGTTGCCTGCAACATAGGTGTAATTCCTGTTGAAATTTCACGTCGATAATTTCAGTTCAATATGATGTAATATCTTCTCTATATTGATTCATTTCACTTTCTGTATTCGTTCAAATTAAATATCAGTAGATAGTAAATCGAAAGTTAATATAGGGACATGTTAGCCGTTTTGACCAATAATGAATAGTTTCGTCACAAAAAAATCGCTAGACCCCTTGATGGACTCAGCTCACAAAGGAGAATCCGAAATCGCGAAGCAATACAGGTTGTCCTATAAGAAACGGGTTAAAAGTGCACACATCATGCGATGGGTTTTTTCCGAAAAATTTTTTCATCGAGATATTTTATGAAAAAGTGCGAAATATCACCTTATTTTGCAACCCATCTAGGATATTCATTTACAACTACTTGTCCTTCTTTTTCCATCACTAGACACTTCATATACTCACGTTGTACTTCAATAACACATTTTATTTCCTAAAATAAACAAGATGTATGGTTTATTTGGAATTTTTCCATATTCAGTGAGGTGAACAATAGTTTGGTTCCTCTAGTTTCTTGCAGATTTTTTTGACATTTGACCTTTATTTGATATCACGTATTTGTATTTTGATGATATATATTTTGAGTTCTGTGATTTGTATTTAGATTTGATAATTGAATGGCCGTCATAGCTCATTGTTTACCTCACTAAAATATTTAAAAAATCCAAATAAACCATATTTCTTGTCGATTTTAGGAATTAAAATGTGTTATTGAAGAACAACGTGAGTATATGAAGTGTCCAATGATGGAAAAAGAAGGGCAAATAGTTGTAAAGGCCAAGATGGGTGGCACAACACGGTGAAATTTCGCAACATATCTCAATAGATAGCGGTTTGTTCACATTTTAATTGTGACATTCAGTTTTTCAGACGAAAATACGTGTGTACCAAAAAACATTTTAGAAAAATACCCCATCGCATGATAAGTGCACTTTTACCAGAAACGGTATAACTTTGATACGCCACGCATTTTTGAGTCACCCTATATAACGCAGAATATTTTATAAATGAACTCCTCATGAGGCTAGACAATCATAAAAACTTTCATTCAGCTATCTCAAACAGCAATCTCACTTTCTCCTTTCAATGATTCCCCCTGTATATATAAAGAATTTGTTTTGGATATGTCTTTACTGAAGACCTATCAAAATGAGTATAAGTTGATGGTCTTCAAAGATTTCCTATTATAGAAAATATAGAAGTTTTTATCGAAGATACCGAATATACCGAGACAGCAATGAATATTCTATGAATGTTCTCACAACCTTCACCATATACTTTCTTCAAAATATTCCATAGAATATGATGAGAATATTCTGAATGTTCATGGAATTTTTCATGGGATTATTCATAGAACATTTCATCTAAATATCCTAGGAATGTTCCTAGAATATTCAATTGTATTCTATGAATGTTCTGGAATGATCATGGAATGTATTGTTCGAATATTCTAGATATGTTCTCCAAGTATGAACATATGTAGAATATATTTTTCAGATACCCCGGAGAAAGATACAAATGTCCGTTTCCTATAAACATATGTCCTAACTTGATTCGTTTTTGAGATAGGCAGTAACATTTTTCAGAGAAAAATCGATTTTTCATTGATTATTCAAAATCCTTCTCGGCGATTCTGTGGTAGCAATAATGGGGTTGAATGTGAATTCCATTTTACTGCTATATTTTCTCTAAAAACTTTCTTCCTATACTCGTTAGACTATGAATATGATTCACACATCGTGATATTCGTGAAGCATCCATGATCCGTGTATGGTATCTGGTAATTTTATGCTCGAACTATGTAACTGTTTTTGAGTGAATATATATACATATGTCACAATAATGGTCACTTTTGGAACATACAGTCACGAACATATTTTGTTCCTATAGCGTTCCTTGGAATATTTTTCATGCGCTGTCAAGATACCCTGTATACTGGGAATATTCATAGAACATTCAGAGGATGTTCTATATATTCATAGAAAGTCTTGAGAATGTTCGGAAAAGTATTGTGAGAACGTTCATGGAACGTATATTTTCGTCTCATTTGCATGTTCTTCGAATATCCTCAGGACGTTCAGTGTACCTTGTGAGAACATTCTGAGAATATTTGAAATGTTCCTCGGGAATATTCTAAGAACGTTCTCAGAATCAATTTGTGCTGGGTGGGTATAAGATAGTCATGCGTTATTCAGTAGGTACACTCGTCTTCAGTGAACATGTCGCGGTTGGATATGACATGAGCGCTCTTATTGCAGCGGTGAATAACAGAGCTGACACCGTCCATGTGCGACATGTTATCTGAAGACCACTGTACCTGTTCTATATGGTTTAGTTAATTCTAGCTAATCTCGGTTTATTCATGAACTTACTTCAAATTTCTCCTCCAACGGTGAATATAATAGAATTTCGTTCATAATTTCAATAGGATTCTGATTGAATCTTAATTATTTCTATATTTGAATTATAGAAGGAGCATTTATTTAGTACATTCAAATTTATGCACTTCAGTTTTCAACTCTAATTGACGAGTGATACGATCATTTACGATTATCAGTGAAACTATTTAAAAAATTCAATATTATCGCAGTGTGATATCATCACAATACATAATGATATATCTGTCAGATCTGAATCGCAATTTAACAGCACTGTCATCCCGTCTAGGAGACAAAAAAAATGATAATTGAAACGAGATAAAATATTCAATAAAATAGCTATTCTCAATTTTTCCGAATAACTGTTCGAAACTCTGTGTATCAATATAAAATTGAATTCTAAGTACGATTTCCAAATGAAGAAAGAAGTGCAAACTAGAACGAGAAAATTTTTAAAGCAATTATACCGGCCAGCACAAGGAAACATTCATTTATTGTGTTTCCAATAGGCATCGGTCACAGTCGTAGTCAGTTTCATTCTCATGTTCTGAATATTCGAGATGATTTTGTCGCTTCATTGTTCACGAAATTGCGTTGCCAAGCAACACCACCAGTCCGCCAGGACGAGTGTTATTGTTATGAAAGACAGAATAATTATGAGAAGATATTCAGAACAGAGTGGTATTGTGCTAGACTATTTCACGTTCACGAAGCAAGGCTGGAAAAGTTTGTTGCTATGCAATGTTCCAAGTAATTTGAATGGAATTGGTAATCAAAATTGACACTGACATTGTGTAACTGTTCTTGTTAAAACCATGCCTCCGGTTTAACCAAAAATACAACCTCTTTTTTGCAAAATTCTGATAGATCTTGTTCTTTCAAATTCGTATACAATTGGGTTTAGTGGAAATAATCTGCATGAACGAGAAATTGAAGCACATCACTTTTAAAACAACCACTCGAAAGGATTTACGCATTAGAGAAAAAGCCGTGTATTGATAAGCAAATTGATATTTACTTTGTATATTAATAGTACAAATATACGTGTAAACTGTCTATAGTAAGTGGGTAACTGTTGATAAAATGTCAATACATTGTGATTTTCGGAAATAAATCTAGATAAATAATCATCGATGATTGTGAAATAATCCATGGAGGAGTCTTGGAGAGAGTAGTTTAGGATTTTCTCAATAGGCTTCGCGTATTGCCAGAAGTATTTTGAATATTTGAAATTATTATTATTATTCCCATAGGAATGAAAGAAATAAAATTAATTGCTCAATGCTCTTAGTTGATGTGAAGTACTTTATTTCTCTTTTTTGCAAAATATTTCTGCTTGAACCAGTATGTACGACATCGAAATATCAAGATTTATACAATTTTTCACAAAAATATTGTGTGTACCATTCAAATTGAACAAGTCCGGTTGAACCAGAAATATATTATCAACAAAATCACATCAGATGCATCTTGCGTCAATGGACTTATCTGCAAAGTTCAATAAGATTCATCCTACTCGTTTTGAATAAAATTACTTGGTTCCATATTACGATGATATATTCTTGCCTTATAGTCCATGTTCAGAGGCCATAATACGAAATTAATTGAAAAATTAGCTCCATTTCTACATAAACAGGTCTTAAAAGTAGCATAATATAGAACAAATAACACGTTCATCAGAAATAATAAAGACAAAACTTCTGAATTCGAAAAATCAGGGGTATACAAACTCAACTGTGGATCTTGCCCTAAGGTATATATCGGTCAGACAGATCGTACGTTTAACCAGCGCATTCATGATCATAACATGAATTTTTTGGAAAACAAAACAAATTCAACATACGCCAACCGTATATTAGAAGAACACCATAGTTCTGATGATAATTTCGTAATTCTACACGTAGAAGATGAAGGAATAAAACTCAATCATTTTGAATCATTAGAAATCAACAGACTAAAAAATTATAACATTTCACTTAACGATCAACTAGACCTCAATAGTTCACCACTGTTGAATTTGTTTTCTTAGTTTCAAGTTAATCTGTTACAAGTAACAGCCGAGTCAATTCAAAATTTCCCAAGAACGGTTCCTTTTACGGCAACCTAACAATGTACCTTCTCTATATATGTAAATGTGTTTGAAGAATCATACTCTTGTAATAAAAATGAGATGAATCATGAATTGAAAAAAAAACTTGGGGTATTTTTATAGCATCAGTTACAAATTTCGCACCTTCCTGTATATCACTTTCATCATTTTTTCCGTACCACGATACGATTCCTGAGATCAAATTAACAACTGCTTTTGGAGATGTGCCTTCACAGGGCGGTAACTTCCTTGAAAAGGAAGCATTTTCGAACACATGATAAGAACAATTCTTCTCATTTTCATCTAAAAAAATATTTTCCGGAGTACACGATTATTATTCTGGGACACCCTGTTTATCCCCCTCTCTATCGGGATAAACCCCGGGGATAGTCTCTCGCAATTTACTGTAGGGTTCTAGATAGCGGATCAGAATGAAATACTACAGGATGATACATTTTGCTGTGCAATCTTTCGAAATGTTGCTCCCGTGGAACATTGCTGTTTGATGACTTTGAGTGATAACTTCGAATAAATTTGTGCTTACTGATTCCAGATATACAGGTAGTTTATTTAAAAGAGCTTATAAACAAGATCTGGACGATGAAGACCTGTACGAAGTTCTCAAGCAATGTGGCTCGAAATATTGCGGAGATAAATTGGAGAAAGAATGGAAACTGGGGAATAAAGAGGGCACTCCCCCCACCATTGGTAGGCTCATGTGGAGGAGGTTTGGTTGGAGGTACATGTTGATGGGAATCACACAATTTACATGGAGAGTCGTCAGGAGGTATGTTCAGCTTGATAGGAAATTCAGAACCTATGATAACGTATTGAATGATGAGAAATTCGAATATAGTAAGATATTGTATACGGGGTGGAACTTATGGAAAAACAAGATATAAATACAAAAAATCGATTAGTAATTGGTAAATGATGAAAAGTCTATATGATATATTTCACTATATCGAAGTTGAACAATAATTCTCTGAATAGATCAAACTCAAGAAAGAAAGTGTGCTGAATTTTCATTCATTCAAATAAAATTTCATCCAGTTCTATACCCCAAAGTGATGCGCCTAGACTGATCAGTATACCTAATCTGTGATAGTGTCTCCTAATGATCACAAATGGAAATTATTTCCAGAATACTTTTTCTTCTATGGTTTGTTTTTTCCATGGGATTTAGATATCCTGCATACCTGTAATTGTTAAATTCATTCAAAATGTTTCCCCTTCAATGTTTTTGATGAGTTACACAGGTAACTGATTGAAAAACGTTTTGAATTTTATGAAAATATACAGTCTATAGGTGAATCAAATGAAATTACTAATAACGTACTTGACTTGAGATATGCATCATGCATCACATGATCGCAATTCATGCATATTCTTAGATAAGTTCGTTATATCTAAAAGATGAGTGTTTGATGAAACGAACCGTAGAATTACTGTTATCAGATATTGACTTTTTGCCACTTAATCGATTCTAAATGAGTTTTCGTCAAGGGTAGAATGAAAATCTGAGAACAAATATCGACACATAATGTATTAGCTAACAATAAGATGATTTTAGTTCATTTTACATGATTATTAGGGATTTTTACTCCTTGTTTCAATAGAAAAATATGAGTATTATTTGTAGTGGGACGAATCAGATGATTTGCGCCAAAATGTCACTGCGTTTAATACATTTTTCTATCAGGGAGCCTAAAAAAAGCCAATAGCTTGTCAGTGACACTTTTTATTGAAAAATGTTTGAAGAGAAGAAATATAGATATATCCCGAAACACGTCTATACAGTATTACAGTAGTTTCGATATAATCGTGAAGAATGTGTGAAACAAATAGTTTTTTCTTCACATTATATTTTGAAATCGAATGCCGTTATGACATTTTTTTTATACTGGGCAAACTCAACTTATTTTGCAGTGTTTTACATACCCTAGCAAGGGGTCCGGTTTATTTAAAACACCCTGTATAGCTAGATAAGTGGAAAGCGGCACTACGCTATGAAACGATCATTTATAGAGACCATGTATAATATTTGGAATGATTTCAGAACATGATCGATGTATATTGTCAAGAACGATTAATAAAAAAGAGTTTAACTCAATTCTATATATTCAACGTTCTCTCAAGATTATTGAAATACTCCCATTTCAGACACAGGCATAATGTGTGCCATTAAATTGATATCAATTTCAACTTAATACTATTAATCAATTGATGTATATTGATTTATTCATTCTCCATTCCATTGACGATAATTAATAATGAGTAAAATAAATCCCATAATAGAATTTCAATCGAACCACCAATACAGTGAATTATTATTCACATAATGTACAGTTTCTATGAAAGAGGAAAGGTAATCCCAAGAATTTTGAAAAATGAGGTAGCTGATGGCCACGAAAAGTCTAAACTTTGAATTCAAACAGAAAGTATCATTTTTCTTAGTTTATAAAATGTGGCAATGGAGAAATGCTTTCAGTTTTGTTGTACTTCAAAATGCAAACTGAAATTTTCCGGTTATTTAGCATAGCTGACATGGATCCTCCTTCACTACAATGATACACATAAAATTCCTCAACTTTATTTCATTTCAACCTCCATCGTATCCTTGGTCCTCACTATCCAACTTATGAGCGTTGAATTTGCATATATCTGTATGCACCAACAGCTCTTTAAATGATGCTCAATCAGTATTATTGTTCATCATTTTATTTTATATAATATACATATGCTTTCCACACCAGTTATAATATGAGTATCATATCTTTTAAGTATTGTAGAACCAGGAGCTCTCAGTGGCCTTATCTCGTACTTTAGACCAGGACAGACGGACGTAACGAAGAACGATGCCTTCATGTACGCTGGGCTGGTGCTATTCCTGCAGATCTTCAACTGTATGTTCGACCACAACTATTTGCTTTGGGTCCACCAGATGGGGGTCGAGATCAAATCAGCATTTTCATCAATGTTGTACAGGAAAGCGTTGAGGTTGACGCCGACTGCTGTGTCCGATATCACCATGGGAAACATCGTGACCTTGATAACGAAAGACGTGCAAATTTTCAAAGAATCCATCTGGATCATCAACGACATATGGATTGGAACTGTGGTGATATGCGTCGTATGTTACTTGATTTACTCCAAGGTTGGAGTGTGCTCTTTCATTGGTATCGGAATTATATTTATGGTCCTACCCTTACAATGTGAGTAGGCACCTACATAGAATTGAATAACTAAACAGTTATGTAAATAGGATTAGAGAAAGTGTGGACTTGACAATTTAATTTCAGGGTACGTTGCCAGATGGATAAGTAGGCTGAGACTTCAGACTGGCAAAAAAACTGACGAAAGGCTCCAGATAACTCAGGAGAGCTTGTCAACTATAAGGATAATCAAAATGTACACCTGGGAGAAATATTTCGAGAACAAGATCCACAAGTCAAGGAAGTGAGTGTAATAAAGCAATAACTTGGCTAGAATAGTTTCGCAAGTGGTCACAGATAGTCAGAAATAAGTGCTTAGATATGGAAGTATTCATTTGTCAGAAACCTACCACACTACTGATGACCTCTGGTAGAGCGAAACAGCTGTCTGATATTTTTACGTGAAGTGGAATATTAAAGTGGTATATCAGAACATTCTTACTAAATCTACAAGCGAAAAGGTCTTTCGATTTAAGGTTCCTATCTTTTGTTCAAATGTAATAATGTGAATCTCATGAATTGTTCTTCACTTTTAACAACTAATCGTGATATATATTTTCAGGGAAGAAGTTAATAAAATGCTTTTAGGATTCTACCTTAGAGTCATCTTGATGTTACTGGGTCTCCTTTTCTGCAAAATAGGATTCTATGTTCTGATCTTATCTTACGTTTGGATCGGATTCTCATCAGATCCAACTGTGGTCTTCTACCTCCTGAGCAACTTCCAAGAATTGAAACAAAACCTCGCAAATTCCATACCTACGTGCATAGGAAAAAGTGCTGAGCTAGTATCGGCTGTCAAACGAATTAACAAGGTTATTAATGCCGAGGAAATGGACCCAAATACTGTGCCAGACGAACCTGAACCCAACCCGGTCATGGAACTGAAAAACTCAACTGTCTACATTGGCAAGAAAGAGATTCTCAGGGAGATTTCATTCAAAACTGACTCTGGGTTGACATTGGTCACAGGCAGTATTGGTTCCGGCAAAAGTTCCCTGCTGAAGACCATGCTACAAGACTATCCACTCACTGACGGCAGCTTGGTGTCACGTGGTCGCATCTCGTATTCCTCCCAAGATCCGTGGTTGTTCCCTTCTTCTATAAGACAGAACATCATTTTCAACAACAAATATGATGAAGTCCGGTTAGTGTTTATGATCATCATCATCATATTATATTACTATTCGTTAATACATTGAGTATATTTCAGGTACCGTGAAGTCATAAGAGTGTGTGCCCTCGAGTACGATTTGAACTTATTCGAAAAAGGTGATGAAACCATTGTAACTGATAGAGGACACAATCTCAGCAAAGGACAGCAAGCTAGGGTGAATTTAGCTAGGGCTATCTATAAAGAAAGTGAAGTATATCTGCTTGATGATTGTCTCACAGCCTTAGATGCGCAGGTACAAGACTATATCTTCCGAGAGTGTATAAAAACATATCTGAAGGATAAGATTGTGATTCTAGTGAGCCAAACAGCGAACCATATCCAAGAAGCAGATACCATCGTCATCATGGACAAAGGTCGTATAAAAGATATCGGTCAACCTAACGACACTATTCTGGCGGAAGTCAAAGAACTTGCTGTGGAAGATGATGATTTGGAAAAAGAAGTTATAGGAAAAGCTGCAGAGACTGATGCTGATGAAACTGTCAAGCTTCTCGAAACTGAGCAGATAACTTCGAAAAAGAAGATATACAAGGAAGTCAAGAAAAAAGGAAAAGTAGATATTCAAGTTTATCTCAAGTATATCATGTTTGCTGGTGGATTCTTGCTGGCGTTTTTCAACATAATGTTAGTTGTTGTCACGCAGTCATCTGAAAGCTACTCGGATAAATTATTGACTCAGTGGTAAGTATCGACTAATAATTTGTGATCTTTCAAGGTATTGACATACGTATACTCATTCTATTCTATACTGGAGATTGGAAATTTGACAATGAACGATTTGCATCGAATTGCAAGAATATTTTTTTTCTACAGGGTGGATGAACAACAAACCCTGCTCAATATCAGATCTCGAATAACAAGCCCTGCAACTTCTTTACAAGAAAGGAACGGTACTGTGAATAGCCTTGCAGTAGGTGAAATCACTCTGGAAGAAGCTGACGCAAATCAACACAGTACATTCATAATCTACTCGATCACTTTGATATCTGCCGCAATTCTGGGAATGATCAAGTCCTATGCCAACTTTGATTTTTCGAGAAGAGCTTCTATCAACATACACAAATCTATGGTTACGAATATAACACGAGCGATGATGGCTTTTTTTGATTCTCATTTCATCGGTAACGTTCTGAATAGATTCTCTCAGGATTTGGTTAATGTAGATGAACATCTACCCTATGTGCTCAGCGAATGCTTCAGGGTTAGTACGAATATTGAATTATCCTCTTCTAGGAGTTATTTTCTAGAAATTTATGAAAATATCAGATCAAAGCTTCGAAATTCTTTGCAAAGGACTTATAAACTCCAAAAGTGAAAAAACAAATTCAACACTTATTCCACATATTCATTTTAGTAAATTCTTTCGGTTGCAGAAGAAATAGCTTTTTTCGTTCGGATCAAAAGTGACACTTTTGATGCTAATAAAACAATATACTATTATATAATCCCTATCAATTTCAAAATTTCATCTCGAACGATTCAAAAGTTCTCATGGCCACCCAGTATACCCGAATTGACTAATTTATTTTTTCAGGTTTTGTTTTCGATTTTTGGGAATCTGATATTAGTAGCAACAGTGAAACCTAGTTTTTTGATTTACATTGGTACCATTATCATCATCGTAATGATTATTAGGAGATTGTATCTACCAGCAGGTCGTAGCTTGAAGAGATTAGAAGCAGCAAGTAAGCAATTATTATCGATTAAATCATATCTGGCTGATCAGAGTGACTATTCCACTAATCACATATATCTGAGCTGAGCAATCACAAGAAAGAAACATCATGAGCTATCTGTCTATTTTGATTGGTCTGAAAAAGTTCATGTTTTCATAGATGTAACCATGGATAGCGAAGCAAAGTCTGCCAGTTCGGCATAAAATAATTATACATAGGAGTCAAGTCATAATGTTTGTCGGTTACTCGACCGAAAAGATACATATAATGATGAAGATGGAAAGCCCTGATTTCGAGTGACAATGGAAAATGAAAAAACTTCACCGCTCCGTGTGAGAGTCGAACTCACAACCTCTGGGTTACATGCCCAACGCTCTGCCAATTGAGCTAACGGGACATCCATCGATCAATCGGCAGGAAGGTCGAGTTCTCATCACACACCAGGCGGCAAAATCCTTCCATGGGAGAGACCACTGATTTTTTGAAACGACATTATCGTGAACTCTATACTGAAAAACTACCAGTGAATTAATTTTGAATTTTTTCATTCATGCTAAGACGATGAAAAAAATAAATTAGGATATGTCCATTTCTAAACACACAATTCCTGCGCCATTTGGAAATCTGTCAATTCATTGGTGAGACTGGTGCGACGTCTTAGTCTCAACACGCCTATTGTCCTTGAACTCACCAATCACACTGCAACACTGCAGAATGACGAGGTATCAGAGAGAGATAGCTACAGTGCGGGACTAATACGTCACAGCTCCACCATCATATTTGGCTTTTCGAAATAACGAATGAAATATGCTGATTTCAAAACGATATAGATTCGACTCCCTTCAACGTGAACTCATAATATTGATTATAGATCAAACGTAAATCATGATTCGTCGATTGAAAGAGGTTTGCACGGATTTCTTCCCTCAGTGGTCTTCCCCATTCTCGAAGTCACTCGAAATCATGCACTATTCGAAGCATCGCTGGCAGGATGGTACTATACAGTCTCCATATTTCCCTGTTCGTCCTCTGGCATTGTCTTTCCTTGTATACGGAGATGTCCGAAATCAAGTCATACTGTTTGTCGGCTACTCAACCGAAAAGATACATATTATGATGAAGATGGAAAGCCCTAATTTCGAGTGACAAGTCTTCGGGATTTGGAAGGATTCTGGCGCCTGGTGTGTGATGAGAACTCCACCTCCCTGCCGATTGATCGACGAATGACCCGTCAGCTCAATTGACAGAGCATTGGGCATGTAACCCAGAGGTTGTGGGTTCGATTCTCACACGGGGCGGTAGATTTTTTTCATTTTCCATTGTCACTCGAAATCAGAACTTTCCATCTTCATCATTAAAATAATTATGGTGGTACTTGTCAGAATGAATCACTCATTTATACTAAATGCTTTTTATGCTTCGTGTATGTGAATAGTCTAGCAGAATACCACTCTGTTCTGAATATCTTTCCATAATTCTGTCACTCATTTTTGACTCGTGGTGTTGCTCGGCAACACAATTTCGTAAACAATGAAGCAACATAATTATCTCGAATATTCAGAGCATCGTGATATTACGTATGAAAATCGAAAAGCTCGAAGAGTCTTGTGATCCGTTTCCATTTTCGTTGTATTGTGAAATTCTTCAGCAGTGACAGCTGAATATTGTTAGTCAGCTGTATATTGTTAGTCAGCTGTATTTCTATTTCTGTTCAATTCAAGAAGCTAGATCACAGAGGTTCATACTCACTACATTTATAGTAAATTAAGGATTCACGACATTTCATCCATGTGAAGACCAAGAAATATGTAATGTATTTTCAATTAACTGAACACTTTTGTATCGAACATTCTCTTGCAGCCCGTAGTCCAATGATTGGCCACCTCAACGCTTCTTTAGAAGGTTTAACGACGATCAGAGCTTACAGGGCTGAAAATATACTCATCGAAGAATTCGACAGGCACCAAGATCTTTACACTTCAGCGTATTACACTTCAATCTGTTCTATGCGAGCATTCGCTTTCGTAGTAGGCTCCGTGTCTTCTATCTTCGTCATCATAGTAGTCGGTACATTCGTCCTGATGAAAAAAGGTAAGCTATCATCAGCGATTAGGAGAAAAACGAGATTTCTGAGTCGTACTGTTTTCAGAAAACACCACAGGAGATGTTGGTCTGGCTCTAACCCAAGTTTTCGCCTTGGCAGCCAGTATCCAGTGGGCAGTCGCACCGTGGTCAGAACTGGAAAACCTGATGACTTCAACGGAAAGGCTCATGGAGTACACAGAAATCAAAGCTGAGAGGGAAGATGGTACCGAGCCGAAAGACTGGCCCAGCAAAGGATCAGTGACTTACGAGCACGTCTCTTTGACTTACAATAACAGCGTGAAGGTTCTCAAAGACTTGAATTTTACTGCGGAATCTCGACAAAAAATCGGCATAGTCGGTAGGACCGGCGCTGGAAAGTCCTCTATAATAACTTCCTTCTTCAGACTCTATGATGTTGGAGGAAGGATTCTGATAGACGGGATTGATATCAAAACTGTTTCTTTGAAGTACCTGAGGCGAAGGCTAGCCATCATTCCTCAGGATCCGGTTCTGTTCACAGGTACTGTTCGTACTAATCTGGACCCGTTCGGTGATTTCAGTGACCAAGAACTTTGGACTGCTCTGGACAAAGTGAACCTCAAAGGTTCTATCACTAGCTTAGACCACCCAACGGCGAGTAATGGCTCGGACTTTAGCTCTGGTCAGAAGCAACTGCTTTGTCTAGCGAGAGCTATTCTCAGGAAAACTAAGATAGTCATTTTGGATGAGGCTACTGCGAATATGGACCACGAGACAGATATAATGCTAAACTCTGCTATTGAGGAAAACTTTGTGGACTGTACCGTTTTCTGCATTGCGCATAGACTTCATTCTATTTTGAAGTGTGATAAAGTAATAGTTTTGGATAAAGGTGAGATCAAGGAGTTCGATGATCCAGCGAAGTTACTAGAGAACGGGAATGGCCTGTTTTATCAGATGGTAAGGCAAGCAGGATTGCTCAACTATCTTGAATGATGTAATATAAAGTTGAATAAATTATATTTTTTTATATTATCTCTCCCGTTTTTTTATAAGTGTGTAGGTAGTTACCTGAAGGTGTGAAACAACCAGATGAATTTGAAATTAGTAGTCAAAATGTATTGGAAAAGTCAGGTATGCAATTTAATTGACGAAGAGAGATAGGTTGTGAGCTTGTGGATATACAGTCACCGGCAAAAAAACACGGCCACCAAAAAAATTTGCCAAATTGTTCGCCATGTAACTTTTTTAATTCTTGTCTGATTTCCGTGAAATTCCGACCAAATCGTATATACATGTATTGGAATATTAGCCTGGATATGGTTTTGAGAAAAGCTGATGGCTTGATGAATATACATGGTAAAACTAAAGTAACTCTTTCACCCCTAACTTCTCAACGCCCTGTAGGTGTGTGGTTAAACTTAGCTTCATCATGTTTTGGATTGAAGTGTGATCCCTTCTCAACACAATGGTTTCAGATTCTCGTCGATAACCACTTTTTTAGGGAAAATACAAGTGTTTTAAGAAAGTATGGATTCTTTTATTTTTATTAACAATAATTCAGAACTATTCTCTAACCTTCTGCATTATCATGTTTTGAATTGAAGTGTGATCCTTTTTCGTCCCTTCTTAACGCAATAGTTCGAGATTCAAGTCAATATCTTATTTTTAAGAGAAGATACAATAAGTCTTTTAAGCAAGTATGGATTTTTTAAATTTTCAGCAACAATAGATTAGAACTTATAGAGCATCTTGGGGATGAACTCCAGAGGCTCATTCGCCTTAGTTCGGCCATGTCAGAGACTCTTCAAGAGCTACGAATCGCCCTTCAAGGAGATTTTTAGGCAATTCTTCAAGACTACTTTAGAAATTTGATCAATTCGATGCCACGGCGGTTGAATGACTCGTTATTGACTATATACAGTTCTGCTTTTTATTTGTTTTTGTAATCAAGATTTTTTCTGTGTGTGCTAAGAAATGAGGTAGAAATATGTGATATTAATTCTTCAAGTTGTTAATCCATAAGTTTATGTAGGTTCTGATTATTGTTAATATGAATGTTAATGAAATTTGAAAAATGCCATACTTTCCTAAAACACTTGTATCTTCTCTTAAAAATAAGATATTGACGTGATTCAGAAATTATTGTATTCAGGCTAACATTCCGGACCATGAATCTACGAGGTGATCGAAATTTCACAAGAATCGGACAAGGATCAAAAAAGTTACAGGGTGAACAATTCTGGCAATTTTTGGTGGCCTTTGTTTTGGCCGGCGAGTGTAGATGATCAAAATCCTTCTGAGAAAATGATGCAGTTACAAGAATGCGTATTGGGTTTACATATCTACTTTTGTGATTCTGATATTTGTTCAATCTCGTTCCACCAATTTATGGAGAAATACAATACATGATGTTTCATTTTGATATCAATATGAAGTGAAGTATGAAGATACGATATTACGAAATTTCCATACGTTAGGAACTCTCAGAAGTTACGTAACCAAATACAATCCTTACGCAAAATCAAGCAGGACCTGTGCTGGTAACGAAAAAAAATCATGTCACTAGTTCCGTTTCATCTTAACATAATTCCAATTATTATGAAACCCAAATGATTTAGGGCATCTTCTATCTCTATTTCATTCCTGTCAACATATCATTTGTTATTATGGTATTGTCTGCTGAGATTATTATCTATCTACAAATAATTTAATTGGATTTGCGATAATTATAATAAAGGAAACAATATTTACATTTAGATAACCTCATCTACCCTCTCCAAAATTATGGTATCCATTTTCCTATTCCATGTAATGAGATAGTCGAAGTGATCAATTTACATTCGCAAGATGGATCATTTCGAACGAGACAAAAGAATAAAAAATCCAAGAGAAACTGCCAATATTTTCTCGATATTAACCTTCGCGTAAGTACAATATCTTGTGATAATATACAGGGTGTTTCTCAACCTTTACATGAAAGTGAATGATGAATAATTCATATTCTATAGCAATGTTACTCTGCTATTGAGATTCAATGGAAAACGTTGAATTTCAGAATCATGAGTAAGGCACGAACTATTTTTCAGGAAAAGGATTAAGAGAACAACTTCTTCATCATCGTTATCCAGCATTGTTGAGTTATGAAGCCATACTCATTATTTGTGGAAGTATATTGATATCAAGTTTTTGCATCTTGGTGAATGAATCACCCTGTATATTTAACTTGGTTATTTTTCGGCTTCAAATATTTTCGTTTCAATGGAGTTCAGAAATGAATGCACATCCTACAATAACAATACCATTATTATAGACATACAAGGATTTTGTTCAAAAGAGGACTAAAACATGATTTAGAAGAAAAAGATCTTTATAACGTGGCAAAGTGCTGTGATTCCAAAAGATGTGGGGATAAGCTACAAAAATCATGGCTAGAGGAGAACAAACTGAACAAAAATTCTTCCATATACAGGCTCCTATGGAAGAGATTTGGATATAGATATCTTTTCATTGGACTAATTGATGGATTGTATAAAATATTAATCAGTAGGTACGTTTTCTCAACTGCATGTTTTCATCAATCTCCAGTGGACTTTCTTTTCAGCATTTTAGAGCCCCTAGCTCTGAGTAAAGTGATATCCTACTTTGATCCTTCCCAAAAAGAAATGACCCAAACTGATGCCTACTACTATTCAGGATTCCTTTTATTTTCCGTAATCTTAAATGCTGTCTACTACCATAACTCTTTGTTTTGGGCAGCTCATTTGGGAATAGAAATCAAAACTGCATTCTCATCGTTGTTGTACAGAAAAGCCTTGAAACTTTCTCCCAGCTCGATTTCGAGTATATCTTTAGGCAATATAGTGACCTTGATCACCAAGGATGTGTATACTTTTCAGAATTCTATATGGGTTTTCAATGATATTTGGTCTGGAACTCTACAAACTTGCGTTATATGCTATCTCTTGTACAGGAAGATTGGCTACGTCTCTTTCCTTGGTATTTTCGTGATCATGAGTGCTATACCACTACAATGTGAGTCAAACATTACCATATTGACTATGTGAATTATTCAAACTAGAATTCATTTCTCCTACATGATTTTAGCATATTTAGGAAGATGTATTAGCAAATTGAGAATATCAATAGGCAAAAAAACAGATGAACGTGTTCAAGATACCCAAGAAACTCTTTCAACTATCAGGATAATAAAGATGTACACCTGGGAGATATTTTTTGGTGATAGGATACAAAAAGCAAGAAGGTGAGAGTTCTTATCGAATGACATGATACAACTTAGCATTGAAATTCATTTCCAGCATAGAAATGAGTAAAATATTGATAAGTTACTATTTCAAAATGATCATCATCACAGTAGGACTACTCTTTTCAAAGTTTGGCTTCTACTTACTCATCATGGCACATATTTGGATGGGTTATTCTCCTAGTTCAGAGCTGGTATTTTACATCATCTCTATATTCAAGGAGTTAGAGTACGATATAGGATTCATCATACCTAGTGCTATAGGAGAATTCGCAGACCTCTACTCAGCAATACAGAGAATAAACATGGTGATACAAGCAGAAGAACTGCCGTCTAAAGAAATAGTTGATGGACCTATCGCTACACCTTTTATAAAACTCGAACATGTCGATATTCATATCAAAGATATTGAGATATTGAATAATGTATCTTTTGAAACTAGAACAGGCCTCACTGTGATCACTGGGAAAGTTGGTTCTGGTAAAAGTTCTTTGCTGAAAACAATGCTCCAAGACTATCCTGTGAGCGGAGGATCACTGAAGGTCCATGGGAGAATATCTTATGCTTCACAAGATCCATGGTTATTTCCCTCGACCATAAGGCAAAATATCTTATTCGGAGAAACGTTTGAAGAAAAGAGGTGAGTAGAATATGGTTTTGTGTATTCCTCATTTTCATTTTTTGTGTTTCAGATACCAAGAGGTGATTCGAATTTGCGCCCTATTCTACGATTTCAATCTTCTCGAGAATGGGGATGAAACTATAGTGACCGATAGAGGCGCTAATCTCAGTGGAGGACAACAAGCTAGAGTGAACTTAGCGAGAGCTATATACAAAAATAGCGACATATATCTGTTGGATGACTCCCTAGCAGCACTGGACTCTCAAGTACAAGATTTTATCTTTAATGAGTGTATATTGAAATTTCTGAATAGCAAAATTTGTATTTTGGTGAGTCAGAATTTGAATCATATCCAGAAAGCTGATCAAGTGGTAATCATGGAAGGTGGTCAGATCAAATCTTCCGGAACTATAGACCAGAAGATTTTGAATAATTTGAGCAGCTTAGCGAATAGACATAATTTAGAAAAATACAATGGTAGTAACAGCATAAAACATGATGAAGCCGATGAATCGTTGACTGAGGAAGCAGTATTATTAGAAACAGAACAAGGATGTGGTCAAAAGATATATAGTGAGATCAAGAAACAAGGAAAGGTAGATTTCGATGTGTACAAGAAGTATGCTATGTTTGGTGGAGGGGCATTGATGATAATGTTGAATGTAACGGTTTTCGGACTTGCCCAAGGATGTGATAGCTATTCTGATAAACTACTGACTACATGGTGGGTATAATGCTGATTTAAGTATGAATATGAACCTGAAATTATTTTTTTCACTCCAGGGTTGACAAGCAACAGGTAGTCTTAGACCTTGGAAATTCGACTTCTAATAGTACAAACTTGAGTTCTCTTCGTGTTGCTGTTGAGGATAGCCAGTACACTATCAAATTATACTCGATCTCAATATTTGTATCAGCTATCATGACTGGTATCAAAACCTACTTCATTTTCGATTTTTGTAGAAGAGCTTCAGTAAATATTCACAAATCTATGATTGGGAGTATGATGAATGCGCTAATGTCTTTCTTTGATACTCATTTCCTTGGGAACATACTCAATAGATTCTCTCAGGATTTGAATAGTATCGATGAGCATTTACCACTCATATTGGGTGAAGTTTTCAGGGTGAGTTAAAAACGGATGCAAGAACCATTTCATGTATCATCTTAATAATTTTTTCAGTCAGTTTTTTCAATTATTGGAATCATAGTGCTGATCGTAACAGTGAATTCTAGTTTCTTAGCATATGCTCTTGTGATATTCCTAGCTCTCCTCATGGTGAGGAGGGTCTATATGCCAACAGGTCGAAGTCTCAAGCGTTTAGAAGCATCAAGTGAGTTCATATTCAAGAAATTCAGTTCAGAATTTTGATCTACGACATTTCCAGCAAGAAGTCCTATGATAGGACACTTGAATGCATCACTGGAGGGCTTGACCACTATAAGGGCCTGTGGAATAGAAGAGACTCTCATAAACGAATTCGATAGACACCAGAATTTGTTCACCTCGGCTCATTTCATTGGCCAAACCACTACAAGAGCTTTCGGGCTTTGGATGGACTTGATTTGTTCACTATATGTGTGTATTGTAGTGATTTCTTTCATATTCTTTGAATCAAGTAAGCAAATAATTCAATATGGTTTGTCTCTCAAATAAACTACCTCATCACTTCACTCATTTAGTCCAATAAAATGGTATTTGCAAGTGTGAAGAATTCAAGTAGTCAGTTTCTCTGCTGTGTCATATGATTTTGGGAGTGCTCAATCTGAATCTGAAGTTTGCAAACAAAATTTTTGGAGATTTCCGAGATATTTGCAATAAACAGCGACATTTTCGCATGTTCTAAAGTTTTTTGCCTGGTACTCGGAAAATATACATTATTGCGAAATGATCACCCTATAAAAAGTTGAAGAAGATGAACTTTTTGATATATAATAAAAAATTTCTCGCTCATTGATGTAGGATTAACGGGTCAGAAGCTAGAGCAAGTTGAAAATAGACCAAAATAGCGTATTTTGCAAAAATGGTGTTCTTCGTCGGTGCTCGTAAGATAATCTCCGTATTTCTAGAAGAAACAAACTACATTTGTTTGAGCAAGTAATTGCTCCTAATAAATCGTCGATATGAAGTAGGAACATGTTGGTGCCAAAATTGATCCTTGTGGAACCCTGGAATTAATGGCAATGATATCAGACGGTACTCCGTCCACCACCACATGAAGCGATCTGCCTGAAAGAAAACTCGATGAAAGATGGCATAGCTGATGTGGTAAGTCGTATGATGGTAGTTTGTAGATCAGTCCTTGGTGCCAAACACGGTCAAATGCCTTCGATATATCTAGCTCTACAGCTAGAGATTCCCCATGTACTTCTGATGAAGCTTACCTTTTATGGGTGACGTACAGGCAAGTAAATATTCGATTGATCCTCGGTGGCGAAAGCCATTTTGTCTATCATCAATGATTCCTGAAATTTACAAATATTTCATGAGCTCAATGTTGATGGCTTTCTCCATTACTTCCCTTTGTTGGGGATTCGTTGGACTCTAGCTATTTTCCAGCAAGATGGATAAATACCTGACTTGTAGGAGATGGCGAATAGCTCGCAGAGAATCGGTGTCAACTGTGGTGAACACTTTTTGAGAAAAATGGGGGAAATTCCATCAGGCCTATCGGACTTATTTGTTCTGAGACCCAGACCTTATGCGTCCGATAGTGTGTTGACGATAAATAATTTCGGACCTTAGACTTTCAACGGGTGGAATGTCTGACGGCAACCTTCTCTGCAAAAATATCCGCTTTCTCTTGCGATGTTGTTGCTGATGTACCGTTGGCTTTGGAGAGTGATGGAAATGAACTATTAGTGAAATTCCTTCCGACTGCTTTAGCGAGGGACCAAAACAAACGGGAGCCATAGGGACAATATATGAGTTCTGATCTTATTTTGGCATTGTATGATGCTTTTGATGCATCTTTTGTTTGGACTTCTTTCTGCTATGCGATTAGCTGCCTCGTGCTCTTAAACCATTTTTTGCAAAGTACGCAACTTGTTTGGTAAATTTTCAACTTGCTCTAGCCCCTCACTTACTGGTTCTTTATCCACAAGCAAACAACAATGTATGTAAAGTACTAGTCCGCCAATGGCTGACTCACCTAGAACAGGTCAACTTGACGCTTGCTGAGGTGGAAATCTCAACCGTCGAGAAAATTCTATAGTCTACCAGAAGTCTGGGGTTATAGATGACCATTATTAGATGAGGACTTCTTCCAACAAAATACAATCTATAATCATCGCTACATCGTGGTTTGACGAGGAACTAATAGTGATAAGAGTGATAATGGAGGTGGAGCTGATCATGTTTGTTCCACGAATAACAAGCAGCAGGTGTCAGCAACTTTATTTTACCAAGTTTATGTAAATATATTCAAGTTCTGTGACAAATCAGGAATCGAGTTACACGCTGACATAAGCAATAACTCACATGGCCAGGAATCCTCAACAGTGCAGTTTGTTCCTTGTAGAAATGCGAAGATTATGAATCTTCAAGAACCCACGAAGGACACTATTTTTGCAAAATACGCAAATTTGGCCTATTTCGAACTTGCCCTAGCTCCTCACTCGTTAGTCCTACATCTATGAGCAAAAACAATCATATAAAGAAAATTTCATCAACTTCAACTCTTTTCAGGAAGGTCTTCTTGCCAAAATGTATAGTTTCCGAGTAATAGGCAAAAATCTGAAAAAAATGCGAAGATTTCGCTGTTTTTCTCGATTATCTCGGATTGCTAAACGAAATTTCATTTGGAAACTTCATATTCAGATTCAAGACCCTCAAAGCCATATGAAACCTCAGAGAAACGGACTACTTGAATTTCATCCATGAGAGGACCTTTAACGTAAACTCTTTTCTGAGCTAATTATGTTTTGTTTTTTAGATAGTACAGCTGGGGATGTAGGTCTAGCCTTGACTCAAGTACTTCTACTATCTAGTGAGGTACAGTGGAGTATCCGTCAATGGTCAGACCTTGAAAACCTCATGACGTCTGTAGAAAGGCTAGTTGAGTACACTGATGTCAAAGCAGAAACCACAGGTGGTACTGAGGTCGAGCATTGGCCACAAGCAGGCAGTATTACTTACAAGAATGTTTCCCTCACTTATAATAATAATGAAACGGTACTAAAAAATTTGACCTTCGAAATCAAACCCGGCGAAAAAATTGGAATAGTTGGTAGAACAGGAGCTGGCAAGTCTTCGATAATAGCAACAATCTTCAGACTATATGAAGCTGATGGTTCTATTCTCATAGACAATGTTGACATCAAAACGTTGTATTTGAAGTACTTGAGGAAGCACCTAGCTATAATCCCTCAAGAACCAGTATTATTTTCAGGGTCTATCCGGACGAATCTAGATCCATTCCAGGAATTCCAGGATGCAGATATCTGGAAAGCCCTTGGTCAAGTAAATTTGAAAAGTGCAATTCATGATTTGAACGCCCCAGTGAAAAATCATTCCTCAAATTTCAGCTCTGGGCAAAGACAACTGATTTGCTTAGCCAGATCTATTCTACGTAGAAATAAGATCTTGATTCTGGACGAGGCAAGTGCTAACATGGATAGTGAAACTGACTCACTATTGCAGGCTATAATCAAAGACAATTTCGCAGAATGCACTGTATTAACGATTGCTCATAGGTTACAGACCATTTTACAGAGTGATAGAGTTATGGTTCTGGATAGAGGGGAGATAGTGCAGTTTGATAGTCCAAATGAATTGCTAAAAAATACACAGGGTATATTTTATGAAATGATCAATCAAGCAGGGCTGCTCAAGAAGTATTAAAAGTTGAATAAATTAGTTCCCAAATGAAGTGCTGTTATTCAAAATGTTACACTTTCCAATTCGCGTAATGTTTTTGAGTCGTTCAAGGACTGCAAGATCTTCCTCACAAGTGATTTCAATCGCTAAAAAAGAAAGTTAAAAATATTTAGTGAATTCCTATATTCCGTTTGGCTGTGAATCGGTCTTACACTTATCTTTGATTTTTCTGCAATCCTTTTTGATGAAGGTACTTCTAGTAGGTTTGCCAGGAAATAATTCACATAGCGCTGATAGCTTTGCGTTGCAGTTAACTACTCTCCATAATTTTTCTGAGTCTAGAACAACGCAATCTTCACTTTTACTGACTGATCTTGGATGTCCAGGAGCCCAAGCTCTGAAAATAAAGAATATTCTTGTACCCATCAGTTGGCGTATCGAATATAATCTGTAGAAACCTGTAATTGGTGCAGCTGAGAAGCAAACCAGAAGCTGTTACAAACTTTCCTTCCTCATGCATATCATCCATACCAACATAGGCTAATCTGAACCAGCTTTCAAGAGTTGTATTCAGAAATTCTGAAAGATGTTTTGTCTTCACCTCAGAAGATACATCTGCTAATTCACCTCCAAATGATTTGCAACTTTCTTGGGCCAATGTGTGATTCTTCTTCTCAGGTGAGACATAAAAAATACCAATATTTTTTATACAAGTTGCATTGGATGAAGCTACAATAATAATAATTGTAGAGTTCGATTTGTGCATTTATCTGATATTATGTTTTTGTACACTTACAGTTTAGATGTCCAAAGGAACTATAATAATCAAAAGCCACATCTGATACAAAAGTATTACTCGTTCCGATTTCCGGACAACCCAACAGTTGACAGTTTCTTTGAGAACCATTGATGAATTGATTCCCTTCTCTTGGACTGTAGTTGAATGCCAAACTTCTCCTTCTTTTTGCGAATGAAATGCAGTCTCTAAGTGAATTAGTATCGCTCCAAGACAATATTGGTAGATTAGATTTCTTGCATTCCTTGATTCTGTAATACCTCAACGGTCTAGGAATGGTATCACAGGTTCTTCTGCATCGGATTTCTGTTGAAACTAAAAGCGTTAACAAGGCAGTTAATGTATTCATGATTAAAACACACGAGTATCTCATGAATGGGATAAAAATTTTATTAGAGTAATTTGTTCAGAACAACAATTTCAGGATATGTCAGTCAAAGCCACAGGAAACACTCATTATATTTCCGAATCAGAGACAACTGAAGCGTCATCTTCCTCATCGTTAATTCTTTCATCCTCGACTTGTATCTTCTCCAGTTCTTCCGGTTCGTATTCATCCCGCGTTTCTTGTGTTCCCTCTCTCTTGTTTGTATCGGCTAATTCTATCTCCTCATAGGGTTGGTCTCCTCTCTCTTGCTCCGCCTCCTTCTCTTCTGGCTTCTCTTGGGGGCGGACATAATCACTCTCAGTTGCTATGGGGCGGCTGGTAGATAATCTTCTGATGAGGGCATTCTCCACTTTGGGAAAAACGTCCTCTGGAGCGCTACTCGTATTGATCTACAAGGAGTGGTATTGCGAGGGATCATTTGACGAATTAGCTAAGAAACGTTGGCACTTACACTCTCGATTTTCAATGCGAATTTTCCAAGGCATACTTTCATATCTCTGTTAGCGTTGGCTATGTCTTTCTTCAGGTTATCTTCGTTCAGCTCGGTATCGGATTTTTCTTTGGCTCTGTCGATGAGGAGGGGAGTGTCTGAATAGAAGTAGAAGATGAAATTGACGTTGCCGATTTCCTTGAGGAACATGTCTGCTTGCTTAGCGTTCTTGGGAAAGTTGCTGATCAGGAAGCCTCTAATGTTGTCGTTGGAGTTTAGAAGGGATTCTTTGAGGAGATCTATCACGATAGTCTAAAAGTAACATTGAACTTTTTCAAACAATCTCAAGTTTTTGAGTAACTTACATCGTTTATTTTTCTTGCGGTATCTAAAGCTTCCTTCACGATACATCCTCTTTTGGTGTCATTCATCGCTTCTTGGCGTAAAAGTTCACTGATGCTGATCACTTCTAGATCGTATTTTTCCTTTATCAAATTCCCATGAGTTTTTTTGCCAGTATTTTTTTGTCCAGCTAACCAAATCATCGGTAAATTTTTGTTCTGTATAGGCGTCATGTCATATTGGACTCGTTCTGTAGAAGGTGCCTAGAATCGTGGAAATGAAATGGTAGGATAAGGGAGACTTTGGTAGAATCTATCGACTTACTGCTGAAACACATGAAAACGGTATATTCCCCATTTTTCAATTCGTCTACATCAGTCGGAAAATTCAAATACTTTTTGGTAAACCTCTGACATTCACCTATCAGATATTGACTGCTGCTTGGCGTATCATACAGGATGTGTCGATCTGATGAACAATGAATTGTTATTCCATCCTACCAGAAGAAGGAGCAGTCGAATTTTCCAGAGTTCTCAATAGTTATTTGTTTTACTAGGCAGGAAAGTAGTAGATTGACTGCCGTATGAAACATAATTTTTTCTCTAAATGTTAAAGAACTAATTTTGTGAATTTTCTTTTATTGACTATATCACTCATCACATAATCTGACCAATCACAAGCCAGAGGAAGATATTCAGAACAGAGTGGTGTTTTGCTAGACTATTCACGTTCACGGAGCATGAAAAGCATTTATTATAAATGAGTGATTCATAATGACAAGTACACTCATAATTATTTCATGCCAAACTGACAGACTTTGCTTCGCTATGCGAATAATCGAATTATAAATACATATTCAACAGGACGACTTTGGAAGTGATTTCTTAGGAAAGGATGATGATTGGTCTACAAATACAGTGAGTTATGTCAACAGTGCTTTATTTTGCGTATAAATAAAACAGTATAAATTAAATTTATTATTTCCTAATTTGTTTGGTGTGTGCTTATCTATGGGTATCCTAAGATATGCTATTAGGACACCAATGGATCCAAATATGTGGTCACCTCTGCGAAGATATCGTCAGTAGTCCTTTCTGCATTTATCTGAAAAATCGAAATAAATATCTTCAAAAAGTGCCAAAAAGTACAAGTGGAATTGAGATGTGTGAAATAAAGGTGGATATATGTATGGTGAAATAGCTCCCTCTTACAAAACCCTAGAAATTTTTGTAGACCTCTGGCCTACTTGATTATGTCGAATTCTATCACCGTAGTAAGGCCGCGCAAAACTAACGCTAGATGGCGCTGTTCCCGAAGTGATCCAAGGTTGGTAGAACTGATGATTATTTTGTAGAGGAAGGTTGCCTCGATCGCACCATGATCGCACCCCGCGAGTAACTCATGACGTAATAGGCCCTTTCTTTTGAACGAAAAGTGTAGCACTTTCGTACACTTCGTGTATAATATGTACGCCGGCGCATGTATTGAAGTGACAGTTGTAGTTGTCAGTATTTTCGAATATTTGAATCATTTTGAAATTAAAAATGTAAAAATGATGATTTGTTCAGTCACTTCTTGTTAAAATTCGTACAAGTGTAATAAGACTAGTGAATTTAGTTTGTGGTTCCTTTAATTTCCACAAGATGAGTCTATTCGTGAGAAATGGATTCAATTTTGGACGTGATTTCAATTCATTTAATACCAAAACTTGGCGAATATGTTCTGCCCATTTCGATGCCGAGGATTTTGAACGGCACAAGCAGAATTGCTAAATCACACACCAAAGAGAAGAAAACTTAAGGTAGGAATCCCATCAATAATACCAAATACAAGAAGAGAAACACCATAAGTATGGAAGTTTGGAAAAATGATCAGAACCAGACCAGTTGTGAATGTTGAGATTCTTGCTGAACGGGTAAAATGGACATCAGAAGATATCACACCTGTTTTCAAGTCGAGATATTTGAGCTAAGGACGTTACCCAACGAAGAGGAGCTATGTTTATTTCAGAGATTCCTTGAACTATCCTTTACTATAGGTTCACTTATAATAGTAGTAGTGTTATTTTTTATTAATTTTGTTATTTTGAACAGAATCACATTTTGTTATTTTTTTCTGCTCAAACACTTCAATTGCTCTGTTTTGACACTACAATATAATCAAACAATGAAATACTATTTTCTCTTGTATTTTCTATAGGTAGGTATCTAGGGATGTTTTCTAATTTTTCAGAATACAGAGTTATATTGATAAAATAAGGGGTCTGATGTGTACGAATATTGGTCCACTGCTACTACTTCTGGATCATCAGATGATTATTCTTTTATTTTCGGTAGTTTCTTGTTCACTTTATCTGATTTGCAGGATATTTATAGGATGTGTAGGTTCATAATCAATGCATATTAAGTAATCACTAGCTCCATAATTATGCTCCATACCTCAAAACACACATACCTGGTACCAGGACCTGGTAAATAGCCCCTGGAACAAAATTTCAGATAGGTATTCCTCTCTGTACTACTGATTCATCCATGATGAAAATGATCCATCCAAAATTGCCTTCCCATTTCGAAGATTGAAGGTATTATACAGAAGTATATGTAAATATCCATATTTTATAATGGTACTTATAATTATATACCCTTGATATAAATATGCTGAGCAGACCAAAAAGTTTGTATACTCTATCTGGTAAACAACATTTCATGACATTTTGCTTTAAGGTTGACAACTTGTCATCTTATCTTACTGCCTGTGACGTCACGAGTGACCGTTTCCCCCCTTGCCGCACTATCGATCGAGGCAACCTTCCTATACAAATTATAATCAGTTCTACCAACCTTGAAGTGATCTTGCTACACAATGGTTGTTTTGTTTTGTTGTTTACATTTACGTATATTAATTCGTGATTCAAAAACATTGAGAAAAAGTGATTGATTTAATGAAAAAGACGTGAAATTTTCATTATATCTGTGAAGTTCATGTGGCACGATGTTCCCTACGCCATCTACAATCAATCTGGTGCGGCCTTGCTACGGTGTCTCGCGGTTTACACGTTTTGGAAAAAAAACAATTGACAAGTGGTTACACCAGTCTATTTTCATCATGTGTGAAATATTCATTTTGTCAGTTGAAGATCATGGAATCGAAATGTTATCATTTGTTTATTGCTTGTACGGGATGATACGTTATAAAGTAAAACCCCCTGTAACTCAATATTGTAATCATAGACCAGGCCTACTACCGAAAATCATTCAGATTCAGTCAAACTTTTGTTAGTTATCAGAGTCCATATTTTGATAAATATAAAAATGAAAAATATATGAAGTACGAAAGGTTTTTCCAATGGTACGGAAATATGTATGGTTTTCCATTTAAAATTCATCCTTTTTGCTGCTTCCTGTATGTTTTTGCAGAAAGTGAAAATGTATCTCTTGATTCGAAAAAAATCGTCTGTAAGGCTATTTTTCTTTTTTTTCTTTCAACTGTCAAAAATCAACGAGTTATAGGGAGTGTTAGTTCATAACTTGTCCCCCGGTACACTCAATTCAAGTAGCACGTTAGAAGAAGAAGAGCAGTTAGTTTTTTGTAAGTCTTAATAACTCTTGAATTTTAAAGTATGGGTTTTGATACGAATTTGACGCAGAAACAATTCGTGGAATCACTTACTGAGGACAATTTTATTGAATTGAATGTATGATTTGGAATACTTATAGATAAAGTTTGCGAAAACACTAACGGCAACAACAATGTATAGATAATATTTGTTGTTAAACAGAGTGACTTCAAATTCTATGTGAATCTCATGAAACGTCTACAAGTCTAGAAACGTGATGAAACAAATGTTTCGTAATATTTCTCACAATATTGGTATTCGATGTGTCCGATAATGAATATTATATTGTTCATTAGTTGTTTTCTCATGAAACCTTTATTATTGTATCAATATTATTATTAAGTACTTCCTTATACCAGAACTTGTTTTCGACTCAGTTATATTTTCAATAGATGAAAATATAATGTTATAAGTACTGAAATATCTCAAGACATCTGTCATACATTTTGAAACCCCTATTATAAAGCATCTGTTATTAGTTCTGAAACGTTTGCTTTTATTCCAAAAGACTATGTCAAAAAATTGAAATGTACGATATGTTATTGAAACATCTGTGAGAAGTTCTATGTTATGAGCCTTAAAATATTTTTTCACATTTTCAAACATCTGTTACAAATCTTGAACTGTTATGTCATGAGACCGACGCAATGGCTGTTGTCTTGAAACGTCTGTTATGAGTCTTGAGACGATTGTTATGTTGAAAAACGAGAAGACTTGAACATATATGGCATATAATCCACATAAGCTATCCTTGTAACTCCCTACACAATTTCCCCCTCTTCGGTCAACTAATTATTATACTTGACATCGAACATTCCTCCTATAGAAGAAAGAATTCTGACCCTGATCTTGCAGAAATGATGAGAACTTAGAATGAGTGAACAACGACGACGGTCAATAACTCTTTTGATCATGTTTTGGTTCCATCAAATACTATTATTATAATAGACACAAGTGTTGCTCTCTTGCTCATCGGAATAATGAATAATCACAAATTCCCCCACCTTCCTGAGTTTCTCGGTATACTGTTGCACCACCTGGTCGTTGTGCGTGTTGAAGGTGTTCAGCCTCTTCTTGATGGTCTCCTCGTTATCATCCACCCTTCCGGAGGTCTTCGCCCTGCCGAGCAGCCTCTCGACCAGCGTGTCCTCGGAGGCATCAAAGAAAAGCACCAGGTCAACGGGCGCTATGCTCTTCTCGAACATGACACCCTGCTCCTTCTCCCTGGGGTAGCCGTCGATCAGGAAGCCCTTGGAGGTGGGCAAGGACGCAGTTATGGCCTCCCTGAGCAGGTCTAGGACTACCTCCATGGGCACCAGTTCGCCCTTCTCCATGATGGCCGTGAGCTCTTGGCCTCTGGGGGAACCACTGGTCACCTGGGAGGTAAGACAACATTAAGATCAAGATGTAGTGTTGCTGAAGATGTTCTGAAAATACACACACCAGCACAATTAGGGGAACGGGTAACATTTACGCTAAGTTTGATATCAATTTTCTCCTGAACCCATCGCTGGATTGAATTTTTTGTGTCCAAGAATTGTAGCTTGATTCTTCACGAATTCATCTAACAAATAACCATCCTCGAACAAATCGTCTTTATATCATATACAGGGATGTAAAGAATGTACGGATATTTCGGTATTTTTCAAGACATCCTGTGGAGTGAACCACTGATGATTGAAACGATTTCTCAACAACAAATTGTGACCCACCCTAATCCGAATATTTTCATTTTTCATCCATTTTGATATCTCCATCACTATAGAATTCATACTCTTGAATAAAATATGGATATTGATATCAATTTTACCGACCTCCACACTCGAAGTGGGGATAGGATAATCTTCCTCAAAAAATGATTGATAATGTCATCGGAAGCATGAAGAGACGGATGACTGCTGTGATAAGAGCACGTGGAGGTCACACGCGTTATTGAAATCATTGTTCTTGTTTTGGATCTTTATTGTTCGTTGAGTTAATGTTATTGTTATTGAATGAAGGCTTCGAGTAAATTACTTTCCTTTTTATTCACCTCTGAATATTTCCAAGAATTCTTGACACAACAGACTTATACGTGAAACTGGGGGCAATATTCAACTGAAAGTAGAAATTTTCAAAGAAAAAACTTGAGGAATGACATGACATTTTCGGATCCAATACGATTTTCGAGGTGATAGAAGGTGGCAAGACCAATCTCCACCTTTTCTTCGAAACTCTACATTATCTTGAATAATGGAGATATCAGTATAAATGAAAGAAGACAATGTTCGGAAAAGATCAGGCTACAATTTTGTGATACAGATTGGTGTCAATTGTCCTTGATTCACTCCACAGAAGAATCCGTACTTTCTTCCCACCTCTGTATATGATATAAAGACGGATCATTCGAAGGTGTTCATTCGTCACATGTATTTGTGAAGAATCAAGCTACAATTCTTGAAGAAAACAATTGAAATCGAGCAATGGGATCAAGCGAAAATTGATTTCAAACTTAGTGTGTGTATATTCGGTTGATCTGGTAATATTTATAGACTGTTGGCCCATGCGAGCGCTATGATCTTCCTGAACATGACGCCCTGCTCCTTCTTCCTGAGGTAGCTATCGATCAGGAAACCTTTGGAGGTAGGCGAGGCCGCATTGATGGCCTCCCTGAGCAGGTTCAGGACTACCTCCATGGGCACTAGTTCTCCTTTCTCCATGATGGCCGTGAGCTCTTGGCCTCTGGGAGAACCGCTGATTACCTGCGAGGTACAAGATCAGCATGTATTGTCGCTGAAGTTGTCCTGGAAATATATCTGGTTGATCTGGTAATATTTAGATGAGCAATGCCCAACAAGATAGCATGATAGCAGCCACTGCTCATGTTTAATTGGCTCTAGCTTCATTCTGAAGGAATATGAGCCTGAGGGGCTGATATCACCAAAGAACCCTCAAGTAACCAGGTGAAGAAGTGGTTTTGTCCTGAGAAAGGCATCGACAGTTTCATTCCCTCTGATTCTCATACCCTGGCACACGCGTAAGTTAGATGTTTGCCTTGTCTTAGGGAAGTGAGAGCTCAGAGCTCTCAATGCTGTCTGTCCTCTTCATTAAGAATCAATGCCTATTTATATAGAGATGCCTAGAGCTCAGGAAATTATAAATATATCTGAAATCCTTGCATTGGCTGATGTACATGTGAAATAACTGTTGATTATCCAAAAATATGTTATTTGACTGGATCTCTAGCAAGAAGATTAGTAAGAAAAACTGTTACCTCTGCTCTAAGGAGGTCCCCAGACGATAGATGGGTGAACCCATATTTGGCAACTATTTTGTCGCACTGTGTCCCTTTGCCTGATCCAGGGCCTCCCAAAACCCAGATGATGGGGACCTTTATCTCGGGAACTGGAGCCTGTGGGAGAATTGGAGATGTTACTTTCGAATCTACTACGGAGATTTCCAAGACAAACGAAATGTAATCTCAAAACTCTGGAATAGACAGGGACATGGTCAAAATATATCCTAAATTGTGGAACGGACTTGATGTTATTCATTTATTCATCATACAGGGATCGATTCCCATAGCTTTAGAGTATATTCTTTCAACAGTTACAAGTCGAATGTGCCCCATATACTTTTGTCGAAAACTCTATAATTGAGGAGTAATGAGCAATATTAAATTCAACAGAGTGTGTAATGAAACAAATAGAATGTTTAATAAAGTAAAGTAATATTCTATCAATTGGTAATTTTTGTTTACTTACACAAAATGTAACTGAGGTGTTTGTTCAAAATGTCCCCCTGCTGCTTCAAAACATATTCTGTCTTGTCTAATTATTGGAAAGTTGCTGCATGAGGAGTACCTGAGTCGTCTCTCGTCTCTTATGGATAAAGGTGTAGTTATGATATTTTGAATTAGCTCATCTCCCCAAAGATAAAAGTGGTCAGGTGACCTCGATATGGCCAAAGAACTGGACCACTTCTTTCAATTTATTCGTGAGCAAAGTTGTTATTCAATTGCTCATAACTTCTTGAACTTCGACGAAAGCGTATGTGAAGGGCTTTTTCGACTTGAAATTGTTAAAATAATATGCTAGCTAGTGGGATCGAGTCACAGGACATGGTCTATGTTTTTTATCGTATACCCCTTCAAAAAGAAATTATCTCCGTGCCTGGATTCCAATTTCTTCCGCCCAAACATCCTTCCAGATGATCCGGTAGGCCAATCGAAATGTGTAAAAGTTGCCTCTGCCTCTTGAAGCATTGAAACGCATTCTGCTACTGATTTTCACATAAGTGTGATGGTCTAAAAGGTAGAATGCTGAGGTACCAACTTTTTTGATTTTCTCGAAGTGAATATTCGAATGAAATACTGTGAACACTTCCATTGTTGAGGCCGATAGTGATTCCTGAATCGCTATTTCAATGACGAATTCGAATTGACCGCCATATCAGCTAGATTCGTTCTGATTGGTCGTTTACGGAAGTTTGTGCGAAACGAACTCCTGGGGCTTGACCCATAAACTGTCAACTGTCTAGATCGTTTTGAAGTTAAAGTTGAAAGGCACCTTTTGTGTCACCCCGTATAACATTTCAAGTTGTATCAAATTCCTTATGAATTCCTCGTTTTAACCTTCCGCAAATAAGTATGAACAGTTACGCAACAAATTGGACGGATATGGACTGAATGAACTTGAATATAATAATCGTTCGTAATTATGATTGCTGATAACAAACATAAATAAACAGACAAATCCAAATAACTCACCATCACTCAACAATCAACAATTGAAAGAGCAGGAATGTCAAATTAGCAGGAATTGTATTATTAGCAGCAACGACACAATACTGCTCTGATGAAAGTGAAATAATAATTGCTACCGAGTGTTTTATTTCCAACCGCCAGCGTGGCATTGAAAAACGAGGTGATGCTGTGCCAAAACAAAATCGTGTTATTTTTAACTGATTTTCGCGGTTATTGAAGTTTAAAAAATCATTCGATTCATTGTCGCATTTAACATGGTCGATTTGATAACATTTAGGAAGGAAACAATAGTGAATGTTACCATACAGGGTGATTCATCAAAGAATGATTCATTAAATCTATAGCATGATAGTGGTAGATATTCCTCACACTATATTACTATAAGCACATGGATATAACTTGAGTTCAGTATTTTGAGTCTAATACTGAATCAAGAAACATTTTTGATTGATCGATGCATCCTATAGACAGCTCTATAGGGTCTAATAAATAACTACCTATACCTTTATACAAATTCCTATCAGATATGTGAATTAGATAGGTAAATGAATAGATCAAAGTCAGATGATGAAACTTCTTATTCAATTTTGATAAAATGGGTTTACTTATCTGATAATCAATATTTTATTGCGAAAAATATCTGGAGTACGTTTTTTCAACTTCTGGAATTTTAAAAACAGTTTTGATGGTAACGAACATCAATGGACAAGATTTCGTGACAGAAGTTTTTCGCTGGTAATACCAACATCAATGAATTTAACTTCAATTTGAGAATAATAACTACAACTAACTACTGAACATAGCTTCTCTCTAGATTTCAAGGAAACCTGTATCAAAATCGAAACGTCAAATCGTTAATGACTAAAATATTTCAAATTCAGTTAGTACTCACAGAAATTGATGTATTACAAGTGCATTTCTTACTGCTGCTTCCAGCATTTGGTGCAGCTGACATTTTTTAAGACGATTTAACCAAACTGACAGACCTGTCAATATAATTTTATTATTTCCTCGGATAAATAATCATTTTCCAAGTACAGCATTATTTTTTCACATTTTTAGCCTCGACTAATTTGATTCTGCAACACTTACCAACAATTCAGAAATGCCAAAGTCAATGGCAACAGCCTGCTTATACTCCCTAACCAATGAATCTTCAAGAAACCGTTTTCTCTCAAACCAGATATTTCTCTTCGACAAAGTCCTCACCCCCTTGACACTTTTCAAATATCTAGCCGTTAATATTACATCATATCGTCCTCCAACCCTCAAAGTCAATGGTCCCAACATGCTTCGAATAAATGCACCTTTCAATGGTTCTGATCTTGCGAACAAGATTTTTCATAGATTATGCACATACAAGATACCATCATCACGAGGTTTTCATGTTTTGGACATTGCAGTTCAAACCGGTATACAAGTGATTTTTGACCTATATCCAGAACAACAATTCAATGATGAAAACATTTGGCTATCTGCAAACTGCAAACGAGTGATCGGTTATGGTTTCAAGTTTAAAGTTCGAATTTTGATTCATTATCAGGTGGCATACGATGGAGGCATTGATTTGAAAGTGAAATAAGAGCAGTCTATTATTCTTTTTTTTTTCGATCGATTAACATTGGAAATTGAAGTTTACACGGTTTTGATCAATGTTTTGTCACCCAAATGGCACCAGGTATATTATCTATCACCACAGGAAATAATCACATCTTACAGAGATGTTCATTGATGATTCGTTGGATGGATCAACTCACGCAAGGATTCTATGTATTCAGATAGGGAATTCGGCCGTGGGGAGCGATATTGAACCTTAAACAGAAGACATGCTGCACACGGATGCTGGAGCGGGTGTTCGATAAATAGGTCTGGACACAAGAAAACACGTTTTAGAGTTTTTAATGACCCTCAATGACTCTTCAACATTCATACGTCTTTCTCTCGTCTCTCTGGAAGAGATGATTTCTTGTTGGTATCTTGGTATGTTTTGTAGAACTTGAGATGACCTCACAGATTTTTCAAACTTTCTTGATGATTTAAAAACCTCAGAGTTCTCGAACCCCTCTCATTTTAACGGAGTTTTTAGCGATTTTGTTGTGATAAGAACTGTGGTTCATGAAGAGTTTGAAGCTTAGCATCGTGGCGTACTAATTTTTTTTTTTTTTTTTTTGAGTTTGGTTTAAGAGATATACCCAAAACTAATGATTGTTCGATGGAACACCTTGTATTTTTTAGTGAATTCAAGTAGCTTAGCAAAAATCTGTTGAGTTCTCCTAGAGTTACACACAATATTCGAATTAGAACGTACATGGATATAAGGAACCTGATTGTTTCAAGCTACTTTGTGAATTTCAAAATTCCAAAAATCTTGGTATTGAGCTTAGATATATTAGATCATTCAGGCAATAAGTGCTAGGATTGATATCTGTAGTTCTCTTACCATGAAATTCAGTGGACCGACGGTTAATATCAGAAATGTGAAACAAAAATAGACAACACTAGTGCTTTTGGCGAAAAACATGAAAGTGCCGAATTTTCGAGATGTTGAACTAGGTATTAGGTCTAAAAATATAGGAGACTATGGCCAATAACATACGTGGGAGTTGAAAAAAAAACTGATATATACAGGGTGGGTCAGCTATCACATCTCAAACTTCAGGAATCGATACAACATGTCGAAATCGAATACCAAACTCATCGTTATTAGAACTAGAATGAAAATTATTTCGATGCTTCTGAATATTTAATTTTTTTATAGAGGATTTCCTGAAATTTTGGAGTCATATAACAAGGAACTCTCCTTCTCTCCTTCACATGTATTTTCATAATAATCTATTGATTGAAAAGCATTGAAAGAACCCATCTTAGATTATTTTCCCGATTGACTTGTGATTATTTTCAATGGAATTTTTATAGCGTTTGTACTAAAATGAAGTGTTATAGCCATTGCTAGAAGTTACTTCATTATTTCAATGCAAACTGACGAAATGAATGTAGAAATTTATTAGTGATTAAGTGAATTATCTATTTGTCAAATCATTCCTTTGGTTATTTCATTAATTGCTGGTTTGCTTCTATTCAATGAAATTCTTATTGCTTTGGTGCTAAAATGAAGCGTTATAGCCATTGCTTTAAAGTTACTTTATCATTTCAAAGCAAACTGATGAAATGAATGGAGAAAGTTAGTGATTGAGTGAATTACCTATTAGTCAAAATAAATCATTCCTTTAGTTATTTCATCAATTGCTTGTTTGTTTCTATATTTTTTTGCAAAATAAACGTGATTTTGTGAAAAAGAAAATATTCTTGATAACATTTGAAAGACTTGTCGTATCACGACCTTTCATAATTCTCCCAGAAGTTTCACTTTAGTCTACTGATATATAATATACAGGGCCTCTATAAATGATCGCACAATCTGGTACCTGTTGAAATATTTTATTGAATTGTCGCTTTCAACTTATGGATATCGAACTAAAACACATGCGGTAGCTTCAATGCCTGTCAACAGCATAAGAAGAGAAATCCTGATGTACTACGCTTGAAATTTTTGTGTTCATTTGAGAAAATATTCTTAATCCATACCTAGATATCTACATGATGTGTCTCATGTCAGAAACAAAATGTTGGCTAGAATGTGTTTGTATGGATATAATAAACTTTAATCTTTTGAACGAAGAGTAGGTCATCATTTTCTGGTTCTGGCAGTGAATCTGGCAAGAACTACTTATAGGTAATCGGGTAGATGTTATAATAATATATAAATCTATAGATACTTACAAAACCGTTCGATTCGCTCATTATGGCACAAAACGTAGAAAGTTTTACTGATATCAACATACACCACGCTCTACTGTATCAAATTCGACCTAAACCTAAAATTCTCCGTTCCCTGGGACTGAATCTGGATCGATAAGGATATCCGACTTGAATTCTACAGGGCCGTAGTGAGCGATCTTGCCAGTTTCTAATTTTCCACCAGAGACTGACCAAGAATAAAACAATATCATCCTAAGTACAAATTAGGTTCGTTCACGTTCACAAAATTGATATTCCGAAACCATCATAAGCTGGCGCAGTGTCACAAAAGTGTGTTCGCGCTTTCCAGGACTGTTTTGAACTCCACACAGGTTCTGTGTTTTCGTTTTATACGAACTGGTTTGGGACAGTTTCGAATAGGTCCAAAGCAGTACTAGCCACTGGGCAAGAACTGTTCATGACTGCCATGGATGATTTTGGATGCGCAATGCGCATGCGTTTATAGTTCATATAGCTATAAAGTGGATTGAATGTGATCAGCAGTGAATTGCCAATCACTAAATAATCACCTACTACATAGTAATCTCGAATCATTCTATTCCTTGCCTCATCTTTCATATAGGATCCATTCAAGGATTTTATAGAGAACTGGCAACATCGCAGTCATTCCCAGCCGTCAGAACTCCAAACAATCGAATTTCAAGAAGACACTGACATCACAGCTCAGCAGCATTTGGATTCAAATGAAATGAAATAGCATTTTCAATATTAAATAATTGATTAGTTCTGAAAGAACGTCAACATTTTACGACGTGCTTTATTTGTATGTAACAATATGAATTGTTCACTATGGAAATAATTCTGAATTCCTGATTGGCGCAGTTACTCTTTGTATAACCATGTATATTCGAAATTATACAAGGTAGCTTAACTCAATTAAACGTTCTGATTGGTTTAAAATCACATGAAGAAAATGATCGCTTCTTCGATACCTTCTTTCTTGTATTATTATGATTGTGAAAGATTATGCCTTTACAATGATAAATTTCCTATGTAGATATAATGAGTGATTATATTCATATTGAAAATTGAACGTGAACGTGAATGAAATATAAACGGGTATATGGGTTTATAGATGAAGCTTTTGAACAAGACATAGATATTTTATTTTATCATTTTACATATAAAAAAATATCCTTACAGAGATAATACCTAAATCAATGCCACTAGCTCTAGTAGTGATACCTACCTAAACAATTTCTGAACAAATGTGAATTTCATTATTCTTTTGCATAATGCATTATTTCAACAGTATCAGTGAATATTTATGTATATAAGGTGTAGGTATCTAATCCCAGTTTTCAAGGCATTTCACATCCTTTATCCTGCACTCTTGCACTTTTGTAATATATCACAATTGTCCACAAGAAATTACAACAAAATTCGAGATGTACAGGTGACTATATAATTTCTCTGATTATGTTTGCAATCATACAACTACTCATATACAAAACTACAAAATAGCTTCCATTAAAAATTACTGTCGTCTACAAACCTGCAAGTGCATATTTACGATTATTTGCCACTTATTCACCATATGGTATAACATAGAAACAATGAACAAAAACAACCGACCAGCGGTTTGTATACACTACTTTAAAATAATATTTGTCTTAATAGTAAATATAATATCTTCATGACTAAATCCTACTCAATATAATACTTAACCAATGAGTTAACCTAGAATACTGTTGGACCCACAGAGAGCAAAATGTTCAATAATGAAAGTTATAAAAGCTCTATGGTCATTAGTTCATTTTGTATAATACCTCTGAAAAAAACGTTCAATTTTTCTAACAAAATTTTTGATTAATGCTGTCATACAGTGTGACCCGCTTCTGATGGAACCCCCCCTTGTATCTTACGTAATCGTTGGGTAAGGATCCTGAAATTTGCTGGAGCGAGAGATATACCAAAAATGCACTCTATGACCAAGTGGGGTCATCTTCAGTGATATACACTGCTCGCCAACAGCCATGGAACCAGCCAAATTTCCAGGAGTCAAAATAGGTCAAAAATCACTTAAGATACGTTATCAGGACGCCCAAATGACAAACTATCAATATTTTTCCTCGAAAATGTTCAGTTCTGAAGAATTAAATTTTGTCGCAATTTTTACGGAAGCACCCCTGTATCTTACGTAACTGACTTTATCTCTGGACTTTCACTTCCTCCTGCAAATTTCAGAACCCTACCTCAATAATTACGTGAGATACGGGGGTGCTTCCATGAGAAGTGAGACAAAATTTAATTTTTCTGAACTGAAAATTTCATAGGAAAACTATGAATAGTTAGTGAATTGGGCGTCCTGATTCCGAATTCGAAGTGATTTTCAACCTATTTTGACTCCTAATATCATTTTCCGGAAATTGGGGTGGTTCCATGACTGTTGGCGAGCAGTGTATATCACTGAAGATGACCCCACTTAGTCATAGAGTGAATTCTTGATATATCTCTCGCTCCAGCAAATTTCAGGATCCTTACCCAACGATTACGTTAGATACAGCAGTGTTTCCATTAGAAGTGGGTCACACTGTATATTGTTGTGACAATCATCTTTGGCAAAGCAACACATCGATTTCTTCGTTTAAATAGACCTATGAAGAAACAATAACAGTAAGCTATGAATAGTCAAACATCTCAGTAATCCATTTCTTTGACATCATGATGCTGATGACCAAAAAATCAGCCAACCTGATTCGATCAGCGCATTAACATTCCTAAGGCACTAATATCATCCTAATCTTAACCGCACCATTTCTATCACATTGTTTAACTGCACCTTCGCATAACTTCAGATATGCCCATCCATATTCACTTGGCTATACGTTGGCAAACCATTCGAAACGAAACCATTGGTCATCCCAGGGGCCATCACATGGCCGTTGGTCATATGCGTACCACCGTTCGCCACTCTCTTACTTATTGTCTCTATGGGTTCATCTTCTAGGTCTTGTAAAAGGGTGTCGTTCGGCACTTTACCATTTGGTAAATGCCCGTTGGCATAACCGTTCGTGTAGCCATTGCCATTTGGTATACCGTGGCCGTTAGATAAGTGGCCATTCAATACATTACCATTTGAAACGTTACCATTTGGTATGTTGCCATTTGGAATGTTGCCATTTGGTATGTTGCCATTTGGTATGTTGCCATTTGGTATGTTGCCATTTGGTATGTTGCCATTTGGTATGTTACCATTAGCTATGTAACCGTTTTGCAGAGTTGCTGGAGCTGTTCCTAGCTCAGAATTTATGTAGTTAATGTGTTCTCTGACGACTGCTTTGAAGTCTTCTTGAACTGGTAGTGTATCTGTATCTCCATCCACCTGCGAATATAAATAAGTTGGTGTAAAGTTGCTAAATCAAGATGTGACTTATGAATGAGGTTCTGTGATGGCACTCAGGTATTTCAAAAATGAAAATTCGAATACAAGTTACAATTCCTTATGAGCGCACTCCGCAATTCCTCAGAGAATGACAATGATCACATACTTACAATCGTCAGTCTCCCAATGCTGTCCATAGCTTTTAACATCGGCAATGAAGATTGTCTGAAGATTTCTAGTCTTCTTCTGAAGGCTGTCACACTGTCGTCCAATCTGCCTCTGCCTAGTTGAAGCTTGGAGCAGTCTAGGAGGATGACAGTTGGTTTCTGTTTGAACTGTAAAACAAGAAACGATTCGAATTTATTTGGTCCTTATAGGGTCATTTTGGGGAATTCGAAGGCAGAGAATGTGAATGTTATTTCTCAGAATCCGGCAGAAGATCAATGGATAATGTAAAACTTCCAGTTATTGTGAATAATATTCGGTCTAAGAAACTTCATCATACTTCCGAGATTTTTCGAAGCAATCTCGTGTGGCAATAATTGTCAGTTCAGAGTGAAGTAAATTGGTTGGCATCCTGAGTCTTCTTATAATATTGTGCTATTAATTTTATTTGCATTTTATAACGTTATTGCTTCCAAGTAATGATTTGTCGTTTGGATCATCAATTTCTTTCATGTCCAATATTACCAGTGACATGAATTGATGGAGTTATCGAATTGCATTCATCAAACTTCTCCTGATTATAAAAAAAAAGGAAAACTTCCACGAAGTATACATGAAAAATTGTTCTAATTACACACTGGGGATTAATTCAACTCAGAAATATTGAATTCTGACGTCATAATTATATACCGTGTGCTTTTCTAGAATGGAAACGAAGTCATAATTTGAGGCGAACGGTCGATATAAAATATTCAGGTAGTCCCCAAGGACGTATCGAGAGCCATATCGATGACAAACATTTTACCCTAGTCGATTACAAGGAATAATTGATAAGTTTCTCTAATAAATGGTGATTTTCGTCCCCAAGCGATGCGCACTTGAGAGTTGGCCATATTTTCAGTCCCCCTCTCCCTGGATAGAGTGAATCATTGAAACTGCACTCTTCTTTGGATAGTAATAAATGAACGTCACAGTCATTCCTAACCCTAATAATAAAGAAAAAAATATTCGAAGAGTGTTAGGAATCTCATTTATTCGCCTAATTTTTTCAACTCAATGTGGAAGCATATAAGTTGATAGGGAGAGGAGTAGACCCTCCGTGAATGTATGCAGATAAAACAAAACAAAAATCCAAATGCACCTCATTGAATTAATTCCGATTCGATTTTCCAAAATACAATACAGTCTGTCAGCATGCACCTATTTTCCACGAACATTATAGGAATCTCCTTCCGTGAGCCCCAAGAGATAAAAAAAAAGTTAGGTTCATACCCTTATAGACTACCTTTTTTTCATCTTCGAACCATCTGCATACCTAGCGAAGGTATATCTCATTACTATAGTCATGCCATTTTTATCATTCTCCGTAAAAAAACATTGATCGAAATTTAACTTCTCCACCAACCTTGCTCTCGAACTCGCTCACTTGCTCCATATCCCTCGGGAACCCATCCAGAATAATTCCCTGTTTGCCCATATTGTCCCTCATATGCGACTCCAGATACCTCATCACCGTGCCCTGCTGCACCATCTCCCCCTTGCTGATGCTCTCCTTTAACCTGATAATGATAAAAACATTTATTTCATCGATCCCAAAAGAAATACATGTTTATGGGGGGACATTATCAAATAGATAAACAAATTGAATATCCAATAAATTGAAAGATGAACAGTTAAATGGAATTAGAATATATTCTTCAGTTCACTTTTGAATTTTTTGAAGAGATTAATAGAGTGTGATGCTTATGATCGTGCTCATGAGTATCAGAATGACATTGAGAGTAAGATGCACTTTCATTTTGAAAAGGGAGTCAATATCTAGCAGATCCCTTGGTTGTTATAGTTGTATAGATGTTGATTCCAAAAATGGTAGTTTATAAATACATTGTATAGCTTCATTTTGAATAGATTTCAGGTTTCAAAGACTTTGCTGCAGTACCACAGATCGATATAAGATGCTGCAATTTAGAGAAAATCAAACTGAAAAAGATTAATTCCAAGTATTTGAAAGGCATTAAATACGTCAATTTCTATAATATACCAACAGTGGAGATATTGCTTTCCTAAGCCTTTGGATATGCGATGATCAAGATAGAGACTGGTCTATAGTTAAACTTAAGAGTTTGGATTTATTTGTAGTATTTATAAGAACATTTTGGAACTTTTAAGGATCGACTTGGTTATCGGAAATAACTCTTTTCGAGATGAACACGAAAGAGGATTTATCGGAATTGAGTGTAAATTTATGATCTTGTAGCCAATGTGATCAAGGTGAGATCTTGACTTGACTTGACAACCTTGCTTCATGAGTGGGAATAGAAGATTATCTGACCAAAAACGAAACATCATAAAAACTGACTTCACCATTTATTCGACGTATCGCTGAATATCGGCCATGAAGGTTCGTTTGAAATGAGCTCTAGAATTCAACAATTTTGAACAACAATTATTTACATAAAAAAATCGTGAGAAGTGTTGCAAAAATCAATTTAGGTTTTTAACGACAAAGTGGAGAAATTGAATGCCAATAATTCATTATTCAAAGTTCTTCTACTACTCCATCCATTTGCTCCACTTTGATAGATTAATACACTATCATCAAAATTTCAAGTAAAGTCTAACCTGGCGATCTCCGGGCTGGGCCTGATGCCAGCCCCGTCTGCTGCAGCCCTCAGAGTGCTGCCCAGGCTGAAGTGGTGCCAGCCCGTTTCCGCGGCTGCAGAGGAGCACAGGGCGGCCTTGTTGCTGCCCGGACCGCCCAGCACCCACAGCACCGGGGGGTACGAGGGCTTGGTGGGGGATTGGGAGTGGGGGCGATTGGCGTTGACGGAGATCACTTGGGTGCGAGGCCGCGGGGGCGAGATGACGAGTCGGTCTGGCTCGGACCTGGCTGGTTGAGTCGAAAGTTGAGAGGGGGGTAGCGTGGACTGGAAATCGAGAAGTACGTTGAAATCGGTGTGGAGTTAATTTGTATTGGAGATCAGTTGATACACAGGGCTGAATTGAGACTAATTCTGGCGTCCGGGGCAAAATATTATATGAAATTGAAAATATATATTATTCTTCTCGAATTGTCTTCTTCATTCCATCAGAATTGATACTTCTCAGTGACAGATGTCGATGCAAACAAATGAGTAACAGGATGTTTTCATTAATTTAATGTCGAAGACGGAAACAGATTCGTTTATTCCGAAACGTATGAAGCTAATAAATATTTGATATTCTTCCAATTTATATTTATATTTCTATTCTCCGAACATTCTTGAAAACAAGTTATGACACTGACATTGAATTCTCCTTTTAGGCCCTCTTGTAAAAAAAAATTATCATCCGAATCGTCCTCACTTCATGCAGGAATATTGAAATGATACTTATATTTTTAGTTAATAGAAACGAGGAGAGAAAATACCAAAAGAACATAAATGAAAGTGAAAATCACAAGCAAGAGAAATATTATTGAGCTCCCTTTATGGCCTTGATCGAGCAATATTATAAATGTCTCAATGATGCATCGTTCATCAAGACTTATCAGCAAATAATGTTCGATATTTAATAGGGAAATATCGCTTATTGGCCCTGATCACTGATATCGATCAAATCCTGCTCTCCTTATTGATCTCAGAATTCAGTTACTAACTCCATGATATTAATCGATTATCATATTACACAATATAATGAAATATTTATTCATCCACTAGTCCATATTTTACATTGGTATATGAAAAGACAAAAACGAATTCATGTAAAATCATGGAATATACATTCACATGAAGTCGTTAGTATAATAACAAACAGGCTGTAGGAAACAAAATAGTTGATAAAATATTCAAAGGAATAAAATCCTTGATCACTGAGGAATTCTCTTGTCTGTTACGTATGATACCGACTTTTGTATTGGTGAAGGCATCTTTTTATTCGATTCTGAAAAGTGGTCGGTGAAACACTAACAGAGAGCTACAAAATAGTCGTATATTTCTTCAGGAAGTGTGAAATTATATTGTCTCATTTGCTAAAAATCAATGGGATCTCTTCAATTTCACACAGCTATAAGGCAATGTGAAAAGGTTGAGTAATTACAGTACTTTTAACTTCTGGGTAGATCTTTTTTCGTGCATTGTTGGATGACAAAACTACCGTTCTCGATTGAAAACTCTATTCATCAGATTATCATGAATGTAGATAACTTAATTATTAACTGTGATGAAACTTCTATAGCTCCATCATAATTGTTAGTTTCACAAATATAATAGGGGTTCTAAAATACGAACGAAGTTGTATCTTGCAGCATCATCGAATATATTTCCCAATTAAGTGTTCACTGATTCATAACACAAAATATAAACGTGATTATTGGGGTGAGCCTCATCGATGGATAACCCTCTAGAAAGACCCCATTTTACAAATCACTGATCTAAAAACGAATACTGCCTCATTGTTCACGATAATTTATAGCACGATAAACCTACAGCAAAACACTTCAAAATGCGCAACAATTCCTGATCGCATGATAAAAATAATGCGTCATACTAAAGAAATAATTGACTAGCTTGTTTAATCTATGGTAGTATTATCAAACATTTCATTCTATAAATTTTAATTGACCAGAAAAATCGTTATTCGCCATAAACTAAATAACTGATCAATATCTATAGGTGGATTCATGCACACCGCTATTTCATTAATATGTTGCTTTCATTAACCGTCATTAAATTAATTTTTTGAAGGACTTTGATGCCTTCATGCACTTTCATTTTTAACTCTGAACTCTTCTTCATGATCCAAACACCTCAGCGTACTTAGCCTTATGAAAATATTGCTGTTCTAACTTCCACTGCTCACATAAATGAAATAAGGCTATTGATATTGTTTTCAATTTGAACAGGCAACTAGAAGTTTGTGAATTTTCAACCACATTTTGAAAAAATAAGAAGACAGTGTATGTCTGACTTCTGACAGAATCGCGCCTGCGCAAGTCACACTTTTATTGTATTTGTCGTTAAGAGATGAAAGTTGGTCATCTTTTAGCGAATAGTTGATGGAAGATAAAAATTAATTTTGGTGCATAAATGAACGGAAATACCAAGTTTCAACGCCTAAATCCGCCTTATGTCTTGATACATTAGAGTACCTATACAAGGTATCACTAAAAGGACGCTATACAGGGTGATTAATTAAGAATGGGAAATCTCTGAACTAAACTGACATGCCTGATAAGAATATTGTTGGTTTGGGCAGGGTGTTCTAGGACGAGATTTTATTTTAAAATTCCTCAATAACTTTGTGAGTTTCAACAGAATGAACATGACATCTTGTAGTTTCAGGTTTTCTGAGGAATACGAATTTGCAACTTATTTTGTGATTGCTCATAGAGGGTGCTAGTGACACTCTGATGTTGATTAAATCAGAAAGATCTGAAATCATAAAAAAATGCTCTTGAAGAGAATTATGTTCCATAATTGACTATCAGCAACATATTTCTCTAAAGCATGTTGGGTTGAATCTTCATATTTTGGTGTTTACTATCTGTAGTCCAGAGATTTTTCATTCTCAATGAATCACCCTGTATTTGATTCTGAAGTTACACATTTAGATTAGATTTTGGTTTGTTTGAAACGGTTTATGAGATTTGACCCAATGAATATTCGGGGGGTGTAGATTTTGATTTTTTCAGGAAATAATCTTTAAAACTTTTTCGTCAATGAAAAGGAAGGGGTGTGGAAATGAAATTTGGATTTGGGAAAAGTATTGTGTTAAAATTCGACTTTCATAGTTTCGACAATATTTGAATTTCAGTACTTTTGAGCACAAATTACGCATGTAAAATAAACATCGAAATAGGTATATTTCAACAGTTATTAAACACAAACTTTTCAATATAGGTATTCCTGATCTCATTATATTTTCTCGTATGTCTACAATAATGGCGTTTAATAAAGTGAGTTGAATTGTTTTGTTTTGCGGAATATGTTTATGTTCTCAGGGACACCCTATGGCTTATATAAAGCAGAATGATATGCATTTTAAAAGAGTTCAATTTTTTTGGCTTACCACTAGTGGAAGTTCAGTTGTGACGTCATCTGGCACAGGGACTACTTTTCCGTTAGCAAATACAGGAGGGTTGTCTTGTGATCCCAAAATTCGAAAAACTGCACTTCGAAAATCTGTATAGACGTCACTCGGGGCACGTTCACCGTTTATCTGGAAAAATCAAACATAACCTCAACAACATACCTAAGGAATTTCATCTGGAATCGAATGAAATAGAAATCTGAGAGTATTTTTATAAGGACAGTTGTGTTGGGCTTATGATGAGATACTCAAAAATGTATATCAAGCCCTTTTGTCCTTTGTGGAATTATCATAAGTAATATCACATTGTTCTGAATATTCGAGATGATTCTGTCGCTTCATTGTTAACGAAATTGTGTTTCGGACTCGCCATCAGGACGAGTGGTATTGCTATACGGCAACACAATTGAGTTAACAATGAGAAAGAGGATTATGAGGAGGTATTCACAATAGAGTGTTATTTTTTTAGACTATTTCACGAAGCATTAGAAGCAATTATTATAAATGAACAAGCTATACAACCAAAGCGATTCATTCTGACATCTACAGCTACAATTATTTTTGTCAAACTGACAGACTTTGCTTTGCTATCTATACTTACATCGTTGAAAACACCAACGCTGTTAGACCAATCAGAATTGAAAGCTATAGTATTTTCGCGATAACACAAGTTGTGTTTGGGTTGCTATAGGTCAGATTATGTAAGAATACGCAGGGTATAACATGAAGTTGTAGTCATGTTGTAGCCATCTTGTGGCAAAGCTCTAAGGTAGGATACAGATATCGCGACACACACTGTATGGCGCTGCCATCTATAGTCACACGTACAGACCCCTACGTCTATACGCTACAGAGTGGTACTACAAGTAAATCACTCCGCTGACAGATGGCACTACCTGACATACTTGAGTGGAATTTTTCCACCACCTATTCAACTGCTAAATCTCATAACTAAGAGATCTAGGATGAACAGAGGGGCAATTGGGGCAGCATGTTATACCCTGCGTCTTCGAAATGGGTGATATACCCGAAACGTAGAGTTGTCCCAGTACTCCCAGTTGTCAGCAGACCGAGAGCGGCTGATGAGACCTTGTGGGTCGAAACAGTACTGTCTCGCTCTTGCTGACAATTGAGGCAACTCTGTTCATCCTAGATCGCTTAGTTATGAGGTTGAGCAGTATATAAGAATAACTATAAATGAGTGGAATAGTCTAAAGGCTTGATATACGTACTATGATGCAATTCGGAGAAAAACGGTATTTTCTCATGTGTATTGAACTAAATCGTTTGTGTTGCATCCTTGGATATATTTTCTCGGAATACTCATAAATGATAACAATGTTTTTTTCATAAAAGCCACGTGGCTACGAAATCAAAAACAAAAATATTTCACGGTTGTTGCGTTCTTACCAGGTATACAACGTAAGGAAATGAAAACAAACAGGAGAATGAGTATCACATCGTTTGTTTTTGTATATTCAAGCTCGTTAGAAATATCGCGTGATCAAAGCAAATAGACGGTTGTGTTTCAGGAAGCTCCTAGGGCGTCAGATATAACTCCACCGGAAAATCTTGATTAACTGCCTAAAGCGATTTGGTTGATCGATTTTTTTATTCTTCAACAGCGAAGAAGATATCATAGTTCCTTACTCAATACATAGCTGGTGATTTCTGAATTCACACACCACTACTATAATTTGAGCGTCATGTATAATGATATAAAGTTATTCATAAAAAGGTTATCCATGGAAATATGAGAAGGAACAACATTCTAAGATTAGATCCTTGGAGTACGATGGAAGTTGGATTGAAACGATGTGAACAAGTTTGCATGTTGAGCCATGCTTCCTTTAAACTTCTTCGAGTAGGATGAGAAATGAAAATCTATATTTTTAAACTTACCGAAATCAACATATTGCTCTGATCGAAATATTCTGCTACAGGTATCACGTTCTTGTAAAAATTATTGAGTTCCATACGAGCTAAAGATAAAACAACTTGACCTAATTTGGCACCATAATCTATTTGTCTCTCTAAAACTTTCTGCCTCCAGGATATTAGAATGACACCTTGGACCATCTGAATCTGAAATCAAAAATACAATTTCTTCAGACCGTATAACACCACGGTGTATAATATTATCAATCATAAAGTGCAATGTGCAATGGAAGAATAGTTGTATCAGATACAGTAGAGTTGAATCATAAGTTGTTGGTTTCCCAAGCTGTAATTTTAGCTCATTGATATGAGTACGGACAATATTAGTTCCAACATGGATCCTTGTGGAACGCCAGAATTATTTATGGCTGTGGTATTGGACGATACCTTCTCCGTCCACCACATATGGACCTCGATATGGACCGATATGTCTGAGAGAAATCTTGATAGAAGAATACATAGCTGATGAGGTGGTGAGCCACATGATGATAGTTTGTGCTGATATTCAACGCCACAATGAGTGATTCCCCAAGTTTTTTTGATGAGGCCTGCCATATTTAGGTTAGGAAGGCAAGTAGGTCTCTAATCGATTTCCATATCGTCGATCATTTATGATTTTTCACCTTTCCATGATATTCGAGAAGATCAAGTTTTCTCCATCATTTTCGAAATAACTGATGATAACAATGCGATACGCCTTTATGGACCTGTATTTTTTTATTCTCGTGAATCTAGGTCGAATCTGAGGACCTCTTCATGTTTGCAGCATATAAGTACAAAAGTATTCCAATAAAATCGTACCAGTATTAGAGGGAGAAATCATTAACGTCTCCCTATTTGCTCAAAACGGCTTCATGAAAAGTTACTATATTTATTCATTTCACAATTTTCGACAATGACCGACATAGCGATTTTCATCACGTTCAAACATATTCTTCTTCACCCCAGGACAATCTGGACATATTTTTTATCGCACCTTGTATATGCATTGTCAAGAATGAATATGAATTTCATACTTCTGGAACTACAATTGTAATTTTTTGAATTTTATAATTTATCTTAACGAAAATGCATCATTTTGATTAAAAATGCGTACTTTCATTATATGACCTTCGATCCAAGAAATTACAAAACCATTTCGAGGTCAGACACCAGACATCCTCATGACGAAGTGACACTCCATTATTCCACTAGTAACACAGAGAAAATTATGTTTAATCTACTGGAGACTACGTTATTCTCCATTCCATCATTCAGTATTTATTGTATCACTTTGTATAAACTTTTTCAGAATTTTCTGTGTTCGAACACGATCACATATCCGACGACTATACATACAACGTTGATACTTCGGAGAACGATTTCAACTTTCAATTTCATTCAATTAATCGTCGAAAAAATGCAGCATTCTGAATGAATATTCATAACACGATTATCAAAGCTCTGAATTTGAAAATTCCGAAAACGTTCCGAAATAAAGCATCAATCAAGAGGATACAGGTGGGAAAAAAATTTAAAAAATGATCTGTTCAAACGGCAAGGTGACGACCACGATGCAATTTTACACCCATTCAATTATCACCCTGTAGCAATGTTATCTGAAATAACAGTTTCATATTGCCACAACAAACTGTCAAGAGATTAGGCTAATCATCGGTGAAACCGATTTCAAATTGGTGAGGAACTTCGTGAGTTAGCACGACGTTATCAATGTTGACCAGTTTAGATCAACTTCAGGGTACTGAATGAGTGCTGATATGCCGTCTCTGAGACGTATGATTAGTAGTTAAGGGTTAATACGTATAAGCTTTTTTATTGAATACAACTGTATGTCTGGATTGGAACAATATTTCGTAGGTACTCGTACATTTTGTACTATGACGATTCCATCATCTGATGTTGTGAGTATTGGCGAGTTCCGTATCCAAGCTACCTCCATGAACATGACAGTGTGAAAAAGAATGAGTCATTATCGTGACTTCTTCGTCAATAAAAAATAGTCGATACCGCAATATTCCTAGTGAATTATTCGTGAATATAATGTATTACGCGGAAAAAAATATTTTTTTCTTCATGTAGACGTCGAAATTGTACTCAGGGTATCACGAAATCAGCCTGCGCTATTTCATAAATAACCATAAACTATAATTCACGGACGTTTCTGGCATTTCACTTGAAGAAGCTATTGAAACATATCCTGCAATTGAAAATTTTGTAGGAATCTTATTGTTTGTGAAGTTTCTTAACATGAAAGTAATGTTGCTGAATATGAAACTGACCTTATCTGAATACTCGACGACATCACGCATATTCCTAGGGTACCCTGATACAAGATATGTTTTGGCATTCGGGCACATCTTCATTTCCAACATCAGAACTTCGGTGACAGTCTTGCTAGATAGCATACCAAAATCCTGCATGTCTGAAAAATAAAACGGAAATGTAGATTATAAATACGCAATCAAAACAGTTTTTTGGGCGTGTACACCTTAGTAGAACTTTTAACTCAAACCATGTTTATAATGAACCTTTCCCAGATAGCACAAATTCCTTTTGAGGCCCTTCTGAGGCGTTCACAATCATGTCCTCAGGACGTCGAGAGCGAGCCTGAGGACATTCTCAAGACGTCCTCCTGTTACCATTCTCTACATACTAATAACGTCTCAGAACATCCCTATAAAATCTTTTGAGACAACCTCAGGACATCATGGTAACAACTTGAGGCGTTTTTTGATGATGTTTCAAGGAGGTTCAAGATTTATGGGAGAATATTATTCGTATACAGAATGAGTCACTATAGTGTGTTCTCCTCCGATATTAGCCAAACCATCAGATATATAAAATGAAAATGCAAGTACAACAGTAGGTAATATAGGGTTTCATAAGAACAATCACCTAAAGTTGTTTTTATATCTATAAGGTGTTCGAATTCCAAGATATCGGTTGATGATTGGTTTTTTTCAATGGAACACCTTGTATATTATTGCATTTTTGAGTTTTCCCTGAAGAGTTGATTCCATCAATGCATTACACTTGGTGTCTAGTGGGAATTATTACAGAGATATAGGGTGTTGACAAATGACAATTGAGATTCTCCAAATGTAGGATTTTGTGTGTCGAAACTATTCATTAATGGTCAAACAGCTCACATGTTCCTGTCATAACCTTTTGATCAGCTATCTACTGATATTTATTTGGAACAGATACAATAAGCTGATCAGTATTCTGAATGTTAACCCACCCTCTATTTGTTCCAATTGAATGTCAGTAGATAGTAAATCGAAAGTTTATAAGGATATGTGAGCCGTTTTGACCAATATTGAATAGTTTCCACAAAAAAAATCCTAAAATTGAAAAATCTTGTTTTTGAACACCCTATATCTCTGTAATCATTCCTGCTAGACCCCAAGTGTGATACATTGATGGAATCAGCTCTTCAGGGAGAACCTAAAAATGCAATAGTATACAGGGTGTCCCATTTGGAAAAAAACAATCATGAGTCAATATATCTTGGAATTTGAACACCCTACAGATATATATGGAAACAATTTATTGTGAAAGTTCTCATGAAACCCTATTACTGTTGTACTTGAATTTTCTCTATTTATCTGATGGTTTGGCTAATATACAATAAGATAACACACTATTGACTCACCTTGTATTATGCAAATGATAATTTCTTAAAAATAATATGGATCTCATGATATTTGCAAAATTTCCTTCTATTTATAATAGGTTCAAATGAAAAACCAAATGAAAAACTTACATTCTATTATTTATAACTTATTCTGAAAAATTTCAATTTCCTTTCCAAAGAAATGTATTTCAGCTTCTTGTTGAGCACTACTAGAAGTTTTTGCCTATTGATATAGTTATATTTCTCCATGTTGTTTTTGATTTCTGAACTCTGGACATTCCTGATGCAGAATAATCAACTGGAAGTTGAAGCCTTCATGCAATATTTAATAGATTCTGAAGAAGCAAAACTATCTTGGAATGAAAATATCATCAGGTTTGTGTTTTGCATAACCTTCTGAAACAAACAATGTATTAATATTTTATGTCCAGTACTTACTATCAATGATATGATTTATGTAGTTATAGGTACCAACCATTATTGAATCTACTGAAAGTTCAAGTCTGCATATGTACAATCTTTCATAATTTCCAAAGAAGCCAAAATATCTTGGAATAAAATATCTCTGCTCTGATGATATCATCATTTTGTGTTATCAATAACCTCCTGAAACAAATAATGTACCTATTAATATTTCATGTTCCAGTCCCTACTATATCAATGATTTGATTTAGGTACCTACCTTTATTGGATATAGGTACTGAAAGTGCAAACATGCATAAGCAATCTCACATAGATTTCGAAGAAGCCAAAATATCTTGGAATGAAACATCTCTGCTCTGATGACATCATATCAATCTTGTGTAGTCAATAACTTCATCTGAAACAAATAATTAACCTATTAACATTTCATGTCCAGTACCTACTATATCAATGATTTGATTCAGGTACCTACCTTTATTGAATTCATACTGAAAGTTCAAGCTTCCATACAATATTTTAAAGATTCCGAAGAAGCAAAGCTATCTTGGAATAAAACATGTTTGCTATGATGATATCATCGAGTTTGTGTTCTCAATAACCTCCTGAAACAATAAATAATGTATATGAATGTATCAATATTTCATGTCCGGTACTATCAATGATTCTATTTAGTATTTACTCACCATTGTTTCTTGCTACCTGAGAGAAATGTCATCAACAGAGATTATCATCCTTTTGTTATTGTTATCTTTTAATTCTGTGCAATAAGTTCTTCTCGCAATCATTTTGTGAAATAGAAATTTGATGAAGGTATTCAATGAATACTCTAATAATTTTGATATAATCATTAATATATTATGATGTATCTTGAACAAATCATGACTATCATGAGACATAACCTCAATTCTAGTTCTTCTTTTTCTTCCTTTTGTCTTCGATGACACGTTATTTCATGGAATGTCATCTGAAGACGTCCGTAGGCACGAAATTCTTTACATCCTCAGGCTGTCACTGAAAGAACTCATTTAGGACAATTACAGCGCTAAATTTACGCCTGATGATGTTCTTAGGTTGTAGAAAATAGAACGTCCTCTCCAGGCGTTTGGCGACACATTGAGGATGACCTTAGGCGAGAGTGTGCTATCTGGGTTTATACATAAATAATGATTGACGACATAATTCGATCGAAAAATTAACTGGAATGTTTGATTTTTGGACATTAATAATAGTACCTTCTGAAAACGGACCCTCTTATGACGTAGAAACCTCATCTCGCCATAGTTTAAAAAAAATAACAAACGCCCGACGGAGACTGAGGCAACTGATATATTAATTCCTTCAACTGTGATCTCGCGCTAATTCACTCTGTCAGAAATCATGTATCATTCATCTCTGTCTGGAATAGTCTTGTTTCAGTATTAGGGTTTTGACGTCACATCATCGCCTCGTTTTCAGAGGTCCGAAAAATCGGGGATTTCAATAATTTTTTGTAAAACGTAGGTAGCTTACAGCAAGAAACGGTTTGCGGTGGTGAGCTAGTTTGGGTGAGTTCTATCGAATTATGAAATAAGATTTTTTTGTGATATGAGCCCATTTTACAGATTCTTGACGACCTAAACCGTTACAAGCTTTGAAGCATCTTTTTTTTATGTTCTGGTTCCCACGAAAAGGGATATCCTGTAATGTATCAGAAGTGAAACTTTGCCCAGATTACGGATTGTGAAGTATACCTCTGTAGAGTGTGATATAGTCCTCCCAAAACCAAGAATAAAATATCACATTTTAGCGTAGATTAAGACTTTGAGTCTTAGATCTGAAACTGAGAACAATTTCAAAGTAAGGTTTGGTGTAGGCGTTGTTGCTAACTCCACATTAGGAGCATCTCTGTTATTTAGAACACACCATAGGAGATTGTCAGGACATATATTATAAAGTTCATTCAATGAATTGGAAATATCTACCCTGGATGACGATCGATCTCGTATCTATCGGTTCAATCATTGAATTAATTAATGAATTAGAATTCTGAACTATTCTTATCAATTATACATATATAATACGTATATTTCGTATTCAACTGCAAACTCGTTTTAAACACACAAGTTGATATGAGGGTGGATAAATAGGGCAACTATAAGTATACATATTATGATCAAGATAACTTTGAAATTATTATTAATGGCCATAATGCAGTTAGAATTGATGATGTGTTACAAGAATGTGAGGTATTCCACTATTATAGTTCATTGATAGTATAAAATTTAATTACTTTGTAGAATTGTCAATGAATTTATGTCAATTAATCATCCAGTATTAGAATATTCAAAACATAGTTGTCTGTGTTTTTATCCAAGGCAACAGGACTTTCAACTATTTAACTCAATTCGTTTTATATGTCAAAATTATAAGTTTGTGAAAGAGATGTGATTTGAATAGGTTTTTTTGACTAAATTTAAAGTGAAATTTCAATACAAATGTTAGTGGATCAGAAAGAGAGAAGAAAATCTGCTGATTAAGGTAAAGTTTTTGCATTTACAATTGAAATATAGACAGCTTGTAATGTTTCGTATACTCAGAGATACCTCAAAGCCAGAAGATCATCAACACTTAATAATAATCGAGATAGGGAGCATAAGATGCAACAAAATGTATGATTGAATTCGTGAGACTGCTGCTTTATCTGCAGCTCACAAAACCTGACAGTCGTTTTCTGTTTGCTTCCATCTGATTGTCAATTTATCTCTTCAGGGTGTTCTTAGACTGTGGCCAAGATGAAATCCAAACAACCCCGATTCTTGAACGAGGTCATGGACGCTATAGCGGTCCTCAAGGACTCTAAAGGTTCCCCAGCCAAGAAAGTCATAGAAAGGGTCGAAAAGGGCATATCAAAAGTATCTAACCTTCGGAATCCGGTCGGACAGATCCAAAAAGCCTTACTTTACGGCGTCGACAATGGCCTGATCACGCAAAATGGCGGGAACTTCAAGCTCGGACTCAACAACAAGGAATACCAACTGTTCAAGGACTTCAAGAGCTTGTCAGGCGATGGTTTGTTCAGGGAACACAGACGACGTGGACGTAGGGGTCGTAGGAAGGGACGTAGGAGGAGTCGCAGAGGAAGAAGGAGGGGTAGGAGGAGGAGTGCAGGCATATACTCAGCCCAATTAGGACTCGAATCAGGTAAAAAACTCATCACTTGGAAAAGCACGCATGGTGTACATTTACACCTGTTCGTGTAAAACTACACCACTCAGTGTGAAATTACACCAGAGTGACAAAATGGTGTTTATTATTCACAGATCTTGTTCCGGAAGATAGAGCAAGAAGGAGGCGGCGAAAGAGAAGGAGTAGGAGAGGAGGAAGACGAAGGAGGCACGATGCCAGGGTTATTTTGCAGGACAATGCGGCCGTTAATGAAGTCAAAGTAGCTGAGATCGTCAACACACCCAAACATTGTACGAGGCCAGCAAACAGTCAAAGGGTCGAGAGGAATGAAACTACAGGTATGGATTGATTTCAGATTCATCTACTGTCGTGTTCATATTTTTCAATTCGTGTATCTAAATAACACCGAAAAAATTCAAGAGGCGATTCCTTGTGATATTTTAACATTAGGTACAATGAGATGTCAAAGATCCAATTGATAAACTTTTATATACATCTATTAACTATACTCATTTTAAACTCATGGTACATATTTATACTACATAGTAGATATAATGGAAATCATAATTGCCAGATTCTTAAGATCAGTATCTAGGTACCTATACCATCTAGGATTCCTCCGATGGTGACAAGGTTCCTATACGTACATCTGAATTAAAAACACCGTGGACTGATGACATAGCAGATTGCAATTTCTCTAAATCTTCTAGTTTTGATTTCAAACTTTCAATTCCTTTCCGCATCATCTCATTCTCATTTTCTCTCTCTGCGATCGTATCATTCAGTAATTCCCAATACGATGACGACGGAACTCGTTTTTTGAACGTCTCCATTTTATAAATTGACGGCACAGCAGACTCTTTCAATTTGAAATCCATCAGCTTGAAAGAATCTCTATCGAAATGGGCCAAAAATTGCATCTTTTTTGCACTGTTTTTACAAGTAAACTCGAATATTTACCTCACATTGCGGATTTCTTCTTTCTTTATATTAATTTTCCATTCTGGACGTTTCATTGCATTCTTCCATGACATTATCTGTGAGGGATCATTCAAAAAATTGAATAACTTGAATGACTTTCCTAATGAATTATCGCAATAATGTACGCAGCAGGACAATGAAATAATTTCAAATGCTAAATTTTTGTGGTCATAAAATTTCAAAGTGACAGTGACAGAAATTCGAAATAATTAAAAAAAAGCAGGAGGGACGACTATAGTGTTTCGTCACATTGTCCGGTGGGCAAACCAAATGAAACAAAATATTAAAAACCCCAACGGCTGTCAGTTTTGTGTCCGCACTCTTGTCTAAGGTATATACAGGGACTCTAGTTTATATGAGCTTTATTTGCTAGAATCTCACAAGTAAACACCCCTTGAATTTTCTCGTTGTTATTTAGATACACCCTGTATATAGGGTGTGCAAGATCAGGAAGAAGTTTGTTTCAGGGGCGATTTATTTACATTGGCTTTCTTTTGCAGGACGAGGTTGTTTCGTCCCTAATAGCAGAGATACTAATAGCAACTGTCCTGATTCCAATAAGAATCATACGTGCTATGGAAATTCTGGTTTCCTGTGTGAGAGACCGGAAGTCAATAATAGGCACCCGCCATGTTACAATAATTGTCAAGGAAATTGTAATTGTCCTCATAACATGTATTGAATTTAAAATGTGTGCACACTGTAAATTTTACTGGTGCTTGTGATAATGATATTGTGTGATTACTTTATTACCAATTAAAAAAGTATTTTGTTGAAATAAGCAAGTAGTTTTCTTGATACAATTTCGAATTTGAAGTATACTTATATATAAGTTAAAAAATTATAATCTATTCAATATTAAATGCTGAAGAAAAAAATCTCAAGCAAAAATCAATCAAATTTTAAAATGATAGAAACATTTTGAGTTGTTTTCTCAATATACAGGGTGTTTGGTTCGCCGACGTATATCTGAGACATAAACTATTATAGAAAGTTTTACGAATTTCGAGATATCGTATTGCAAACAGTTTATCTGATTGTATCTTTCCTAAAAAGTTGAATACTTATTTCATCAACATTGAACACGTAATAAGATCTTAATGTGATGAGAAAATGTTTTGGGTCGTTTAAATTTGAAGAAATGATGTTTTGTAACATCTAACTTGGAATTTATAAGCGGTGATTTCTCAAAACAAAAATGTATAATACTATATATATATGGTTAAATATTTTCAAAATCACATCTCCTACTTCCTTCCAGATACATTTGGTGACCAAACACCCTGTATATATTCTCATGTACCTACCTCAATTTGAAAAAAAAATTGTGTAGGCACCCACAAAATTTAAGATTTATTAAACGATACAAGCCTTGATAGACCCGTGGAGTGATTTTAGGAATTTGGGATGGTCCCTTCCTGTGCTGGACTAGTTAATAACTATTTCTATACTGTCACAATGTTTTGATCTCTTGGAGCGCACAAAATCTAATCCCTTTTATGTTCGAAGGACATCGTGAGTACCTATATGCAGGATAGGAAGAGAAGATAGGTATTGGATTTAGTTTCAGTTCTTGGAGATAATTAGTTCTTGGGAATTCTTCCTTTGGCAAAGAACTCCAAAGCTTTGCCGTTCTATATAGACAAACGCGTTTTGGTGAAGAGTTCATATTTCGAGGTTGTCGACGAATAAAATTATCTTTCGTAATCAGATATAATGCTAGGCAACCAAAGTTTTATTTTGTAGTCAATCTGACATGTAGGTGAATAATTTGAAATTGTGTTTAATTTTTTTTTCTAAAATGCATTAAGTACTGTGGATTTTGAGGCAATCAAAACCAAATTGGTTTCTAGTACAACATATGAAGGTGAGTCAAATAATAGTGGATGTAGTTTGTATACCTATATCGTAATTATTACTGATTCATTAATAAAAAAAAATGACATGACGTGATATTGAAACATGAAAACATTCTCTGAAATTTGGTGGATTATGAAAGCTAGTGTTAAGCGTAAACTAGTGAATCAGTAATATTAATGATAGTATGATAAGTATATATGAAGATTTGTGAATTTCAATAAGTTAATATGAAGTATATATCTCGAAAAATACCCAATCACGTTACTCATGTTGATATTGAACAGGGCGTCTCAGAATAACGTAAGTATACTCCGAAAATGCTCCATAAGGGTGCTAGAGCCCTTTGATGGCAGAATAGAATAGAATAGGATAGAATGGAATAGTTTATTCGTCCAAAAGACGATTATGAAATGTTCTAGGAAAACTCAGTTCACAAAATGATTACATGTATAGTTGTAAATATAGACATTCATGAATATCACAAAACAAATGTATAACAGATGAGTACAGACATTTATATAACTAAACTGAAATAAAAATATAAATATAAATATAAAAAACTAGAAATACATAGAATCAAATTATATATCTGAGGATTGTGTACATGTTCTGAAGTTGATGAAGTCGTCACACAAGTAGAATCCTTGACTGCTGAGAAATTCTTTGGTTTTCTGCGTTTCACCTTATTCGCATTTGGCAGCGACTTGATTTCAATGAACAGACAATTGAAGAACTTTGCCCCTTTGTAAATGGGTGACTTTCCGAAAAGTTTCGTTTTGTGCTTGATCATTTTCAGATGGTTTCCATTTCTCGTAGGATATCTGTGTTGTTCACCATTAGTTATAGCAATTGAAGCTCCATTTTTTTTATAGTTCTCAAGAAATCAAACCGTAGGTCTTTGAATGCAGTTTTTATTCAATTACTTTTGTAACCATTGATCCTAGAATCATGAAATTTTGTACCTGAGACTGAAATGAACCGCATTTGAGAAAATGGTGATTTTACATTTTGATATCCAAAAAAATTCACAAAGTGAGAAAATTTAGAAAATTTTGTCAGATGCAATTGCGGATATCTCATCAACAAATCACGATTAACTGAATAACTGGAAATGTGAAGTTTCGATTATGAAGTTGAATTTTTTTATTATGAGAGCACATGGCGCGCTCTAAATCATTGTGAATTCTTTTGGACATCAAATTAAAAATGACACTTTTCTCGAAAACGGTTCGTTTTACGGCTTCCTAACAGGAAAACCTTTTTTATGTTGAAGCGATTGAAAAATTATATTATATGATGCTAGAAATGAAATGAATCTTGAAATATGATAACACGGAGTATTTTTATAGCATCGGTTACAAATTTCGCACCTCCCTGTATATTAAATCATGTTTTATGTACCACGAAACAATTCGTGAGATTGAGTCACCCTCAGGTACCAAATTTCGTGATTCTAGGATCAAAAATAACAAAGATAATTGAAACAAACTGCATTCAAAGATCTACCTTCAAAGGCTCTAGTGCCCATAAGGATCATTTTCGGACACATGTTGATAGGAACATTTTTCCTCATCTTAACGTACAAAATTACCTCCCGGAGTATACGAACGTTATTTTTGGACACCCTGTATTCGAATTCCTCTTTCATCAATTCTTGATGAATTTACGGAAATTTTTGCGAACAGTCAGAACCACTATGAATCCATATTTTCAGATTCAATTTCTGGAATTCAGGGACCGCAACAGATTGGAATACCATTTTGAACAATGAAGACCCCTCACCCCAGATTTTTCGATGAGGTCCTGGACGCCATAGCGACGCTTAAGGACGCCAGGGGTACACCAGCAAAAAGAGTAATTGAAAAAGTCGAAAGGAACCTTTCGAAGAAAGCATCATTCAAAAACCCAGCCGCCCAGATCCAAAAAGCACTGAAATTCGGAGTGGATAAAGGACTGATAACGGAAAGTGGGGGACATTTCAAACTGGGGCTTAACAATAAAGAATACAAGCTTTATAAGGTATATAAAATAAGTATATTGGATATCTTGAACTAAATAATACAAATGCGAACGGTATTTTTTGAGAAGCGTCGACTCTATTCAATTCTACAAGAACTATATCTACATAATTTCTCTATAATGAAATTGTATTTCTCTACGGCTATTACAGAAAATTTGTTCTTGTTTTACTGTGTTCGATACGTCAATGAGGTACTTATTGTATGCCATCAATATTATTTCCGTATCTGATATCACAATGACTCCATTGTGTTATTATTTCAAGAAAATCTCATCGCTCATGGAATGTCAAATGTGGAGCAATGACAGCTCTGTCTAATAGATGAGCACTAATTGACAGGAAATCAGATGGCTACAAGAAATCGAAAATGCCGCTGTCATCTATTATAGCCGTAGAAAAATTATAGTGTATAACTTGCACGGAATGCTAATTTCCTACTCGAATGATTGCAACATTCGCCTATCACTATCATTTCGTGCTCGTTAAACAATATACAATTGTCGTCCGAAAGACCATTTTTTTTAAACAAAAATACCGATGAGTTCAAATTTGTACCAATTCCACCTTAATGTGAATTAGGAGTTCACCCCTTATAAGTTACTGATAGTGTGATAAGGAATGGAAAAAATCAATTACCCAGAGATAGCAAATCAAAATCGAGAATCTCTTTTGCTTTATCATCTTCCAGTAGATGAAGGTTGGATCTAGGCATCACTGAGAGTAATTTTCCAAATTGTTAAGGAGAAACTCGTAAAAATGCGAAAATTGCGGCATACTATTTCTCAAATTGACAAAAAAATTTCAAGTTTCATATCATAGTGATTTTCGATAAGACCCTGTATACACTGCCATTTATGAAGTTGGCATCATATGAGAAAAATGTTTGATTATGATTCATTCTGAAATTTGACTTGGGCATCAAGTTTTACTTCAAAAAGGATGAAAAATTATTTACTCGGTGGGAGTCACGTGACTCGCTACATGTCAAAATTGATTTCTTCGAATTAATCGCTGAAAATAGGCATATTTGTTCAAATTCCAAGAAGGTTTATTGAGGAAAATTGTTTCTATAACAATAATTATACACATGTGTCTCGAATTTTAACGTTCTATTGCAACTTTTAGTTTCTGATATTTTTTGATTTCTACTAATTGTAACTTTGACATAACTGTCCTTAACTCTGGTAAGAAAGGTAGAGTTTCGCTCCTGAATGATAGACGTTAGGTACATCAACTTTGCATTACAGTGACTTTATAAAGTCAATGTACTCCGCATCAAACAACAGAAGTAAGAAGGGAATATTATTATTTCCTGAAGAAAATCATAATTATTTTCGTCGATAATTATTGTTGATTGAAAGTTAGAAGCATGATGAAGCTACTAGAATGAAATAGTTTCATAGGAGTTAATTTTTTTGCAATAATACAGACATTTCGTAGATATTTAAAAAGTATCAAGAACTAAGAGTTGTTAGAAAACTTTCAAATTCGAGACAAATATGTAAAATTGTTATAGAAAAACTTTTTTTCTGCAATTGGCTCAAAAATCATCCATATTTGTTGCAAAATTAGCTCTTGGAGTTGACATTTCTCATACTGACACAATAAAATGAAGAGTATGTATGTTGCTGAGCAACACTTTTAAAGTCTAGCAGCTGAAGTTGAAGTTTAACTCCTAAGAAGTAGAAACGTGTCGGATGACAGCTGATATGATAGCTGCTTTGACACTGACATGCTCGAGTGACTTAAAATAGTGGTATTTTCACTTATATTTTATCAATTAGATCAATTATTTCGATTGCAGAGAAAACGGCATATTTCAGTCGGATCAAAAGTGACTCTTCTTGACTCGCAAAATTTGCGCGCTCGGTTTTGCAAATATTGCTTGTCAAACAAAGTGTCACATTTGATCCTAATTGAATAATGTATTCTCAGTGAACATTTCTTGAAATTCGAACAAATAAGCCTATTTTCAGCGATCAATTCGAAAAAATGTAACTTCTATTGACATGTAGTCACATGACCCCGACCGAGTAGTCCATTTTTTTGATGCAAAAATCAACGCCCAATTTGAATTCCGAAAAAAAATTATGATTAAAAGTGTCTCCCGTATGATGCCGACTTTATGAATGACACTGTACATAAATATAATGAATTGTTAAATGCATCGTAATCTTATCCATGAAAATTAAAAAATAGTACGGAAGCTACTCAGGAAATTTCAGCACAGGAGAAGACAACAAAATAAATGAGAAATAGGTTTATTGAATTCTAAAATTTTCTCATTGGGTACCAAACTTTCATGTTATGATGATGAATTATTCAATAACCAACACCTTTTCTGTCGGTTCATTCAAGGATTTCAAACGGATGTCTGGCTCTGGGCTAAGTAGAGAACACAAAAGAAGAGGAGGAAAAAGGAAACGACGTAGGAGCCGAAGAAGGGGAAGGAGGAGGTCCAGGAAAGGCAGTTTGGATGAAGCTGGAGACTCGGATCTGGAGGTTTCCGATAGCAGATCAGGTAAATAATTATACAGGGTTTTTAAGAAAACGTATTACTTTCGAGGTAACTGAATAATGTAGTACTTGTCAGAAAATAAAGGTATACAGGTTGTTTCATGATTATTGTAGAAAAATTCAAAGAAGGTGAGGAAAAAATGTCCACAAGGCTTCATCTGAAGATCAATATGTTCCCAGATTGATGTCAGATTTTCAGTGAAAACGTCTTTTTGAACATACTCTGTGTAACAAAACCTGATATTTCATTAGAAATATAGGGTTCATTCAATTTCTCATTCAGCCAATCATAAGTAACCGAAAATAATTCATTCTCAGTTTTTATGTACAAAATAGTTCAATTTCAACACCCTGTATCTCCGAAATGGAGCATTTGCGGAAACAAGTTTATATAGACTTTTTTTCAAATTGTCTCAAAGGAATAAGTACGTCACTCGAATATTTCAACGTATTTATGTTACACCCTGTATAGAGGGGGGCCGTTCGAAGTAAGACACGCTGAATGTTATGAATTTGGTTGTGAATTTGTGAAGCAGAATAACTGAATCATGTTTCATTCAAATATAGAGTTACCAAGGCAGAATCAAGATTATTTTCACTATTGCTATATAGCTTTCTCTCGAAAAAAGTGAGAATATGTTTTCACGGAATGAATGAAATTTATCATCAAAGTTTGTTTATCTACCCCTCTGTTCCCTTTCATGAAGAATTAATGTTTCTTGAGGTGATAAAGATTCTCAATCAATCAATCAATCATTCCAGATAGTTATATTCCCGAAGATAGAAGTCGGGGAAGAAGAAGACGCAGACGCAGGGCAAGAAGAGGAAGAAGAAGACACGCTGATAAAACTACATCAAATGAAAGCATCAAAAGCGACAAATCTAACGAGCCAAGTCCAAAATCGTCGAAAGATTCTATGGACAAACCAGAAAAAGAACCGAAAAACATAGACAGGAAGAACGAAGGAGGTAACATAGAAGAATATAGGAAGGATTGTATCCAAAATTTTCACTCATCTGTCGAATTTGGTTATTTTTATTTCACAGCGCATTTTCGTGGTTTTATTGATGCTGATGCCCAACAAAGTGAAGTTAGGCGATACATTTGCATTAGTAGAATCATCGATAAATGGACGTATAGTATGCTTAATTATCAATGATTCTCATATTATGGGCATTTATCACAAAACAGAGGGAACTCCAATAAAATTTTTGAATTATTTCATTTATTATATAAGAAATTGTGACAGAACGAGACAACGAAAATTTACAACTCAACCACCCCCATTGCGTACTATTCAGACTGCTTTATGTCATATCAATCATTCAATTCATCCTATCAAGAAGAAATATTCGTTAATGACAAGATATATAGTAAATACAAGAGTATATTTTCAATATAATCAGAGATGACAGTAAATGAATGAATCACGTTCATGAGATAGTAGATTGTTTTATTAGGAGTAAAAGAGACACTTTGTTTGACAAGGAAATTTTGCATTTGCGAGGGGGAGCGTCTAGCGAAGCCGAGGGTATATCTTCTGCAACCGAATCTTCAAATTCAAATAAATATGTGAAGTAACCACAAATGCCGTAACATATTATGTATGCAATGCATCAAGTAATCTTTGTGATGAGAATAGTCTACCTGTATTAACAGCAGGTTTATTCAATTTTTAAGAATGTTAGAATTATAGTTTCAATATAAGTACAACCACAGAGTGACATATTTGTGTATGGACCAGATGCTCTAATGGCAAATACCGCGCCAGTGCCAGGTTTAGAAACAAGACGTGGAAAATGTTAGGTTAGTGAGCATATCAACAATGATAATAGTGATTATTTATTCCTCTCCATACTACACTGTGTTTGACTTGATAATCAAATGAAGCTAAACAAAATCGTTGTTTGAGACAAAGAAACTATTAAGTTATCCATCCCGATAATAACGAATGAAATACAGATCAAGCAAGTATTTGAATCTTGAAGGCTTCCCTGATCGAAACAAAAATACTCAACTGAGATGTCTATAATTCTAATACTGAACTATAATAAGGTGTATTTATATCTCCAGCATGGGTATGAAATGCCAAATCTGCTGAAATCGGAAACAAATCAGGTATGCGTCTCAACCCAAATAACCAACCGTCACAATTTTGTTTATTCTTGATGACGTCCAGTAGATCCTTTTTAGTTCTTAGGAGCTAAAGTTCAACTTTAGCTCCTAGGAACTAAAATTCAACTTTAGCACTAGGAACTAAATATGTTGCCTAGCAACATACCTATTTTTGTGTCAGTAATAGAAACGTCAATTTATGAGCTAATTTTGGTATCAAAATGGACGATTTTTGTTCGGTTGCAGAAAAAAGTTTTTTGTTTTCTCCAAGTGGCATAGAAAGTGGCTTTTTTCTGATATTTATATATTAATAATTCTGAATTGACTCGACTGTTAGGTACTATTATGAGTTTGTTACATTATCTATAAAATGTTTTTTTTTTGTTAGATCCAGATGGGGGTGCCAATCAGTTTCCTGAACCAACTCAAGATCATGGATACTACGAGAGTCGGGGTTGTTTCCGTAATAGGGACAATTCTGGCAAATGCTATGACTATGACTGTCCAGAGAATTGCAACTGTCGCCGAATGACCTAATCTTGTCCTGACACGTCTTCATGATCGAATCTTGTTTATAAATTATTAGTGAGAAATAAAATTCTAAATAAAATACTTCTTGTGAACAGTGCCGTGCATTTTTATTCGATCAAAATGGGGTTGATATTATTTCATGACATCATATACTTTGGTTATTTATTCTGCAGGAAAGCTAACTTCACCGTTAAATTTCAAATTTTTTTATATAAAAATCCAAGGAAATATGTGGACAATTCAAGTCAGTGTCAATTTTTATTTTCTTATTCACTTAGTTCGAGGACAGCCATTTTTCTTGAAAATAATCCGAAACAATGTAAAGTCTGTTATCATATACAGGATGATGTCCATAAGAAAGCTAACAAGAAATGTATCGCATGCATGTACAAAATGATGCATTTATATCACGAACTGTCCAACTGGCTCTATCAATTTTTTTTTATCGCTATAATGTTCAAAGAGCATCGTGCGTTCCTAGGGAGGATAGGGACAAGAGGTATGTATTGGAATTTTTTTTGAACTTTTGGCGATTATATGTTGTTGGGAATACTTCCTCAGGCAATGAATTCCAGAGCCTAGCCGTCCTGTGGATGAAGGAGTTTTGATGTAGTGACTGAGGCCAATTTTTAGGAGATTTCAAGAAATCTACTACTGAATTTTTCCACACTCTGTATAATGCCGTCTATTATAATTGAAGGGTAAAATATGCAAAGGGGGCTTAGGGACATTCACCAAATTTAGCACCAGACACAAAAAACTGCTTACAGGACATGGAAAAACATACATTGATTTGAGAACAATGTTTTTATTATCTACTAATTGTCGGAAGAATGTAAAATTAACAAAACTGAATGATGTTTTACAAAGAATATCTATTTTTTGTGTTTCTTATCAAAACGGCCTAAGTACCATTTTTATGGCAACTATACTGTAACTTGAAACACATTGTAAAACTGTAGAAAAATCAACACATACTATTTTAGTTTTTATGTTCCTTCATCTTCTGGATGACCAGGAGACCATGCTTTGAATTTATTTTATTCTAGCGTCTGGCCATGTTTTTTCAGGGGTTGTATCAGAAAAATGTACATCTAAGTTTCTTCTTCTTAAAAAGTAGCATTCTTGCCAATGTGGGTCCCTATTTGGCAAACCCAAGTTTTTGACGAAAGTAATCTTGGAACCTAAACGCAAATTAAATGCTAATGAACATAAACAATGAACCTTAGAAGGACCTTTTCTCCCTGGGATATAAGGCTCTACACTGTTTCTCCGAGCTTTAGTGTTTTGTCGATCATCAGCGTTTTCCCTCTTTTATTTCTTTGAATTTCCATTGGTATATGCTATCGCTACTCGTATATGCGATATTTTCAATAATTACTTCCAAATTCTGACTCATTTTGTACTTTATAAACCAAAAAATGCAACAATGGATATCTTTGTTCACTTATACCCCAAAACCGTAGAAATACCTGATATAGCACCCTTTTTGCATATTTTATGGAATATCCTTTGTCCTGAGAAAATGGTCAAAGGCCTCTGGAATTCAGATATTATAACATCAGTAATAACATATGTACAATCATTATTGATGTAATCAAATTAGGATTGATGTTTTTCAGAAATTACGAACAGTATTGCTTGATGATTTCTCGATGATGATATTCAGTGCATCAATGTATCATTTTTGAAACACCTTTTATATTATAAGAAGTAAAAACAATACATAGATACCACATAAAACATCTCACTTAGTGGGTTCATATGAAAAATCCTAGGTAACCGGTATCAATTATTTCAACGAATTGTGGTCACGTCAAAATTTTGAAATTTTTTCGATAATGAAGTGAAAATGTACATCAGAAATTGTGAAAATCAGCCGTGTTTTTAATAATTTTAGTGGAGTATCCTCTCATTCCATCAATATTCTTGATTCTAAGGGTAAGCATCATTATTACTAGATTTCAAGATAACTTCAATCATCTAAAACTCTCGAAGAGCTAAGAATACAAAGCTGCAATCAACAGATTCTTGTGTGATGACAAAAATTATGACTGACTCCTATAGAAACATTCTACCGGATTCAAGTTACGCGACAAGCACTATTGAACACCATTCAATCAGGCTAAATTGGTTTCAGACAGGTGACCTTGAACCACCCATTCGCCATGCGCAAAGGAAGTCCTCACCCCCGCCTCCTCAACGAGGTGATGGAGGCGATCGCCAAGCTCAAAGAATTGGATGGGTCCACCCCCAAGAAAATCAGCAACCAGGTGGAGACGATCCTCACCAGGAAGAAGAAACAGTTGCAGCGCGACGCTGGACAGATCAAGAAGGCTTTGAAACATGGCGTTCTCTCCGGATTGATCACCAGGTAAGTACGAAATGTATATCGAATACTTGAAAAGCAAAACTTCCACTTGTGGTACCTCGAATGAAATGTCTGTTTCAGTATTTTTTGAGTGAGTTTTTTGACTCAGCTTCCTTATGTTTTGAATTGCATTGTGATTCCTCCCAACACAATGATGGTCTTTGATTCAAGTCAATATCTTCTTATTGAGAGAGAATACAAAGTGTTTTGAGAAGGTACCTATTGCATTTTCCACCCTGTTCTTTGAGCACTCATCAGCGAAAAACCTTAATTACAAGAAACAAACAGGAAGCAAAGCTCCTAGAACCCAACAAACAATGAACTACCATCAGGAAACTATTGGCCCAATGCTTTCTTTGCTGGGGAAATGACTTCAGCCCATATATTTCTGGAATCAGAAAAGAAAGATCCTCAATTTTTTAGACAAATATATAGGGTGTTCTATTGAAAATAGCTAAGTTGGTACCCATTTCTTATATCAGCGATATTTATTATTTTCTTTCACATCGTACAATTTGATGGATGTTCAGCTAGAACATACCCTACAACTTTTTATGAACCCTGTGGAAGCTGTTTGAATATTCGGAATGACCCTGTACTCATGGCTATTTGACCATTGTCCGCTAAATATGGAGAAAATATGGAGCTGTTTACAGCTCACTAGATTTTTTTCCATATTTAACAGACAATGATTTGACGGTTGAAAATTAATCTCCGTTCACTTGTGAAATAAGTCAATCATAATATCTTGGTGATATTTGCCTCTATATGAAACTTTACTAACCAGATTTTTATCAACATCAAGTGGAGAGAATACTGTGAGATTACGAAATATCTCTCAACATTTTACAATGGTCATATTTGGCTTATCGTAATATGTTGTTGTCAGGATATCTGTGTATTATTCACAATGAATCACCCTGTCTAACATACTTCTTTGCCCCAGATATTTCGATAATCAATAATCAGGAGTCGCCAAGACAAGATTTCTTGTCTTGATAACAATTTCTTGTCTTGAGAAAAAGTTAAGAAATTTCGAAAAATCTTGTCTTGACGTTTTTCTTGACATATCATTACTTGTCTTGACTCAAGGAATGTCTAGATCTTGAAATTTCTTGATTGACCGGTGACACCGTATATGGAAGCTCGAAACACATTTTTGACAAATTCTGTGAAATAAATATAATGATGATGATCATCTTTATCATCCCCAAGAAACATACATGTTTATGGAAGGGAAATTTACGAAATGATTTCTAAGATCAAATTATCCTCAGGTACCAAATTTCGTTATTCTAAGACGAATGGTAACAAAAATAAAATGGCATTAAGTGAGAAATTACATGTGGAGATTACGTATGATACGCCAATGTCCTCAATATAACCTAAAAAATAACAAATGTCAGAAATCTAGTATTTATCCCCATAAATGGATGAAGATGGAACTATATGTATTACTGTTTCCCAAACACTTCAGAGTGAGAGGAGATGAGGATCTGTTACGGATAGTTAAGATGACAAATACGTCAATTTACATCAAGGGACCCTAGAGAAAACGAACGTTATTCTGGGACACCCTGTAAACATAGTAAAATGAACAATCGAAATATCTCATCAATTTTTTCATCACAGAGTCAAGGGAAAATACAAACTGGGCCTAGCGAAAAGAGACTATGACGTTTACAAAAACCTGACGCCCATGGTGGCCGATGGAGAGATCTACAGGGAGCACAAGCGACGAGGTGGTAGGCGAAGCAGAAGGAGAAGGAGGAGGAGGAGCAGGAGAGGAAGGAGGAGGAGGCGCGGCGACTTGGAGGAGGACAGTGAAGATAACGTGTCCGAGTTGAGCGTCGATACGACTTCTTCATTGGGTGAGTAAAGTGGGGTTCACAACCAAACTTCCCACGTTTCGTATTCTGATTGGTGAAGGGGAATATGAAATTGAACGTCATGTCAATTCCAGACTCTGCTTCACCAATCAGAGTGCGAAACGTAAAAAGCAAAACGTAAAAAGTTTGGTTGTGAACGCCGCTTAATGCTGTCGTGCGAAGGCAAAATGATGTACAGGGTGATCGATTATGGATTTGACGCTTTATTTTATTTATTTATTTCAGTTATTGCATTACATTTTCTTCTTCATTGATAAACACCAAAAGAGGTGTTTCCTTGTGGCATTCTCGCAAATGAAGTTCATATGAACATGTGTCTCAACTTGCTCCGTTTTTGAGATACAGGATGTTGAGGTTGGAAGTATCAATTGGTTTTATTCATAACCCTCCTGTATAAGCTTTCATGGTAAACAATAAACTTTATTTTTACTCTTGCTACTCTTGTTCCGTGAGGATCAGATGTATTATTATCGAGTAAAAGCAATTCAAAATAGTATATATTATTCGACGAGCGTGTAATCATGGCCAGTAATAGCCATTACACGCAAGTAGAATACTATACTTTTTCTATGACTGAGTGATGAACTGGTTGAGTTCATCAGCAGTGAATATATTCGCTTTCATTGACATATATCGATCAGATTTCCTTTTTAGAAATGCTCGTAATTTCAAATATTTGTCAATATTCACATAATTTTCCATTGAAATTGTGCTTCTTAGTATATGCATGGAATACTGTGACCACAAGGAGGATGCTTTGTGTTTAGCTGCTAATTCGCCAAAATAGGCTAGCAGTACATTATCCGAAAACGAATTTGCAAGTTTTGCTTTTCGCCAAACCACTTCATACCTTTTTTTAGATTTCTCGGGCAAAAGGCTGATTGTACTTGAATTGGCAGCTTTCGAAACTTCTGATGGTGGAGAGCAGTTGAATTCATTTTCGCTTTCTGAATCCATATTTGTACAAAAAGTCAGTTCTAAATCACGCCAGATAGGTATTGTCAAATTATGACATTTCATGACGAGTCTGATTCAATAAACGTTTCACTGCATGCCCCATATTATCACTACAACTGGTGTCAACTGTTTTGTAGGTAATGAATCTACTTTGTTGCTGATTGGCCATAGCCTGTTGTGTAAAGGCTCTTACACACGGGGCGTGGCTTGTTTTGTGTAATGCATCCAGTTACCCAACAAAAATGTTACATTAAAAGGGTCTAGTTTTCAACAGTCATAGAAAAATATTATTACATCTCAGATATTTATCTGGTCAGTTTGTTTTATTCCATTTTAAGGTTGAGGTACATTTTTTGTTTATTTTTTTGCTCCTGAAATCTCTACACGTACTTGAGAAACACCCTGTAAATCTATGTCTAGATACTTCGATACCAGAAGACAGGAGCAGAAGACGTCGCAGGAAGGGAAGGAGGAGGGGAAGGGGAAGAAGCGGTAGAAGAGGTCGCAGAGGTCGAAGGCATACTGAAGATGGAACGAAAAGTGCAGAGAAGACGTCCGAGGATAGCAAGCAACCCAAGAAGGTCGAACGGAAATCGTCAAACGAATCTGTGAAGTCCACGGAGAGCCAACAGGAGTATAGCAGGAGCAAACATGATATAAATCGAGGTGAGAATTTCCGTCTGTTTTATTAATTTTTTCCAGGAATTTATTCATTTATTTATTTATTGAAAATGTGACTCCCAGTCAGGTTCTGGTATAACGAATTATAGTTAACAATGATACCTAGAACTATAGAATTATAATAAACTCATAATTAATATTCTATGGGCACAAAGAAATCAGCTCACTAGTTTTCGAGGGGGTTTCATTTGTTCATTGAGTACTAAATATCCCAATCTTGTAGAAACCGCACATTTCACAGAAATAATATAAAATATTTCTCCATCTGAATTGAAAAAGCTTTCAAATACTGTAGAATTAGTTCCAACCTTGAGAGGGCATTGCTTCTGATACATTTCAATTTTCTCTATAGGGAAACAAGGCTTCCAGATGAAAAACATTTCATTCACCCTCTATATAAGGTATTGCATTTTTGGAATAGGTCGTACCGCACTAATCTAGCCCGAATAGTTTTCAACATGAATTGTTGGAAAATAGCCGGACTCCAATTGGGTGTATCGGGTAACAATAAAATCCGTACATTCAAAAGTATATAGCCGACAAACGAGTCCAGAGACTTATGCTAATATTGATGATAATATCTCTGACTCCTCAAATCGTACATTATATCACAAATTCAAGAAAATTAACCGATTCTTTTTCGAAATACAGGATATTCATTGAAAAAAAACCGCATTTTTTCAAGCAACTTGGATTGTATCTTTTTACTCACCCTATATGTATGAAATGAGTATGCAACGTTCTCACCATCGAAGAATGTTTGATATATACAGGGTGTTTAAAAAAACTGTCCCCCTTGCTAGTGTAGGTAGAACAATGCAAAATAAGTTGGGTTTGCTCAGTGAAAAAATGTCGTAACGGCATCCGTTTGCATGATACAAGGTGTTGAAAAAATGATTTTTTTACACATTTTTCACGATTCTGTCGAAACTACTGGCAACATTGTAATGAAATTTGGTATGGATGTTTCTGGAAATCTGACACATCGCATGAATTTGTTTTTATATCTGACTCTCATAGAGGGCGCTAGTTACACGGTTTGTACCGAGTAGTTTAGAACATAACTTTCTTGAGATTAGATTTTTCGATCCAAATATGATATGAACTTCAACATCATTCAATTTTACACCAATATGATACTCTTGGTGAAACTCGATACTATGATCCGTTTTCGGAATATTTCGATTTGAAAATAATGGAGTAGTACTGCTGTAGTCACTATAGTAGTATGCTGGTATAAAATGAATTTTATTGAGTTCAATTACCAATTTATTCAGATTCAAAAACAATGAAATTATTTTTGTGCTGAAGTTATTGATGGAACAAAGAATCATAAGTAGAAAATTAAGACATATTTGACTATAAACATGAAATATTGAATCAGTTAGAGTAAGTGTTCAAAATGTCTTACGTTTCGATGAATTCACGATTCTATATTCTTTTATCAAGAATATATTATTCTTCTAAACAGTTGAGGATCAGCTGTTAGGTCATTTAAGTGAAGTTCAGTTATGTCTCACAACTCTTGACGTGAATTTACCTATGTAGCATAGACTTTCTGCTCAAGATAAAACAAAACTGTGTAATCCATGTTCTTAGTCAAATCTGTTTCAATGTTATTCTTGTGATTCATTGTTAAATCAATAAGTTTAGCATCAGAAATGTATTGTTGTTTTCGGTTTTCAATAAATAGGTGATAGTTTTTCATAATACTCACTCTAATACATAGCTTTATACCAGCAACAGTTATCACTTCATCATTTTCAAATCGAAATATTTCGAAAACGGAACACAGTATCGAGTTTTACTGGGAGTACCTTTTTGATGTGAAATTGAATGATGTTCAAGTTCACATCAAATTTGGATTGAAAAATCTAACCTCAAGAAAGTTATGTTCGAAACTACTCGGTACGAACCGTGTAACTAGCGCCCTCTATGAGAGTCAGGTATCAAAACAAATGCATGCGATGTGTCAGATTCCAAGAAACATCCATACGAAATTTCATCACAATGTTGCCTGTAGTTTCGACGTTATCGTGAAAAATGTGTATAAAAATCATTTTTTCAACACCTTGTATCTTGATAACGGAAGCCGTTACGAAATTTTTTTACTGAGTGAATCCAACTTATTTTGCAGTGTTCTACCACCCTGTATATGACATGCTCTCCCCTTTCTGATTAAAAAAACTAGGGTTGACGTACTCCTATTTTCGAACCTCCCTGAATATAAAAAAAAGTCAGTAAACTTCGATCAAGATTGAAGAAGTTTGTCCATGCTCAATTAGATCTTTAATTCCCATGAAAGAACTTACTTGTTCACCCTGTTGTAGAGCCCAAAACGTAAAATTATAATGGATACGAGATCCAGATGACATTGTACCATCATTCAGGCATGTTATCCCATGAACTAACTCAACGATTTCTATTTGTTGTTCAAATATTCTACAACATTTTTTTCGAATATCTCACATTTTGTACCAATACCTACTCATGGAAACTTTCATCCTCAAAAATGTTAAAATAATCTTCTTAGCAATTTGGTTCTGCAGAAGTGAATGATCCTGAGTATACCGAAAACTACTCCTTCTACGACTTATGTTTTCAAGAGAACTTTATTGATGGTGTTGCTGTTGGTGTTCCGTCTCAGTATTATATTTCTGTTTTCCATTTGTTTCTAGATCCGGATGAGAATATGGATGATCTGCAAGACGGAGTAGCTCATGTCAATTGTGACAGTCCGGATTGTCTCTGCAATATCATGCAATCTGAGCAAAATACCCACGATAATCGAAAAACGAAATGATGATCATGTCTTCCTGTGCTGATTTTTCGCATTGTAAATTGTCGTAATTATAATAAAAAATGTCTTGTCTTGAAATTAGAAATCAAGATTCGAGAATAATAAAAGTTTTATTTGACACGAGACTACTATTGGCCTCTGAACCGAAACAATAATAGCGATTTTCATTGGTAGGAACTGGTGGAGTTTTTTTCCACTGAGTGTATATATACCTACTTCTGTTTAACACATGCGAGTAAGAAGGAAACATATACATTTAGTGCAGAAACATTCCACCAGTTCCTCCCAATGGAATTCGCATGCATACTTTTACGCAGAAGCGAGACGAGCCAAGACTGGTCAGAAATTCATATTTGCTAGACAAGAACTGGACTATTTTCTGGAATATAACTTCCTTCCGCAGTATTATTGATCCTTATAATTTTTCTTGACTGGACTAGCGTTACCATCGGTTCACGTGGGTAACTACTAAGAGTCACTATGGATGGTATTAGTAGATAAGAGTTCGGACACAGCTGAACTTCTTTTATATTTTCTATATAACAATGGTATAAGTGAATAAAAGGAAAATACATATTTTCTGCTCTTTGTCTTTTCCATTTCCCTGGTAGCACCTGATCGTCAGATACGATTTTAGTGGTTACATTTCCTGTCAAATCAATCATATCCGTAGATGGAAGATGGAAATAGGGTATAAACACCCACTTCAATTTATAGGAATACGGTATTTCGCAGAACAGCATTTTTTTTATGTTCTGGTTCCCACGAAAAGGGATATCCTGTAATGTTCAGAGAACATCGTGGGAACCAAGGGAAATTAGATAGGAATTGGTGTTCTTCTCAAATATCTGGAGATTATATGCCTCGGGAAATACCTTCCTTGGAAATGTGTTCCAGAGCCTCGCTGTTCGTTGGATGAACGAGTCTTTGGAAAGATATGTTCTGCAGGTCTCCAAAGTGACCACGAAGGGGTGCGAAGCCTCAACTCGACGGGTTAATCTCGCGGGGACTGCCAATGGAGGAACAATTGATGATATTTCAGAAGAGCATCGTCCATGAAAATATCTATAAAATAGAGCCAGATCGCCAACTTTTCTACGGTGTTCCAGAGAAGTGAGTGAGTTTGTGAACGAGGCATCACCCACAAGACGAATTGCCCTTTTTTGGACAGAATCCAACAGTTTCAGGGTATGTTTGGGTGCTTCACTCCAAATATGGGAACAGTATTCCAGGACAGGTCGGATTTGTGCCTTATAGATCATAAGCAGCTGACTGGAAGTGAATTAGCTCTTGGCCCGAAACAGAAAACCAAGTTTTTGGGATGCACTTTTAGCAATTGATCTCACGTGATTTTTCCAAGACAGGTTTATTGCTGATAGTAATACCAAGCATCGAAATGGTTGTCTTCAAAGTTATGGTTACTCCTGACAAGCTTAAGTTGGGCACAGTGAAATCGGCTTTTCTAGAGAAAAGGCATGCTTGTGTTTTGTTTGCATTGAAATCTACCAAGTTCTCTTTAGAATTGATACAATTCATTACACAGCTGGACATTTCCATTCATGCTTCTTCTCAATATATGAAATTATATTTCAATCCTGACATTCATAGTATTTAATGCCGATTTCAAACAATTTTTAATGAATCTAAACATTCAAGAACACTAATAACAGTTGACATTTCTGTGTCCGAACTCTTTTCTAACTAACGCAATCCAGTGGCTCTAGACTGGACTAGTTCGGTGAAATAATCTCATAATCAGGCGATGGTAGGCATATTTTGGGACAAGAACGATCGCAAATTTCAAGTGGTAACTCACCATTTCCTATGGCGTACTGTTGTAGAAGGTCCGTCATATTGATGTGAGTCACCCCTCTTTTTTCTTGCATCAAGTTGTCGCAATGAGTCACCTTACCACTTCCAGGACCACCTGAGAATAATAAAATGAAACAAGTGATGTACGTAGTTTTTTAAAGGTATCAGATTAGGATAGATGTAGTTTTCATTAGGTATTAGATTAGTATAGAGGTCAGATAATTTATACGACGATATAAAAGCAGATTATATTTCATCATTGCTCATGTAAGATGGAAGTAGAGGCCATGGCACCATATCATGAGCATATTTTTGTATTGAAACTATCATTGGGCACCAAAGATGTGTATACGACGCTATGAAAGTTCAGAGAACTGGAGATTTTTCCCACAAACTACGTAATTAGCCCACTCGACTGTCTTGGTTTCTCCACACAAACTACGTACCTAGCCCACTCGACTGCCTATAGGGACTAATAAAACAAATACAAAAAAAAGTTAAAACAATGCCAACATATTTCTTCTTTGTGGGAAATCAAGACAGTCGAGTGAGCTATGTACATAGTTTATTGGCAAAAAATCAAGACAGTCGAGTGAGCTAGGTACGTATAGTTTATGGGAAAAAATTAAGACAGTCGAGTGAGCTAGGTACCTAGTTTATTGGCGAAAAATAAAGACAGTCGAGTGAGCTAGGTACGTAGTTTATGGGAAAAAATCAAGACAGTCAAGTGTGCTTCTTTTACTTTCTTTTGTTTTTTGTTTTGTTTTCTATTGGCAAGTGATTATCTAGGAACGTAATTTTTTTAGTTTTTCCATCGTATCTCCCGAACTATTGAATTGAGAGAAAAATGTTACAGTTTTTTTGTAGATTCTGTCAAAAGGAATAATTTTGGTCCTATAACATTTTCAGATATTTTCAGTTGTTTTCGAGATATTTGGAATTATCTGAGAATAAAATTTTCAACACTTTTGTTCCATCTTCCAATCAACAAAAGGAAAAAACATTTCATGGTTCAGGGGAAGTTGATGAGCTTCATCTATGGATAATCTTTGTTTTTCAATATATCTTCATGGTACCCTATGGGTCGTTCGAATTTTTTTTTTTTCATATTTTTTAATTTATTTTCTGTACTATTGGGTTTACAGAAAGAATTATGAGTAATAATTTGTGGGAAATGTTCCGTGGATAACTTTGCACTTCTGATAATTTTCGATTTTTCCATTTGTTTTCGATATATATTGAATTGAAAGGATTTCAAATTTTGATGTTTTGATTTCCATTTGTTTTTCCATTTTCCGATGGATGCACGAAAAAATGGTAATGTAATAATTTGTTGCGTCATCAAAGAGGCATTCGGTGCATTCTTCAAATTTGGATTTAGTCTATTGGTTCAGGAGATATGTCGTTTTAAAGCGAACCGTGTGTTTCGAAAAATCTCCTTGAAAAACCCACTTGGAATTCTCTTACCCTGCTCAATTTCAATAGGCTTCGTCTCTCCCTGATAGAGTTCTGCGATTCGTAGAGTGGTTACAAGAAACTTCCGGTGAAAAATCATAAACACCCGGAAAAACCACCTTAGAGTTTTCCGATTTCCTTCATATTTTAATGACATGATATTGTTTTGAGTACAATAAGATGGCGAAATTTCAAGTCGATATATCAAAGGGTTCCGGAGATATATCGATTCATGATTATCACAGAGTACAGACAGACAGACCACACACAAAAAGCAAAGTTGCTCAAAATTCGATGGGGATCATTTTCTCCAAAGTAACTATACCTCTATCTCGCTTAGTTTCCGAGATAGCATTTTTGGCAAGGCCGTAGTATACTCCACTATATATAGGTATAGCGTCGTATAACACTATATAGGTATAGCTTCATATAACAAGTAACAGTAGTATCCTTCATGAATTCCCAATAATATTCTCGATAAAAAATATCACACCACCCCACCAGACGGCAACAATTCGAACACTTCTGAGTGGCTTGTTTTGATGATATGACCAATCAACACAGATAAAAAGCAAATGCAAACCAATGAAAACAAAGTAAACATGCCGCGTTGACTACTTTCATCAAGAACTCCGATAGGTGGCGTACACTTATTTTCTATCTATTTCTAATCAAAACTTTCAAATATGCAGTTACACAATGGACAAATCAATTAATTTATGATGAAAGAAGTGTCAAATTGGCTCTCGTTCAAATGCCGTCAATTGTCCATTGCATACTGATATAGGTGAAATTATGATTTGGGCCGAGAGATAAACCGTCTGAAGCATAATTTCAAGAATGATGCTTTGAAAGAATGCGTTTGTTGATGAAATCATATATATATCATGAGAGCAAAGGTTCATTTCCTCCCATGCGTGTTTAATGCCCTCCGCTTCGCGTCGTGCATCAAACTCCACACGCGGGAAGAAATGGATACCTTTCCTCTCTCGATACATAAATAGCTATTGTCTCTTCTTTGTAATATTTCGTGATCGCATGATCATTTTACAATTAACTCTAAACTTACCAAGAACGAATATAACAGGGACCTTCGGTGCTTCGAAATGTATGTCAGTTCCATTATGGTTGGGGAATTTTCCAGCTGGAGGTGTAGCAACGTTGGCACCCCTTGGGGTATTTGCCCACGTTTCATTGCCTTCTTCGAACGCTTGGGAACCATCATTCTGTTCTAATAACCATATAATAATAATTAAAATCACAAAATATCCGGAAAAATATAAAAAATGACGTCCTCACACAATGTTTCATTAGAAAAATTGAGAGTATGGTATACGTATAGTATACGTTGCCAACTTTTCTGCATTTTTAGGAACAGTAAACGGTAAATTATTAACAGTTCCAAAAGAATTTCAGAAACAATAATCTTCATTAGAGTGTCTGAGTGCTTTCGAACTCAGAGTACACCATCCAAACCATGATTTTAGTGATAATCAGTGCAATAGTTCCGTATATGAGGGATGCCACATAGCTAAAGAGAATAGACCTTATACAGATCTAGATGGAATGGTTACATGTAGGTGTATCAAGAAAGGAAGGCATTCGGCAACATGGCAGTTACGGAGTACCTATAGCTTGTGTTTCAGCAACGCTATTAGACAGTCGAGCGCATAATCAGTTTCAGTTTTCATTCTGTTCAGATTCCAGCGGATACTGGCGAATCAGTCTCTCATGCTATGTTGCCATTCACATGTCCTATGTGAAACGATTTGGCAAACAATCTATATCTCAACTTTCAGATCGATAGTTAATCTCAGTACCGTGCCACGAAGGGGAGAGGGAGGCCAGATCACTTAGAAAGCCTGCTACAAGAATAGATGAAACTCATATGCTCGTTCCTATAAAATATGAGGAATCCATGTTCTATGATAAATAAAAAATCAATATAACAAAGGAAATATTACAATATTATGATATATCTTATAAATAGTAATTTATAATATGCCCTTACAATGTTATTTGTCAACAATATTTTTGTTTGTAAACGGTCTCCTTCTCCAAGGTCGAAATCTTGGATTTTTCCATAGGGTTCCCACCCTTACTACATCATAATAATAATATGAATAAGCAGAACTACCCCAGACAGTTATGACTCACCCTGTAAATATTCCCCAATGCACTCTTCTGCACTTTCCTCTTATTCATAATTTTCCAAATTTTCCTAAATTTCCCTATAGATATATATGTTTTCCATATATTATCCTGTTCCCTATATTTTCCTATACAGGGAGAGTCATAACTATTGGGACATATGTTAAGAGCGAATTGTTTGGACCAAAATGTGAAAATGATAAGACTAAATATGTCTTGATAAAATATTGCTGTGGAAAAAGATACCAGGCGTTTCAATCGAAAAAATATTGACTATAAACTCACACCAAAACTCATTATGGGAAGAAATGTAATTCACCAGCAACAATGATCTGACAGTCCAAAGCACACTCTTCATGAATGACATAATATCTCAAATCTCCTTTCGAGACTTTGAACTGCTCAATTGTCGTTTTCTCGAGAACGTATGAAAATATCGTTTACAAACAAGGCTACCAATATTACGTAGACATGATGTTTATGTCATATTTTCCAATCAAAATCACTAAAAAGTTTCGTCAAAAAAAGTAATCAGTCGATTTCATCATCAACAATTATTCACGTGGTGTCCCCTGTAACAAACTGCGTAGAATAATACATAGTGTGTATTGTGCCTCTGTGCCATTTTTGATAACAATTGAAAAATCGACAGTGAAATTATTAGTAAAAAACGAAAAAACATATTCAAATTCAACGCCCTGTATCTTTTTCCACAGCAATATTTTATTGAGGCATGTCTGGTGATATCGCCATTATTTGGTCCAAACAATATGCTCTTAGCCTATGTCCCAATAACTATAACTCACCCTGTATATCTTCCTTTCCTCCAAAACTTAAACTCTGTTTCAAATGTTGTTAATCCTCGAAGAATAATGTATAACTCAAAGATATAAGTATATTTTTAACTATCAGAACAAAAATATGTGACAAAATATGAAACTATACACATACCTATAGGTACCCTTACATCACGTAGTTATACTGATTTGTTTTCACTAGACCGCTTCTCAAATAATCTATGTATCGATCCCCGCATACAAAAATATTGTGTGCTTCTGAAAAAAAATCACCTTGTCTGGTCAAAATAATCGACCAAGGGTAATGTTTTAGAAACAATGATATAATTGGTCGATGGTGTTTGATGTTTATAGTGTGTTCAATTATTGATAAATTGACCGAAGCTATTATCCAAATACCTAACGATATCATAATATGTTGGAATACTGAAACAATTCGGCTATATATACTCATTTTAGAAGCAAAATAGCTTATTATTGCAGTCGAAAGCGAAAATATATTGGGACTGGGAACGGCAGTGTTGTTATAAGGTCTGCAGGAAATCTACCTCTGCAATTGCTGAAAATTCCCACATTCTGTCGAAAATCCCTTCCATTATTGAGCAGCAGATTCGAATAGATGAACGTTCATTTGTAGATTTTGTCTCCACTATTTCTCTAGATTTTTTTAGGATGCAGTGACATTGTTTTGTCCTTACTCGTAAATTGAAATAATACGCATATTTCAATCCATTGAAATAGGGAGAGGACATCTCAAGAATTCTATAGAAATCAGTATCCCACTTCCTCGATTCCTACAGACAGTTTATATAATAAAAATATTTCATTCACCGAGTATTCAACAAGCAGAGAAAAACTAGTGAGCTATTATTGCAAAACTTACACATAGTCAAATCAAAAAACAATAGAATGTGTTATGTGTTCTGGGTTCAGATCACAAAATAATGAACTCAACTGTCGTTGTTTTACTCAGATTTCAGAACCTGATGGCGATATCATCAGAATCTCCCTCCCAAACGGTCTTTTCCCAGAAAAATCCCTTTTTTCCTCAACGTTCTAAAAGCTCCCACGAAAACGGGAATTTGTTCCCTCCCATATAACAACACTGGAAAACGGAAACCAAAAGAAGTATTATTTGTGAGTTTGTCCTTCAAATTGTTATGTATAGGTATAATACCTATGAACGTTTATAGTTTGGCTTAGCAAACCGATGAACACAGCTTGGTTCATGTCAAAGTACATAAAGATATTTCTCATAATTATAAAGGAATCTGTTATTCCTCCTCTGTATATTGAATGAGGAGGAAAATTAATGTTTGTTTTCCTCAAATAATCCATGCTTGAATTGACATATTATCAACTCTCATTGGACAACAATTCAGATGTCCAAAAGAAGATCCTCACCTGTATCCAGACAAATTCCCATATTCCGGTTTAAGTATGATTGAATGAATTGGTCAGATCAAAAGGCCACCATAACCGCGGGTACCGCGTAGAAGTACGATACAAATGCATCGAGACAGAAAACACAAGAAAAGTCTTCTTCACCCAAAAATGTCCATCAAAAAAAGTCCACAACACAATAGAAAAATTCAACGAACTACATCCTCGCGAAAATCTGGATATATGATGTGAATGTAGATATACCCGTATTAAAAACTTCGAATGCGACCGATCGTTTGCAGAGGTTCATGGAAACTAGCTTTGAACTTGGGAAATATTTTCAATCGGAAAAACGCCGTGGAAGTTTGAATAATTAACAGGCAAGCGAGGCTTTCCATTGGTTGCTAAGGTATTGCTTTGCGTCGACGTGTATGAATGACTATTATATGATCCAGTTTAATCGGTGGTCAAGGTACCGCAAGGCAGAAAGGAAACAAAATCACACCTCCAATTCGAATCCTAACCAGGGCAAGGATCTTTTCTGATATTCAATTCACAAATTGAATATTGTGAAGTGTCGGAGCATCGGCTGGAGATGCTCCTGCACGATTCACTGTTGCGTCCCAATTAACAGTGCTGCTCCCAAAGTGGCACATGGAGTTAGTAACAAAGCCTACACAGACCACATACCAAGAAATTATGGTGATTGGTGGTTGTGAGCATCAGAGAAGAAGTATAAAGGTGGGTGTGGGAGACTACCAGCTGAGCTTTTGAGCGTTCCAATGCTGCTGCCAACGGAAAGTGTCATTTGTATTTCAGAAAAAATCATTTGAAATTCGATTGACGTTTTCTGCAATACAAGTGACTATTCTGAAATACAACTGGAAATGTTGTAGTTGCTGACGTGCAAAAGTCTCTCACTTCTACTTCTACTTGTACCATCAGTACACCTCTAATGAATATTATAATGATATGTATAGTGGATGGAGTATAGAATAAGGTTCTGACGAAATACAGTTTTGATAGATTATGTTTTTGATAGTGATTTTGATAGAATACAGTTCCGATGGAATACGGCTCCGGGGAATTATAGTGTCCCTATGAAATACGGTGCCATTGAATCGATACCAATCCTATATAATTCGGTTTTCATTGAATACAATTCTGATGTTTAACTGCCGAGACGAATCATGATTCGGATGGATCACTGAACTCGACGTTCCTATACAATGAGGTTATGAGGAAATACGATTCTGATAATTTATCGCAGTCGCTATGGAATATATAAGGTTCTGTTGAATTACCGTTCCCATAGAATACGATTATGATAGAGTTCGCTCTTGACTCTTCGATTATGATGAATTATAGCGTCGCGATGGAATACTGTTCCTTTTCAATATCATTCTGATGAATTATATTTTCACGACTCACCGTTTAATTGTTACTTTACATTCCTACAAAGTACGGTATTATGTTTTACATTGCGATCAATTACGTTCCTACATGATACAGTTCCGCTTAATTACGTTGAAATATACTGGGATACCTAGATAATATTTCTTAGGACACGGGGTCCTTCATTTCTAATGAAAGCCTGTTCATTGTCATTGCCTTTTTAACGATATAACCAAGATATTATGATGAATATTTCACCTCCATGTAGTTCAACTTTTGGTTATAATAATATGTAGATTTTCGCAGGCCTTTGCTTGTAGTAACTTCTGAATACGGCGGAAGATGGACTTTCATGAGTCCTAAACATGTCTCCTTATTTGATTACATCAGTAATAAAGTAGTGGAGGTGACTTTGAACTCTCCTTCTTCCTTTATATTTTTACGTTGCATCGTTTCAGTTGTTCCCATTCGCATTTCATTGCAAAAAATAAGAACCCACGATGGAGGCAGATCAATGCTTTCAATGAAGATCTTGCTGAAATTTCAACCTGGAGAACCAACGTCCCAGCCCAACTTAACGCCTTTATTTTTCTAGAATTGCCGAATTCACTGTCTGATATAACAATGTGACAATGTTTGATACCACAATTCCCTGAGATAGGTTATCTTTTTTTTATGTTCTGGTTTCCACGAAAAGGGATATCTTGTAATGTTCAGAGAACATCGTGAGAACCAAGGGAGATAAGGTAGGAATTGGTGTTCTTCTTAAATTTCTGAAGGTTAAACGCCTCGGGGAACACCTTCTTTGGCAATGTGTTCCAGAGCCTCGCTGTTCGTTGGATAAACGAGTTTTCAGAAAAAGATGTTCTGCAGGTCTCCACGAAGGGACTGCCAAGGGAAGAACAAATGTTGATATTTCAGAAGAGCATCGACCATGAAAATAGCTATAAAATAAAGCCAGATCGCCAACTTTTCCACGGTGTTCAGAGAAGTGAGTGAGTTTGTGAGCGAGGCATCACCCACGAGACGAATTGCCCTTTTTTGGACAGAGCCCAACAGTTCCAGGGTATGTTTGGGTGCTGCACTCCAAATATGAACAGTATTCCAGGACAGGTCGGATCTGTGCCTCATGAATCATAAGCAGCTGACTGGAAGGAACTCAGTTACCTGGAATGAAGTAAAGGAAGCTCTAGTGCCTCATTTTTAGAAACATGAAACACTCTAGCCAGCGCATGTTCCCATCATTCTATGTTAACTTCGTTTTTATGCTTTATGGCCTCATACAAGTTTATTATCTATGCATCAATCTAACCGACTGTCTTCGATTTTCCATTCGTTTATGGTTTTATTAACGTCCAAGCTCATATGACTTCGTACTGAATCGGTATAATGAGTACCTGAAGACATTCACAATATTGTACAAGAATCATACAGGGCCCTAAGCAAAGGATGCATGATTTCAAAGAATTGCAACTCATTATTTACTCTAGGAACAAAATCTGATAATTTTGAAGATCTCCTGATTTTCAGCCAAGACAGTGAAGAAACTTGTCCAAACCATTTTAAGGAACAGGAAATTCTAACGTTTCATTTTATATACATATTTTATACAAATGCATTCTCTCTTTTTTTTCTATTCTGAGTATCACGATTATCCAACTCGATCTTCGAAACCTATTAGGCCATTTAAATCGTTTGCCAGTCTGTATGAGATTAGAAAACAACTTTAGTGTAATCAAGCGAAAACTCAAAAAATGTTTATGTGATGCATATTATTATGATTCATCCGAATTTTAGGAAGTGTAGGAAATATTGGCAGTTCAAATGGGTTGCTCAAAACATTACTTCTTCCAGTGGCGTAGAAGTTGGGGATAAAAACATGCACTATCCCTTCCAAATCCTCACCAATTATGATCCAGAGGAAAAAAACACACAAAATATAGCTCATTATGAAAAGTTAATGCTTACGAAAACAGTTTTTTATGTGACAGACGGTTCCAGAAATATTTGCAAAAAACGATTTTTTTTCAAATTCAACACCCTGTATCTCGAAAACAGTATATTTCAGAGGGTAAGTTAATAGAATCTCTTTTCCATGCACATTCCTCAAAGAGCTATCACATCCTGAAGTCCTGCGCATATATTATGAAACACCCTGTGTAATGTTGAAGGTATTTCGTCTTCGATGAAGTGTTATGAAAAGCTCAATGTTGCATTTTTGCATTAAATAACAAGATGTTATGTCGGCGTATGAGGTAATGAGGTGTTCTCTCATTGGATATTTTGTGTGTAGGCTTGGATATACCACGATTGTACATTGTACGAACATTCTGAGAAAAAATGAACATGTTTTATTTCAACACCTGAATTATTAATCTTCTTTCCATTCGGTGCGCTCACATCGTGTTTTGAAAATAATGGAATTTGTTATAACTTCATGATATTGTCTATGAATTATTGAAAAAATACATAATTCACTTGCTGAAATTAAACACCAGGTTCAATGAATACTGATTATGTATATACATATTTTTGAGAATCTATCAGAAACAAAGTTGTCTTATAGGATTAACTCCCAGGGCACTTATTAGGTATAACTGCCATTTCTGACATTGGCTGCACCTGGTTCAAGATTCGAGAAAATTACCATTACCATTATTCAAGCCTAAATAGGTGACGTAGGCAAGTAAATCACCAGTCGATCTTCGGTGGCGAAAGCCATATTGTCTATTATTAATGATTCCTGAGCTTTCTAGATATTTAATGAGCTTAATGTTTATGTTGATGTGATGTCCATCACTTTGGAGATGTCTGATAACAGGGCAATCGGCCTATAGTTGTTGGACTCTTGTCTTGTTTTCTGTTTTGGGGATTGGTTGGACTCTAGCTATTTTCCAGCAAGATAGAAAAATACCCAAATTGTTTGTTAATATTTCATTAAAAAACATCATCATGGTTTGTTTGTCTAAAAACATTGAAGATGAGTCAATATAATGGAAATCGTTTTCATGATTAATCATTCTTATTCCTATTATCTTCATATATAAGATATGACATAACATCTACTACACCACATAATTTAGAATGAAGAATGCGAACTTCATCAAACATCTACTGAATTAAGATAACACTAGGGAAAATAGCGTCTAGAGTTAGGTATTTTACATTTCACAACGAAATATTATCATTATTTGTTTTTCATGTCCAAACTAATAATGATAACGAGAGAAAATGGTAAAGCACCGATTTTGCTGCTAAGTGATGCTGATATGTATTGCATGCTTACCTATTCTCAGTCAAATACCCATCAAATAAAAATAAAAAATATGTTTGAGTTCATACAATTTTGTGAAATAATGAATTAATCAACCATTGTTAGGTCATTCAGATTTTCCTTATTTTGTTCCTTTGTTTCGTTTTTAAAGCTTATTGAATTTTCCGAATAAATTTTTTTTTTCGCTTAGTTTCAAAGAGCTCTCGACTTCGAATATCATTCTTTAGATGAATTTTCAGAAGTGATGGCCACATAACGAATATTTATTAGCGAATGAAACCATTGAAATATTAGTGATGACATTTCAGGAATGGGTGATTCTACTACTAGAATACATCAATTTTCATTAGCATGATTTTCAAAATGAATCCATTGGGTGCTAATTTTATTATAACTCTCCTATTCTCGAACGTCATGTACACCAGGTACATACATGGCTTGAGGTTTTTAATGTGACAAGGCGATTTATGATATCATGTCACTACTTTCTACAAAATTTTATGAATCTAGGTCATCAAGAAAGGCCAATTTTTCGTCTCAATTGTTCGAGTGCTGGGAAAATTTTGACTTCATATCTTAGTTCTTGTGGTGTCGAATTTCAAAAATACATGAATTTCATCATGATATCAATCAATATGAGTTGCTTGCAAGAACTGTCAACTGACCGACCCTGGAGGTGCAACATTGGAACACAACCTCACTTTTCTCATTTGTTTACAAATGATTGAAATAGTTTTTCACAATCATTCTGGCATACGAATCGTCTTTTTCGGCTATACAATGCACAAAAAATGCAGCGAGAGACGGAGGAATCCGGTTGGTACAATATGATTTAAAATTAAGTACGTACCTACTATATATAGTCACTCACATATAGTTTTCATTTCGAGATTTTGTAATTTCTCTGATTTTTCATCGGAATTCCTTCTGCAATAGGAGTAAATAGAAATCCTCGTGAAATTTCTAAAAGAATGCAAGAAGATTGTACTCATGCAATCAAACGGGAGGACTGGTCTGACAAGCTTCTATTGCAGGAGTGGCAGAAAGAATTTTGATAAGAAATAAGAAATGACAAAATTTTATAATGAAAGCTATGTGAGATTACTATTCACCTGAGAAATCATATTCCTTCGTCTCTTACTGCATTTTTTGTGCATTGTACAACAGCACAATGCGAAGGCATGCTTGAATTAATGAATAGTGCAAAAAACACGATTCGTATGCCAAAATATTGTGAAAAACTAGTTCAATCCTTTGATTCCTTTGTAAACAAATACCAAAAGTGAGGTTGTGTTTCAATGATTCACAGAAGAGTGACGTTGTGTTTCAATATTTTACCTCCAGGGTCGGTAATCGTGCACGCGACCTATTGAAGATCAAAATTATAACCTCGTTTCATTGAGACATTCAGTATATTAATAGCTTCCTCCTTCCTCCATCATCAATGAGCAGATAAATTGTCGCAAATAATATACGTGTAGCAACAGGGCAGTAATAATACAGATGCCCTATTTAGGCCCAATTTTCTCAATTTATTTCGCCATTGTGGCTAAATTTAGATAACGATTCGAGACAAGACGTTTGATTTAGTGTATATCTCGATCATGAAGAAGGTTCAGATCCAGAGGGGTATCCGAAAGTTCTTCAAGAAGTTTTCAATTGACAGGTTCTCGAGATATATCTTCAATATTACGTACACCAATTTGTGATCTGACAGGTAAGAGAATTTAATTATCAAAAAAAATTAAATGAGTCTCGTCAACCAACATGCTCCATAATTCAATCCGGGATGGTGTCAACCAATTTCTAATTTCATTCAAGTTTCTGATAGTTCATTTTATTAGGGACAATATCTGATTTGGGACAGGACGAAATTCCTACAGGTGGTTCCGCCAAAACTATACTTTATTCAATGATTATAGGAAATGTTTCGAAGCTTCAAAGCTTCATCATCAGCCGAACATTTTCACAGGCGGTACTACAATAAGAGAAGACAAAAAATTATGATGTACCCAACATTAAAAAAATGAAAGTCAAAGTAGTCCCACCTGATTTGGGGAAAAATGGTTCATTTGTTGGAAAACCAAAATAGAAAGTACATATTATAAATAGTTATTTATTATACAAGGAAAGAACCTAGTAGATTTTAGCTCCAGGTTCTGTTGTCTCTCTGAGACGAAAAACCGTGAGCTAGAATCTCATATTTTTTCACTACACTGTTTCACACTAACCAAACCGATTTTTAAATCGCCTGGACACGTATTCCGCTAACTATATGTTAGCATCTTCAGAATAATATTGAAATTTCAACTATTGAGAATGATCACAGAGATATAGGGTGTTCAAAATCAGGATTTTTCAACTTTAGGAATCGTTTCTGTCTCAACTTTTGATTCAACATTTACGTATATTTGATCGGAACAGATACAGAGTGGTTTAGGATTCAGAATTCTGATCACCCTGTATCTGTATGAATAGTTTCGACACAAACGAACCCTAAAGTTGAAACATCTCGACTTTGAACACCCAATATCTCTATGATCATTTCCGATAGACTCCAAGTGTAATGTATCGATGAAATCAGCTCTTCAGGAACAATCTAAAAATGCAATGAAATACACGGTATTCTATTTGAAATAACAAAGTTGTTGCTACTTTTTGATAGAAGCAGCAAAACTGCATTGCTGAAATATTCAAAATAAAGAGAGCGTATTCTAAAATATGAGCATCCATCACGGAAAAAAGGAATTGTTGAATCAAATAAAAGTGTCATATATGCACGACAAAATATAATCTTGAAATGAGTGAATCTATATCTTGTTTCAGAACGAATTTGAAGTTTGAATTGAGAAAATATGTCTTGAATGAATTCTGGATCTCATTCAATCAAGCACATCCATGAATTGTTCATGATGAGATATTGGATCGGCTCAAACAATCATTTTGTTTGAATCAAAATAAGAAGCTTTTGATTCAATCAGACATTTAGTTGATTCAATGAAATATTCGGTTGATTCAAAGAAATCTTTGGTTGATTCAATGAATTATTTGGTTGATTCAATGAAATATTTGGTTAATCCGATGAATTATTTGGTTAATTCAATGAAATGTTTTGTTGATTCAATGAAATATTTCGTTGATTCAAGAGAAATTGTATTTTCATTCGACAAATTGTTTTGTTGACTCAGATGCAGTATTAATTCGGGAGATTTCTGAAATTTCGAAAGAATAAACTAAACTAGGAAACCGATGCAAAACTATTTCGGATTGCTTATCATCCTAAGTTCGATTTATCCAGCTGATATTTCAAAGACGAAGAATCAGGCCTCACGTATATAATGAGTTCGAGGCATGCATAGACAAGGCGAAATGATCGCCATCTAGAGGCGAAAATGTAACTTGATGTAGAATGAACAGAATATTTCATTGATATTACATATTTCGTTGCTCTATTCAAGCAAATGATCCGTTCGAAACGAATTCACTACTACATCGGAATAAGAAAACTTGGATGTTCAAAGATATATTCTAATCAAGATGATCATTATTTCATCAAATCAACTAAATGTTTACGGTTGAATCAACATCGACATTATTTTTGATCGACATAATTTGTTCTTGAGAAGACCATATATTTTGTTGATGGAATTGATATTATATACTGTTGATTCAATTAGACTACATTCTTGATTCGAACAAGCTGCTTCCATGAAATAATCATGTATCTGGTTGATTCAACAAAAAGTTGCTCAGTCCAACAAAAATAATTCAAGCATGAATAATTGGTTGATGCAACCAATCATTTTTTCCGTGTATTTTCATGGATTTGTCCCGACTGATTCTCGATATAGAAACAGTGTAATCTCGTCGTGACATACCCTGTATGTCAGAGGTCCAAGTAAGTATAAAAAATGTTTCACGCTCATATTGTCACAGTGACCCATATTGCTCTATCAATAGGTAAAGAGGCATAGTTAATTACATGAATCATTTCATGTATTGCAGTCGATAAAGTGGGGACTTTCCTCATTCAAGTGATGACACTACTTTATAAACAAATTAATTGGTGTATAAAACGGGATATGGAACGATCCGAATAATAAACTTACACCAGTTTATGGTACTTACGAATCCAAAAGATATAATTATATAATTTATTCATCAATATACAGGTTGAATCAGATGTCGATACATGTTTATATGACGAGAAAGTATTATTCTGATCCCAACAATAATGTCGTTAAAATATTCTCATCGATTTACCCTCTATATGTATATACATAATTAATCAAACAGTTACTATAATTAAGATAAAACGAATTCAGGAATTTGATACGTGTGTATATATATATACAGGGTGTTTCAGAGTTATGGTAAGTGTTAGCGAATCGATAGCCTCGATATGGTTCGAATTACGTGGACGTTATCCAATCAGTTATTAAATGAAGAAAGTTTCGACGTATAGATACGACTTTGTCTGAAGACTCGCATCTCATCAGGTCATCATGGGAAGTATACAGGACGTCCCAGTGCAACGTAAACATACAGGAAATAAACTAATGATTTTAATGTTAAACGCACCAACATCAAGGCTTTCCGTAACAGTAAGGAAAGTCTAGGGGATATTTTTCTCAACAAAATAAGAAGAAGGTTCATATAAACATGCGTCCGAAAATGGGTGTCCAAGTTGAAAAAAAAAAGATTCTTGAGACGGCTGATCCTAGAATGAATTCACCTTATATTTATACCTAGAAGTATTGTATATTAGTCCAAAGCTAACCTAATTGAACTGCTGAGCAAAAGAGATTCAATGGGATACAAACTAGAACGAGAACAAATAAAATTCATGAATATAGTAACGTTACGTATTATAGGAACCAAAATTTCAACGTTACCTTTCAGTCGAATTCACATGACAATAAAAAAAATGGTTATGTAACGTTACTACGAACGATGTTTCACCGCATCCTAGGTCCAGAATATACAGGGTGGTCCACGAAAACTTTACACCCAGATTATAGGGCTTTAAAATGAAAATCCGAGAATACCGGAAAGAACCCATCGATTTCTGATACGAGGAAGAGCGACTTGTCTGCTTCTTTGTATGAACTCTGATCTTGATGAGCTTGGAACTTGAAAAAAATAGTCATTCGTATCAGTGATATGGGAATTACATCTCTCACAAACATGACTTCACTCGAGTAAAACTCATTTCGGATATCAAATATCAAAGTCCAGTTATTCTTTTAACCATTCTTCATGATATACACAATTTTCATCTCCCTATAATGTAACTAAAACTATAACGAACTGACATCTAAGAATTATAATTTGTTGAAATACCCACTGTCATCTGGGCATTTGTTTTTGGATGTATGAATATCAATTTATTATACAATTAAAAAGAGATAAAGAGCCAATGTCGAATTTACCTTGAAAATATCATTCTTATAAGTACTTATTTAAAAAGTTTCTGGACGCACTATATCTGTTCGATTTACACTTGTCTCGAACTTTGATGAATATAAAGCATGATTTGCTTAAAGAAGTCAATATTAAAAGTGTTATCTCTGATTATTTTCATATTAAATTCGGAAAAATTCATTCGTAATAGTTTTGTTTTATTTAATTTCATACCCTAAACCTGAGAACCTGAAGCAAACCAAGGGCCCCTTCATATAATTTGCTACAGGCCCCGCGCTGGCTTAATCCGGCATACTGGGACCAACCTGTAAGTTTAGCACTGCTGAATATCTTTACGAGGATGAATTTTTCAGGTTCAACATGGAAAGTGGTCCATCTCTGGGTGTATCCGAAGTAGGAGCAGCAATGCAACGTTTCGGATGGGTGGACTACATAATGTTCTTCATCATGTTGGGAATATGTCTGGTGGTAGGTTTATATTTCGGACTGTGCAAAAAAACCCAAAATGCCCAAGAGTATCTGGTAGGAGGACGTTCTATGAATGTGGTGCCCATTGCAATGTCTCTAATAGCAAGGTGAGATTATTCTAAATATTGTTGTTCTGAAATTTTTCGATTTGTCTTTCGGATGCCCCCTTACGAGCAACACAAAGGAGTCTTCGGGAGACTCGTGCGAGCAAGGAATGACGGGGGCCTTATGAAAGCACTTCCCTTCAATTTTAATAAAATAATAGTCATGACTGTGACAGCATATGTCAAGTCGTCATTGATAATAGTATATTATGTAACAAGTGTTATAAACGTCCTTCCAGTAACGAGTATTTTAAGCACGAGCGGAGTAGAGCGGAGCGAGTGTTTAATAAACGAGTGTCTAGAAGAGTTACATACTATTCCGAGTACTATGCTTTCTCTACGAACTCCGAAAATAACATTAAAATACCTGCTATATTCCTGCTAACCTACAAAATAATTCGAAAGGAATGGGAATGAACATAATACATGCAACTGCATGCAACCAGCGAGACACGTATAAGTGATATTGGTTGTAGATGTGTCCAGTCCATTGCTTACTAACCTTTGTTTCACGTTATTATTGTCATGCTTAGCGCAGAATAAATAAATTGTTCTCAAAGATGGACGCTTCATTTTGACACTTCTTGGAGATATGCAAGTACCAGAACATTCTCTTCGATTTCACTTTCGTCTACATTTCGCATATATTAATGAAGAATTCTGATACAAACGAATATTGTTTGAATAATTCTGATACAAAATTTGAGAATAACAGTTGACAGTTAATACAATTGACAGGCCAGACATGTCTCAGATTACTGAAGCTGTATTTAATGAACTGTGTTGCCATGGTAATGTGTCTAAGAAATCGTGTTGCCATGGTAACGTGTTTATTATTTTGAATAAATGACAGATCGTCAATCCGTGATTAATCGATCATTTAGCGTGGTACATATCCGTACGCTAAATGCCATTTTAGTTATGTGAGTAGAAAAATACGTATATTATACTAGATCCACTCATTTTTGAAAGTATTTCCCCTTCTACTACTTCTTTCAAAGAATCTCTATTTATAAACAATCCAACCTAGCGCGGCCTGAATTAACCTTCAAGTATGAACTCCATTTTCGGGATACTATATTTCTATTTGTGATTTCCGAGGTGTTTTCATTTAAATATTGTCTTTGACCAATATGAATTCTCAAAATGCCATTAAAAAAAGAGATTTTGGAGTTGTATCTGTCTGAGAATTTGTTTACCTATATCTGCCTTAATCCTTTCGTTGCATGCCATCACAGTATCAATTTTAAGGTCTATTTTCAGTACCCCAGGAGATATCTATAGAATGCAATACCATGATTAGCACATATACATAGAGGATGATAATTTCACAAATTCAACAGAATTGATTACTGAAATTGAAAATATATGTTCTTCTTGCATCGCTAATATAGTATAAAATAAGTATATTATGTTGTTTTTCAGTTGGGTAAGTGGTATATCTCTGCTAGGAATACCGACAGAAATATACGTTTATGGTATCCAATATACGTATATTATCATCGGCCTTCTCTTGACTACTTTACTCATGGGATCAATTTATTTGCCAGTATTTCAAGGGCTGGAACTAACCTCAACATATGAGGTGAGTCACATTGGATGTTTGGTTTTCAGAATGTCTGCGATATAACGAATCTGATTACACTAGAAAAAACTCCATGTTACTATCATAAAAACCATCAGGTTTTATTGAAATTGATGGGAAGACTCTTTGAGTAATTTATAAAAAACAGATTTTTCTACGGAAACATCTCAAAAGCGATGCAAATCAAGACAAAAGAGGTGTATGTGCACTTTATTCATAAAATATAACAAGGAACTACATTTTCTCACACTCATTCAATCATACCCTATATGTAAACAATTTTCTTATTGTGAAATTTTGGGATCGTACTTATTGCAAGGATTCATTCTGTGAAAAACAAATTATTGAGAAACAATTCAATATTCAGATATCACTTATGAGAAATCTGGGAACAAACTGATTTTATCATCAGATGAAAACTCGGTGAAATGTTTTTCTAAGATTTTGGAATTTTCAGTACCATGAGAGAAGATTCGATAAAAAAGTGAGGTTATTTGGATCTGTACTGTTCACTATCGGTATGATTGCTTGGTTACCCTTAGTCATCTATGTTCCAGCCTTAGCTTTCAATCAAGGTGAGATGTTCTACATTTTTACCAGTTCTCCTCTTGCTATATAATTTGATTTCAAAAAATATTTTGTCTCCTTATCATATATTCAAGGATGACATCGTCACTAAAATGCAAGTAGGTACACAGAACCAGGAAAAAAATTCTGTCACCTTCATTTTATTGAAAAAATGAGAATAATGTCTTTTTGATTTTTTAGTGACCGGAATAAATGTTCATTTGACAACACCAGTGGTTTGCGTTATCTGCATCATCTATACATCTATGGTAAACTATGTGAAACAATGTTGATATATAAAATAAAACAAAAATTTTCAGGGTGGTTTGAAAGGTGTAGTATGGACTGACGTAATACAAATAGTCATTATGATTGGTGCAGTCATATTGGTTGTGATAAAAGGAACAATAGATGTTGGAGGTATCAGCAATGTCTTGCAAAGAAATTGGGATAGTGATAGAATTGAAGGCCCCAAGTGAGTATACGATCATAATTCACACAATGAAGATGGATCAAATTTTTTACTGAGCAAACACAACTCAATTCGCAGTAATCTACCCCTCCTAGCAACGTTACCTTTTGTTTCCGAAACACCCTATACATGCTCTGAACACATTACTGATCTCATGTTCTATTTTATCAGCTTTGATTTGAACCCGATGTCGAGACATACCATTTGGGCCCTAGTGATTGGTGGCGCTGCTTACACTTTGCAAAGTTCTGGGGTAAACCAGAATATGATACAGAGATATTTGTCTTTACCAACCCTGAAGGAGGGGAAAAGGTGAATATTGATTGATATTCTACAGGGGGGTCCATTCAAGAATATACAGCCTCGATAACTCGCTGAAAAATGATTTCACAAAAATATAACGAAACATGTCGAATTTCATTTGGAAAGAAGCAAATTTTGACAAAGGAAAGATAATACATACTACAGCCCTCGATGATTTGGATAGGAAATGAGGGTCATGAAATATATCATTGCAAAGGTTATTCAATTCTGACATTAGCAGAGCGAAGTTTTCTGAATTCCAACAAGCCGTTTTCGTGATATTCGAGTTCAAATGGTATATTTTCTAATTGTGAGTGAACTAATAATTGAATGGTTATCCACAACAAATGTTGAAAATGACCTCCATTGACTTCCAGACAGTGGTAGAGTCTATTTGCAAATTCATCATCCACATTTGCACATATTCCTCTAGTTATTGCCTGGCTTCCAATCCTCATTCTCCATTCTTCTTTCCAAATCATTCAGATCAGTAGGTCCCGTTTGACATAAGAAACAAATTTCCAATGATCCCGAGAAAAAATAGCATTGGGTGCCATATCCGGTAATCATGCGGTGACCATTGCATTCTCCTCTTCGACCTAAATGCCTTTGTTTGGGAAATTTCGGGGTAGTCATTCTCTCATATATGTAATACGGAATGAGGTAACGCACTATCTTGTTCAAAATGAATATAATTTGCCGATAGCTTCGATCAATATCATCGAGGTCCGTTACAAAATCCCAAAAGCTTCCGAATGAATGGATAGGTTATAAAATACCTATAAAATGACCAGCACGCTCGGCGAACATGGCACCCAATATTTTTTCTCTCGCGAGCCAGCACGCTCGCCAGACTTGGTACCCAATTATTTATTTCTCCGAGGTAATTTGGAATCCTGCATAAATGATTCGAAACCTACCGACATGAACGATTTGGAAAGAAGATTGAGGATTGATTGTATGCTACACAATAACAAGATGAACATCTTCAAACGTGTAAGAGAAATTTGGGAATAGACCTAACCATTGTATGGGGGTCAATGAAAGTCATTTTGATGGATACCTATTCAATAATCCTTTCCGTACATTAATTTATTGACCATTAAACAACATACCGTTGGAACTCGAATATCTCGAGAACGGCTTGTTGGAAATCAAAAAACTTTGCACTGCTAGTGTCACAATCAAATTACCTTTGCAATGATGTATAACATGACCCTCAATACCTATTCAAATTATTGAAGGGGTTGCTCTGCGAAGTAGAGGGTTGAAGTGTGTCTTCCTATAAATAAAACTTAACGTGTGTTATTTTTGTGTAAAATTATTTTCTGTGAATTATCGAGGGTGGATAGTCCTGAATGGACAACCCGGTATATGAGTAAACCTATAGTGCTCATATTTTCAGAGCCCTGTGGACGTTTTTCTTTGGAATAGCTCTCATCGTCATATTTTGTTCGTACTGTGGCATGCTGATTTTCGCTACTTTTCACAAATGCGATCCCCTAACTACCATGGTAAGAAACATTGATAACTGCGCAGATTTTATCACGTGATCTTGGTATTACCAACAACGTTTTTTGTTACAGTTGGCTAGGGAGAAAGACCAACTGTTGCCTATTCTTGTGATGGAAATTTTGGGAGACATGCCAGGATTACCAGGAGTATTTGTTGCAGGAATTTTCAGTGCAGCATTGAGGTACGAAACCAGAGAGGAAAATTTTACAAACGGTTGATTGGACCTTACTTTCGTGTTTTTTAGTTCGTTATCAACTGGTCTGAATGCTATGGCTGCCGTGGTTTTGGAAGATTTCTATAAGCCTTTCTTCAAAACAAAACTCACGGAGAGACAGACTTATCTCATGATGAAAATAACTGTATTGTCCATGGGTGCAGTATGTGTGGGTCTTGTGTTTGTTGTAGAAAAATTGGGGGCAGTACTACAGGTTCGAAACAAAATGGATACTTTTCTTCAACCAGCAGGGGAAGCCACTTTTCTCTGACCCCCAACAGGCAGGAAAGGTGTAGTTTCTCTGCCTAGGTAGGAGAAGTTTGTTGCTATGCAACGTTCTTATAAATTTGAATGGAATAAGTGGTGATCCAAATTGACAATGACATTGTGTGAGCACAAAATGATGAGGTTTTCAATAGGAAAATTATAAAAAAAATGGTAATATAACATTTGGAGAAAGAATTATATGTTTGTAGTGAACCAAATAAATATAGTTTCACTAGGCAGAAAAGCACAAAATTTACTGCCGCAGCTGGCGATTCATAGCCAAGGCGCAGCCAAGGCATTGCCATGTGAAACATATTATGTTTTCTCCAATTTCACGCCAAGTCCAAATAATCCATCATTTCGTATTTACTCAATATCATTGTCAAATTTTTACTCAGAACGTTGCATGCAACAAACTTTTTCAGTCCAGGCAATGAAAATACACTTTTTATGCCTGTCATGTGATTAAAAAGACACTTTTAATGTGATGTGAAGACAAATATTATTTGTATATTCTTTTATTATTTTCCGTAAGTATCTTTTTTCGAAGATTCCATTGAATTTCCGTTGTTTTCAGTTGACCATGAGTATAGGTGCTATCGCCAATGGTCCTTCATTGGGACTATCTACTATGGGTATTCTTCTACCGTGGGTAAATGCAAAGGTAATCCGACATAGCTTGAAAGATTTACGAAATGTTGATCTGAAAATGAACGAAATATACCTTGCCAAATGTTCAATCTTCCAGTCAGAACAAGTTCTGGTATGAGGAAGAACATAATTATAAAATAATAAGTAATAAATATATTATATGAACTACTACACAAACATGAATAGAAGTGAACATGAATAATAAATCATAGTAATTCAGGATATCACAATAAATCACAATAAAACAAAACAATCAATGAACAAAGAAAAGCATTCTAGTCTAGTCTAGGAAATAACTTACTGATAAATTCCAAACATTTCTCTCAGAAATGATAATTCTTTTTCAAAAGTACCAATATTTCTGCAGTTTTAAATTACATCTGGTATTTTATTGAACTCGGATAAGGCTGCATGAAGTATACAACTAGCAGCATCAAGGCAGAAATTATAAGGTGATATTGACTAGTTTGATGACTATGAATTTAAAAATTTCCCGTCAAAATAATATTAGTTTCGAATTTTTTATTTATGATATTATATGAAATTTTCAGAGTCTCTAATCTGTACAGTTCTTCTAAAGAATATGTTTTTGTTACGGCATACAGTTAAGTTGTTCGTGTATCATATGGAAGACGATACAGTACCATTAATGATTTCCTTTATAATGATGATATATTTTATTAAAATAATCATTTTTTGAACAAGATCCCTGAACATTAATTAAATACTTGATTTAACTCAGTATATGTGAATAGAGTACTATATTTGCAATTTTCATATTGAGTTTGGCACATCTTCTCAATGCACCAACAATCGGAGATATTTTCTTTGCCAGAACCTCAATATGTTTGTCCCACTTAAATTTTTCATCAAACCAAATACCTAAATACTTTATCTGTTCAGTTCGATTCAAGAATTCCTTCTGTATTTGAAGTATTTATTGATGAAAGGTTTTTTTCAAATAATTTCAGATCGTTATTTATCATACTTTCTGAAATTAGATGATTTTTGTTTTCATATAAAAGCACTGTATCGTCTGCATATATGGTATAATTACTCGCTAAAACAGCTTTAGTGATATTTTGAATATAAAGCAGATACAGTATTGGTCCTAAAACAGATCCTTGTGGCACACTCTTATTCATCGACAGTTTATGAGACTCAGAATTAGCAGATTTGGTACTGATCGTCCTATTTTCAAGATACGAAGCTAACATATTTCCCACAATGCCTCTGAGTCCCATGGATTCCAAGTTTTCCACAAGTATTGTGTGGTCCACTGTATCAAAAGCCTTTTTCAGGTCAATGAGAACAGCTACTATGTAATTTCCTTTATAAGTCGAAGTTATTGCTCCTATTTTTTGAGAAATTTATCCTCATTTTCATACTACACAACCGTTTGTTTTCAGGGTGCTCTTGCAGGAGGAATCGCATCTCTGATATTCATGTCGTGGCTGTGTCTGAGCGCTCAGAGTCTGATATCCTCAGGCGATTTGACTTTTCCTGAGAAACCCGTTTCTACCGAAGGATGTCACTATCATTTCACACCAAAATCATCCATTAGCATGTCTTTCACACCTGCGTTGAATATGAGTGATGTCACGCATACAGAGTGAGCAGAAAAAACTGCGCGGATGTTTTCGCTCTTTAATATTATTCATTGGTTTTAGCGAGAAATACATGATATATAGGTTGTCCTACTTGTGGTATTGCTTGATTGGGACCTTGGTAGCAATGTTCGTGGCGTTGATAGTCAGTTATTTCACTGGACCGATGAAGCCTGAAGATGTCGATCCGAAACTTTTGGCGCCGTTCGTGAGGAAATTAATACAATCTAAGAAATTAGCTGCGAATGGTCATGATAATGTAATTGCATTCAAGAAGATACGTACGAAACAAAGTAATGTAGGTACCTATATATAGCTACTATTGTTCATGGATATTATAATGTGTCGTTTCTTGTGAATGAGACTAAAAAAACTTTGTTTCTTTGGCCAGAACTCACACTCTTAGTGAATTTCACCTCTATGTAATTGTTTTTATGAATCTACTCTCAAAATAATCATACCAAGGTATACTTACTGTTACTAAATAATAATTCACTGTTTTTCTAATCGACAAAAAATCTATCAATCTTATACATAATTAGTAATACATGTGGATGCACAAATTATCAATTCTACCAATATACAGTCAGTCTGAGGAAATATATTATATACAGTGTGTCCCACTTACCATGCTCACCATGGGTATCTTTTTAACGGTGAGAGATACGAGGTCGGTTAAATGATACCAAATGTGGAGTTTGTCAAGGCCAACTATAATGTGGAAAAATATTTTGATGAAATCTATTCGTTTTTGTTTTATACGCAAAAAACAGATTTTGATCATTTTCATGTCTCCCCCGTAACTTCTTTATTTATGAAAATATTCAAATACTAATTTCACATTCTCATGGCAGTTTTTTGAAACGATTTCGAAAAAAATATGAAATTTATACCAACTCTTCTAGACTATGACTTAGTTACAAATAACTTTTTTTTCTCTTACAGATGATATATCGCAGTAATAGTTTTGTGTTGATAACAACGGAGTTATCGTCATTTATACAAAAACAAAAAATTATTTGGACGCCGCCATCTTGTATTTATGAATTTTAACAAAAAAATCATGATCTTTGACCTCAAAAACCACCACTCACCACTTTTGAATGAAATCGGACCAAATCTTGTCCGCAATCTTGGAGCAGCCATTTTTTCAAATTTCAACAAAAATTCCATTGCTCCGATTACCTTGAAATTTGGCAGGTGTTCATAATTTCGGTGACAATACATTATGGAATTTATGTTGAAATTCAAAACAATGGCTGCTCCAAGATGGCGGACAAGATTTGGTCCGATTCCATTCAAAATTGCTGAGTGGGGGTTTTTGAGGTCGGAGATCATGATTTTTTTGTTGAAATTCATAAATTCAAGATGGCGACTTCCAAATAATTTTTTGTTTTTGTATAAATGACGATAACTCCGTTGTTATCAACACAAAACTATAACTGCGACGTATCATCTGTAAGAGAAAAAATAGTTATTTACACTACAAGGGAGGCAAGTGATACTTACCAGTCGAGGACATTGTTTGCGCCCGAGCGATAGCGAGGGCTTGCAAAATAGTCCGAGACTGGTCAAGAACACTGCCTCCCGAGTTTTGTATTATATTTTTTCTACTCCAGTTCCCTTAGATTAAAAAAAATGTTTTTCAATTACTTATATAATTTGACTAATCTAACTGAAAAACCCTGTATGTATGACAGGTTTCCTAGTGTTACACGTTGATCGCTATGGAATTCATATTGTTTATAATCAAACAAATGTTCTGTCAGTGTCATTTTATTAAAAAAATCGAAATAATGGATATCGATGCAGTTGCGAATGCAGCTTGTGCTGCTCTATTACCTCAGAAATCGAAGGAACGGTACAATCGGTGTTACAAGGACTTCAAATTTTAGGTTAAATTATGAAGTTTATTTAACTTGCTTCCCTAGGGAGGTAAATATTTACTTACCTCCCTAGGGAGGTAGAACGTGTTTTCCTCCCTCAAATCAGTATCAAAATGAAGTACTTACCGAGTAAGGAGTAGAAAAAAGTTATTTATAACTTGAGCTATGACCTACATTTGAAAAACTAAATTTAAAATTTCTTTCATATTATAGTTGTCCTTGACAAACTCCACATTTGGTGTCATTTAACCGACCTCGTATCTCTCACCGTTAAAAAGATACCCATGGTGAGCATGGTAAGTGGGACACACTGTATATATACAGGGTTACTGGTAATTCGATACATTCCTTTGGTGATGTGATAGGGGTGGTGGTATGGAGTGAATTTAACACAAATATGCATTATGCAAAAGTTAATAGTTTTTGAGATATTTAAATTTTTCTGTTTATCTCCGAAAGGAAGACTTCCAGGGTTTAGAAGTTAGTTTATATATAACTGCGTTATATGGATGTAATGAAGCATTTAAAATCATTCTGAAATATTATTTTTTTCATAACCGAGGTGTACGAAGTATTCCTGTTCCACTGAAATATCTCTCTTCAGAAATTGAAAATTCAAAATTTTTAGGAATCGATATACTTAGGCACTGAGACCTAATATTTGAGTAGTATAAAGAACGAAAATCACTGTCGATTTTCTGAGATGAATGGAGCAAGTATATTATATTCGGAGACCTGGTAGTTATTTCTTCACAGTACTATCTCCAGAATACACCAGGCTCTTCCAATGAAAATCAGAAATCCTAATTTCTTCTGGAATTTAGCCGGGACGGGGTTGTGAAGAACATAAAGGCGGGCAGTTTTTCTGAGACTAGGAACTATGAAGTAAACATTCCAATAGTCCCCAAACTTACAAGATAAGGCAAGTGCAGGAGGCTACGTAGAATGTCCCTTTTATCGTTATCGTTCATATCTATAAAACGGTACGTCCAAGCAAAAAAAAGCCAAATCATCCAAAATTATATCTTATAAAATTGACTACAAAATTGTATCAGTAGATTTTCGCCCTATCCTTGATTGTTTCCGAGATATTCCCTAGCGAACCATGTAAATTTTTCAAAATCGCTGTTTTTTAGCTAACGTATTTTGACGGCTCAACCTTCTGTCTTTCACCAAAGTCTTCGACGTAGTCAAATTCACTAACTTATCAAATTTTGTCTGAAAATTTTTCAGTTCTGAAAAATTCAATTTTCATTTTTTGCTAGGGAAATATTCCGATAACTATGAAAGATAGAGAAAAAACCTACTAATACACAATTTAATACAATATTATCAGCTGCAATTTGGAATGAATTGAATTTTTCGCTGAGACGTACCGTTCTTGAGATATGATCGATAAATCAACGCCATCTGCACTTGGTTTACCTTATAAGTTCGGGGACTTTTGGAATTTTTCAAGTCTTATCTACTCCGAACATATCCTTAGTCTCAAAAAACTATCCTCTTCTATGTCCTCTACATCGTCTTATTGGACGTTCATGGACTGAAGTATTAGGGAGGCTCAATTTTTCGTTGAAAGAACCTTGTATATCGAATGTTTCCAATATGCACAAACCTATTGCAACAGTAGAAATAATGCATCTATTTGAGATATGTATTTTCGCTTCTAATACCTGGTAATGTTTTCACAGGGTAAAGCAAAAAATCATGATAGAGAGAAAGCAGTTGCAGAGAACAAAGAACTGAAATGTATAGTATGAAAAAAAGTTTTTCAATAGATCGCGGAATCTTTGAATAAAATGTATGTTTTCTATTGTGGCGATTTTTTTATCATCATACCTGAGCTGATGAATATAATTTTCCATTCCAACATCCGAATTCCAGTTTCTTTCCAGTTCCTGAATGTTGCTTCGCGACGTTCGCGTCAAACGGCATTCGCGTGCATAAAAGTATCACTTTCCGCCGCACTTGTTTTTTTTTTTCAGAAGTCAATACATGATTTGTGGGTATTTTTTCTATTGAGTTGCTCATACATGTGGTCAATGAGCTTAGAATGAGGTATGAATAATCAATAATCATGCTCCATTTCCAACTTTTATTAACCACTGTAGGAACCATAAAGTTTGAAAATTTTGGTACTCTACGGAAACAACTGTCATAAAGTATACAACATATATATCTAGTGAGAACATTCATATTCCAGCAGGAGGTATGACAGTTCCTGAAATTTCGGAATCATTTCGAGAAAACACATTGGGTAAAAAGTTTTTGACCAAAAAAAGGAATGAAAAAATGTTTCTTTCAATAGCATACCTATTGATATTCACCCTTTGAAAGGAATTACTGAAAATTGAGGATCTAAAGATTAATTGCTCAACCAAGCCAATTTATGAAGTTCTACATACATATCTGGCTTAAGTGTTTCGAAAAAGTATGTACAACTATCATAATAAATCTTTCATAATGAACTCCTGAAATCAGTTGAAAATCAAAATCAAATCATCAATAATCAGTCAATAAATCTTCGATATACAGGGTGACATTTGAATAAAAATAAATATTTCAAACCCAAAGAAAACTCGATGTGTATCATAAACCAATAAAGAAATTCCTGGGTTCAAAATAAAATGTGGGGTGAGGCCCCTTTTTTCACAAAAATTTTGAATCATGCTATAAACCATGCTTTTGTTGGTAAAAGTAGGAGAGAGCAAGCTTCCTCTTCAATATCCTACCATTTCAAAAAATTAATTGAACAGCTTTAATGATTCTATTTATAAACACTGAAACCTGGTATAGAAGTTGATTTCTTTCAACAACAACCATAGCGTACAAATTGTTTTCACAATTCATCAAAAAAAGTAAACTGACTAAACTGGCTTTGACTGACGATCTACCAGCACAGTTATGGTGTCTTAATTTTTATTTTATTGAGATACAGCTTTGGGGGTTTTATATAAGACAACTTTTGTACACCCATAGGAGGATTTTCCTGAATTGACCGCCTAAATGGTGAACTAAAATTTACTCCACTGAAATGATCCAATTTTTGCTGCAGTAATCTCCCAGTCATTAACATTTTTACTACAATCCATTGATCTCTATCACAGTAATGAATTCCTATTCTGATATACCTGTTCTGATTTGATTGATTCGGAGATAACCTGTTCCAAGAACAAGACAAAAACCACGCTAATGGCCTTTCATTGGCTCTCATTGATAGGCAACTCTGTGGAATCCCCTTTACCAGTATTCAATTTCACTCTCGATTGTTTGAACTGCTATGACCTGTTAAGATAATATTATGCGAAATAAAAACAAAGATTAAGCTCGTAGTAAAGTGGGAATCACATCAGAATGGGACAGAAAATTATTTCGAGACTATCTGGATGAATTGGTATAAAATAGGTGGTAGTGCTTGAAATAGTCAGTTCGAGTTTGATTTTGATAAAAAACAGTGTAGTGGCACAGAGAACTAATAACATAAGGTAAATCATTCTATCAATCAATTTAATGAAATCAAATACTCATTTATATATGTTCTTTATTAGTGTACCTTTCTATTTCTCATAATTGATATTTGAGGATTACCTGAATCATTGGTAAAATCTTGAATTTTTTTTCAGATGATACTGAAGCTGTCATTGATCCTATGTGTAACATACGTGTGCTATGCCGAAGACTCGGGTGATTTCAGGCTGAAAAGGTCTCTTCAACCAGGTGCACCCAACATCAACAATGGTAACAAACAGCAGCCCTGGGAAGTCAGTCCTAACATCAACCGAGATGGAGCAGGAAATGTGAGAACAGACATCGAAGTACAAAATCATGGAAAGGATCATGATTTCAATGCTGGATGGGGAAAGGTAGTTAGGGGCCCTGGAAAAGCTAAGCCCACTTGGCATGCTGGTGGCACCATTAGATGGAGAAGGTCTCTGCAACCAGGTGCACCCGATATAAACAATGGTAAAAAACAACAGCCCTGGGAAGTCAGTCCTAACATCAATCGAGATGGAGCAGGAAATGTACGAACAGACATCGAAGTACAAAACCATGGAAAGGACCATGATTTCAATGCTGGATGGGGAAAGGTAGTTAGAGGCCCTGGAAAAGCTAAGCCCACTTGGCATGCTGGTGGTACTATTCGATGGAGGAGGTCTCTTCAACCAGGTGCACCCAACATCAACAATGGTAATAAACAGCAGCCCTGGGAAGTCAGTCCTAACATCAATCGAGATGAAGCAGGCAATGTGAGAACAGACATCCAGGTACAAAATCATGGAAAGGACCACGATTTCAATGCTGGATGGGGAAAGGTAGTTAGGGGCCCTGGAAAAGCCAAACCCACTTGGCATGCTGGTGGTACCATTAGATGGAGGAGGTCTCTGCAACCAGGTGCACCCGATATAAACAATGGCAAAAAACAACAGCCCTGGGAAGTCAGTCCTAACATCAATCGAGATGGAGCAGGAAATGTAAGAACAGACATCGAAGTACAAAACCATGGAAAGGACCATGATTTCAATGCTGGATGGGGAAAGGTAGTTAGAGGCCCTGGAAAAGCTAAGCCCACTTGGCATGCTGGTGGTACCATTAGATGGAGGAGATCTCTGCAACCAGGTGCACCCGATATAAACAATGGCAAAAAACAACAGCCCTGGGAAGTCAGTCCTAACATCAATCGAGATGGAGCAGGAAATGTAAGAACAGGCATCGAAGTACAAAACCATGGAAAGGACCATGATTTCAATGCTGGATGGGGCAAGGTAGTTAGAGGCCCTGGAAAAGCTAAGCCCACTTGGCATGCTGGTGGTACCATTAGATGGAGGAGATCTCTGCAACCAGGTGCACCCGATATAAACAATGGCAATAAACAGCAGCCCTGGGAAGTCAGTCCAAACATCAATCGAGATGAAGCAGGCAATGTGAGAACAGACATCCAGGTACAAAATCATGGAAAGGACCACGATTTCAATGCTGGATGGGGCAAGGTAGTTAGAGGCCCTGGAAGAGCAAAGCCCACTTGGCATGCTGGTGGTACCATTAGATGGAGAAGATCTACGGACCAAGAAGACGATCAACAAGAAATTCCAGAATCTCCACTGAGCTAATAGATGCGTCGAGAATGAAGGGGCGATTCATTTTTGTTCAATGTGTCAAAGCAATTTTGTGTTCATGTTCATCATTATTTATTCGCGTTCAATATTTTTTGTGATATATGTTAATATTAGTTTCATTTCAATAAATCTTGCCATAATAGTACTCACTTTCTTTTATTGATTATTATAATCGAACATGTATCTTGAAGTATTCATTGGTGCCTCAGAAAAATTCAATTATACCAAGTAACGATGCAATCGAAGCGGTAATATGGATGGGTGAACATTATAATTATGTAATTCTAAACAATGAATGAAATTTGAAAAATTTAAAATATGTCGAATCACAAAATGTTTTTGCTAGCAAGTCTTCATCATAGGTATAACCTCCTTGTTTCTCATATTGCTACTTGATTCAACCTGTGGAGCAAAACATATTCACAATTAGTTGATTAGCAGTATATTCTTCAACTGATCATTCCATATCAAAATAAATAATGGTCTGAGTACTGAACATTGAGATCCCCTTACGTTTTCATCATTTGGTGCTCCGAAAGCGTAAATTATTCCATCATCTGGTTGATTGGGATATTGTCTGGGTTTGATGAGCTTCCTCACAAAAGGTGCTAATAGCTTTGGGTCCACATCTCTTGGGTCTGTAGGTTTCGTCAGGAAACTCACCGATAAACCCACCACCATCGACACCAGCACACCAATAAGACAATACCAAAGATATGATAGTCTATATATCATGAACTGCTCACTGAAATGAAAGCAATTAGAAAGGTATTTTCATACATACAGTGTGGCAGGATACACCAGGAATGAGACAATCGAAGCTCCACATAAAGGAACCTTCGAAGAGACTCACAAAAGAGGTCTTATCTCTCAACAGGCGAGACCTTAAAATGGTAGTAGGGCTCCTAACGGAGCAATAGGCACCTAGAGCTTATTGGGATCAAATATCGAAGATTCCCTTTGCAGATGGTGCCTGGAAGATGACGAAACGTCATCGTATTTTTCACTGAGTGCCCAGCACTGACATATTCGAGGAGGGCTGTCCGTGATACATAATTTTGAGGCCAGAGGACGTAAAAGAAATTCAGCTGTGGAAGCTGCTGAACTTCTCCAAGGAATGTCGGAACATGTGGGTGCACAATGCCCACCAGTGCTTCCAAGAAAAAGAATAAAAAGTGTGAGTCACACTACATGTATACTTGATTTAAAACAAGCAATTGTTTCAATAGAAAGGGTGATCCGTATTCAATTGCCAAAATTAACCAATTTGAAAAAGTAGGGGGTGACACACAAAGGGATTTCAAAGATTTTTATATAAACTGTTTTCAAAGTTTTTGAAGGGTGCGTCTTTCTAATACATAGAATAGAACCTACTACAAAAAACATTGAGGTGGGAACTATACATATACAGTGAGCACGTGAAAGTTGGAACAAATTTGTTGAAAGATTCATATGGCCATGAGGAAAAAAAACTGAGACACCTCGATTTTCCTTTTCAGTTGCGCATATATCTCGACTCATATTTTTTATGTTACCGTCACTGTTTGATTTTTTAATTACTCAGTTACCTTCAAAATGTACTTTTTTTTCTGTGTCTGGACGTCATATTTTTCCTTTATTTTTTCTCATGTTACATAACCCTATTTCCGAGAAATGAAAGAGATTCCATCCATAACAATGTAATTTATAATGATATTGTCGTCAAATATAGGAGTAGACCAATAGAGTTTTCTCCCCAATGGCCATATCAAGATTTCAATGAATTAGTTTCAAACTTCACTTGCTCAGTTTCTATAGATCAAAAAGTTCGTTTAATAAAAGGTTTGTTAAATTTTGACAAACTACGATAGATATAGAAACAAAAATTTGGTTTTGTTATGCGATTTCTTATACTTACTCGGCATGAGTGATGTTATTGAGATTTCTTGGTGTGAAATGGTAGTGACAGCCATATGTAGATACTGATTTTTCTGCAAAAGTCAAGTCACCAGATGTTATTAGGCTCTGGGTCTTCAAACATAGCCAACACATGAAAATTAGAGATGTTATGCCGCCAACCAGAGCACCCTAAAAAATTTCAAGATTATTTTACTAAATACCATGTGGGGAGTAATATATTTCTTGTTTATATATATATCCCGTACTGCACCTACTTCTGAATTAACCCATGGTAGAAGAATTCCCATTGTCGATACCCCTAGAGAAGGACCATTGGCGATTGAACCAATGCTCATACTCAGCTAAAAACAAGAATAAGTTAATCCATGATGCGCCACTTCCATTTTGACGAGTTCGCAGTTAGTATATAAAAATAGAAAGTTTTCAAACAATGAGATAATTAAGTGAGGAAATATATCAAAATAAAAGCACCCCACTCCCATTCACCTATGCTTGGTCAATTTTGGTAGTTAGATCCTGCTATTTAATTATATTACAACTTCGAATCCTCAGTGTGAAAATATGTTTCATTCATGTATTTCTTTCTTTTCCTCAATATAGTCTAAGCTCGTGAATCTTTTATATAACGGTTTGTCTGTAAGGCTCAAAATTTGTATTGTGATGGATCAAAAGGTGTTAAGTAAGAAAACCATGACCTGGCAGGCCTCTCCCTTGCACGTCATCATCTCCTTTTTTTAAATGTAAAAATTATTTAAAAAATAAAATTGGCGCTGTAAACTTATAATTTTAACATGATGTTATTTCGATATTGTAGAATGGAGAAAAAAATTGACAGGTGATTTTGATGAGCAGAAGAGGGTGCCAGGCGAGTCCAAAAGTGGAGAAAATATAATTTTCTGACCAAAATGAGAGCTTGCTGACCAAACATTTCGATTGATTTTTGATAATAAAGTTATATGAATGGATACATTGTTGTTACTGGTAAAATGATTGCAATTCACCCCCTCAGAAGGGTAGTTTATTCTGGCGGTTTTTCAAAAATCCCTACTGAGCAAACCATTTCTGGTTAGAAGTTCTGTTTCAAATCACATATTTGACAATCTCATTTGATTAACTAGTTGCCATTCGATTAACAATCTTGATCTAGTCCTTAAGAGGGTAGTTTATCCTTGATGTTTTCAAAAAATCTTTGCTGACCGAGCATTTCTGGTTCGAATTTTTGCTTCAAATTACATATTTGAAGATCTCATATGGATATCCAGTTGCCACCAAGGCAATAATTTCAATCCACCCCTTAAGAGGAGTCGTTTATTCTTGATGTTTTTCAAAAGTCCTTGCTGATCGAGCATTTCTGGTTCGAGTTTTTGCCTCAAATTACATATTTGGAGATCTTATATAGATATCCAGTTGCCACCAAGGCAATAATTTCTATCCACCCATGGAGAGGGTTAGTTTATTCTTGATGTTTTTCAAAAATCCTAGCTGATCGAGCCTTTCTGGTTCAATTTTTTCCTTCAAATTGCACTAACTAGGTCGCCTACTAGGTTTCAATTTAAATCGACAATGGTCTTGGTCTTGATTTCGCGAAGCCTTTGTTATAAAGTATATGAGGTACCTACTTGAAGGACTGCTCCTAGTTTTTCCACAACAAATACTAGACCAATACATACAGCACCAGTGAGGACTACAGTAGATTTCATCAGATAGGACTCCTCTTTATCGCTAAGTTGCTTTTTGAAGAATGGTTTATAGAAGTCTTCGAGCACTATTGCTGCCATCGCATTAAGGGCTGTTGATAACGAACTGAGATATTTGGTATCAACATATCAGCAAAATCATGAAGCTGTACTGTACGGTATAGTTACCTGAGAGCTGCACTGAATATTCCTGCTAAAAATATTCCCGCTAGACCAGGAATGTCCCCCAAAATTTCCATCACCAAGAGAGGTAGGAGTTGATCCTTTTCCCGAGCTAACTGAAAAATGGCCAACAAGTATTTCTGGATAATTGCAGCAGGGTGATTCACTATACATAATTATTTCATCCCCCAGTTTCTTTTGTAGAAAGATATGATGATTCGTCACAAATCACCTAGATGAAATCTGTCTCTTGTATGAGTGACAGGGTGTTTTATTTGAAAATGCAATCCTACATTATGCACCAAGCGACTAAAGTGGTATTTTGAATCCCGAGACGAAAAATTTATAGCACGACCAACGGGAGGTTTGAAGTACCGAGCACAAATAATTTTAATATTTTCAAATGAAACACCCTGTAACTCAGACAGGAGACACATTTCGTCTAGGAGATTTGGGTTGAATCATAATATTTTGAGTTCAGGATTCTATAGTTGGAATTTTTCTAATTGGTAATGAGTCACCCTGTATAGAGAATGATATACAGGGTGTTATTTAAGTACGTGGCCAAACTTGAAGGGGTGATTCTTTGAGTGATTCTAAGACGAAAAGTTCATATAAACATAGGTCCGGTAATGCTTCGTTTTCAAGATACAGGGTGTCAAAATTTTTAAAAGAAATCGTTTTTTACGTAAATATCTCAATAACCCTTCAACCGATTTAATTGAAATTTGGCAGTGTTATTCAAGGTCGTGAAGGGCTAATTCAAACCTAACTATATCGAAATTATCATGTCCAGTGGCGTCCCGGAGGGCACTGTAACCAATATTTTTGACAGAAAAAATGTGCGCCACTGATTTTTTTGCAATTTTTGTATTTGTTTCACATTGAGCAACTGAAATCACAACTTTTTTATATTTAGAATTCTTTTCGTATCTTGCTTTGTTTTTGAGAAAAAACATAAAAATCACTTCATTGCACATCCCTGTGACGAGCCGAAGCCAAGAGCCGAAGGCAAGTGCTGCAATTCATACATACATATTTTTTGTTTTTTCATCGCATTAATTTTGATAGAAAATTCCAAGAAGTAAGACCCCAGTTTTTGATGGTTTAGTAGTTGGAATGTTTTATTGTGTTGTCACAGGGATGTGCAATGAAGTGATTTTCATGTTTTTTCTCAAAAACAGAGCAAGATACGAAAAAAATTCTGGAGATAAAAAAGTTGTAATTTTAGTTGCTCAATGTGAAACAAATACAAAAATTGCAAAAAAATCAGTGGCGCACATTTTTTCTGTCAAAAATATTGGTTACAGTGCCTTCCGGGACGCCACTGGACATGATGATTTCGATACAGTTAGGGTTAAATTAGCCCTTTACGACCTTGAATAACACTGCCAAATTTCAATAAAATCGGTTGAAGGGTTATTAAGATATTTACGAAAAAAACGATTTCTTTTAAAAATTTTGACACCCTGTATCTTGAAAACGAAGCATTACCGGACCTATGTTTATATGAACTTTTCATCTTAGAATCACTCAAAGAATCACCCCTTCAAGTTTGGCCACGTACTTAAATAACACCCTGTATAGGTCTCTGTTGCACTCTCCAGCCAAAGAGACTATAAAATTTTTGAATGTGTCTTATCTTGGAGCCAATTGTAATAAGTTTTCGTTCAGAAAATATACAGGGCGATTTAGAATTATTGAGGCATTTTAAACAATGGAGGAGGGTCAAAAAGACCTTGAAATTCAAGAATATTGGTAGATATACTTATATTTACCGTTGTTGTCAGAGGATCACAGTTATAGAATGTCGCGTATATGAGAAGTCCACAATATGTACAGAGTGCTATCAATATTATGATACCAAAAAAGAATGTCCATAAAGCCCTACAGAGAAAATCGATTAATTTTCACCCAATTTTATACATTTTATACATATACCTCTTTCCTGCTTCTAGAGAAGGTAGCGACAGATATCTTTGTATCATGTTCTGATTCACACCAGCGGTTTGGACGGTGTAAAAAGTCCCTCCAATCACCAAAGCCCAAATGGTATGCCTTGCCATAGGATCTAAATCAAAACTTAATTTTTTTTATTCCAAAGACCACAACAAATTGTTTGTATAGCTAATAGGAGAAACAACAGGCATCGAATCAACAGCATACAGAATTGAATTCATGAATTGGTATACAGGGTGCTGTTATATAAGTATGTGACCAGACTACAAGGATGCTATTTTGAGTGATTCTAAGAAGAATAAATCATATCAACTTACCTACGGAAATGGATAGTTCCCAAGACAGTGTCAAGTTTTTTCAAAATCTCTTAGATGTACGAAAAAAGCAAAATTTTCAAAAAAAGTTTGAACAGTATCTTGAAAACTATTCATTTCCGGTGGAAAATCTCTACTCACTTTGGCGGTTCAATTCTATCACTATCCCAGTTCCTTTGGAAGACTTTTTTGATTCCACCAACATCAATAGTTCCTTTTATCACTACTAATATCAATGCCCCAAACATAACTATTAATTGGATAACGTCTGTCCATACTACCCCTTTCATCCCACCCTATAGGAATACAGTAACTAGAGTATTATATTGTCAATTCCTGAATTTCAATGTGAAAAAACATTGTCTTACCATCGAAGTGTACAAGATGCAAAATACACAAACAATTGGTGTAATAAGGTGAACATTGATACCAGTAACTGTAAAAAAATCAACGATATTGATTATAGCAGCTAACATAATTATCAAATATATCAATATCTCATATACTTTCAATTTATTTTTTCATTCTATGACATCAACTTGTCATCCCAAATTCAATCTTTTACATTTAAGAGTACCTATGTATGTTGGCGATATTCTGCAATTTTTGATAAATAAGCAAAATAACTGTAGTCTAGAAAAGTCAACAATATTCTCTTCAGTATAGCTTTTTTCATTGAAAAAGGATAGCTTCGATTAAGGTATCAGAAGTATTAAATATGACAGGAGATTGAAAATTCGAGATCACATTGATTTTTCAGTGAAATTTCAATAATTTTGATTGCATTCAGCTCGAAATTCTGAAGAGATTTATGCTTTGAAAGTTCATTCAAGACTCATCAACTAGATTGAAGGAACATCTTGAGATATTTAAGAAAATTAAATCAAAAATGGTTTGGTCCGAGATGGTCCGAGTGAGTAATGAATAGATCTAGGTATACCTTGGTTGAAAGCAAGAGCTGGAACGTAGATAACCAAAGGTAACCATGATATCATTTTGATTGTGAACAAGACTGATCCAAATAGTCTCACTTTCTTATTGAATCTCCTCTCGTGGTACTAAAAAAAAAATCATAATATGACTATTGCTCTGTCAGATTCATATCAATTGATTTTTGAATGTGAATGTGTGAATCTCAATTTTCATAACCAATGTATTATTGCAGTGATGTTGCACAATGATTCTTCGGATATCTATAGTAACACTATTTTTCGACAAACCTCGTAAGTTGAAGTCAGTTGTAGGCCTTGAAACACTGGAAGATATATGTAAGCCATCAATAAAGTTGAGATGAGAAATCCTCCGATAATATTGCTGTATTGGATTCCATAAACGTAGATCTCTGTGGGGATCCCTAACAGAGATATTCCACTAACCCAGCTTAAAAAGAAACAAATAGTGATCCAGAACCAATCCGTAATAACGATAAGTTCTCGGAGATTTTATTAAGAAAATCATCTCCGAATTTCTCATAACTAATCGCTATTCATACGAGGTAACTCAATTTTCAGGATCATCTCAAGGATACAGATTCTCATAAACATGATAACAAGTGAATTATACTCTTGTATCCACTGGGAAGAAACACCATTACATGGTATACGGACGGGTCTAAAACACGCGAGGGAACTGGAGCAGGAGTCTTTGGGCCTCGCACCAAATACTTCGAATCCATGGGACAATTTCCCAGTATTTTTCAAGCGAAAATACACGCCATAGGAAGATGCATCCAGTTCAACCTAGACAGGAAATACCGAAAGAAGGACATCACGATTTTATCCGATAGCTAAGCAGTCATCAAACCGTAGAGCTCTCCTTACATCAACTCGAAGATGGTATAGGAATGCCTAAGCAAATTGAATGAGCTAGGCAGCAACAATAAAGTAATCCTCCTCTGGGTGCCAGGGCATATTGTAGTGGAGGGGAATGAACAAGCAGACACTCTGGCACGACAAGGGCTTCAACGCCACTGATCGGACCAGAGCCATTCTGCGGCCTTGGAAATTCCTATTTCCAAGGAGAACTTGAGAAGGCGGAAGGAGCCTGGAGAGCCAGACAATGGAGAAGACTTCCAGGACTACGGCAGACTAGAGATCTCCTTGGAAATTTCAACCGAGAAAGATCTAGGACACTGACAAACCGCAGCAAAGGGAGCCTCAAAGCAATAATTTCTAACGGGGCATTGCAGACTCAAAGAACACCTATGGAAGCTAGGCTTACAGGAGGACAGCACCTGCAGATTCTGTGAGGAAGAACCAGAAACATCTCATCACATACTGATGGAGTGTGACGCTGTACATCACAAAAGATTGAACATACTGGGAACAAACTAGCTGACTGTGGAAGAAATACCACAGCTAGACCCCCTCAAAATCCTCAAATTCCTGAAGGAATTGAATCTCGAGGGGCTGCTATGAACAAGAAATCCTTGATATAGCAGAAGCAGATGGATCACAATAGATCTAATTAGGTCGCAGCGCATCTGTCATCATCCAATCTACCAATACCAAATACCAATCCTCAATACTTGATAATACTTGATAGGTCAATCATCTATTACTCAATAAATTTTGCAATCTTAAGAACTAATACAGAAAGATAATAGGAGAGCCTATGATAAATATGTTGTTGAAATGTTGTTAGTCACTTATTTGTCCTTGAAACTATATCACATGAAAAAAGAAATAATTGTATCAACAAGAAATAGAATATTCCTCAGGGGGCATTAACCCCCACTTAAAAATATCAGGTGAGGCAATATCATCAGCGGCTCCTCATACAAATTATTTTCGCCCATAAGAAATGAAAACTATCACTCACCTTGCTAGTAGTGACATTGCTATGGGTATCACACCCATGGATCTGCTAGCTACCAAGTAATCTTGGGCTGTTTGTGATTTTTTGCAAATTCCAAAATACAGTCCCACCAATAAACATATCGCCAGCATTGATATGAAAGTGATGTACTCGAACTTTCCGAAACGTTGCATGGATATGCCTACTTCAGAAACGTCCAAAATCGAGTTTTCACCAAGAGAAGACATTATCTAAAATGTGATTAATCTTTGTTTTTGTCAGAACTGTCCAACAGCGAACGAACAACAACAAAAAATGTGGCTTAATCAAAATAGTTATTTGTTTCACTAGGCAGAAAAGCACAAGATTTAATGCCGCGGCTGACGTTTCATAGCCAAGGGGTAGCCGAGGCTAGGAAGCCAGCCAAGGCATTAAATCTGCTTTTCTGTCGTGTAAAACATATAATTTGTTCTCCAAATTCGTCCAATTCCACGCAAACTCCAAATAATCCATCATTTTGTGTTCACCCAACGTCAGTGTCAATTTTGATTACCAATTTGATTCGAATTATTTCTTGGAACGTTGCATAACAACAAACTTTTTCTGCCTAGGCAGTAAAAGTACCGTTTTTCTGCCTGTTAAGTGTCATTAAAAAGCCACTCTCAGTGTCATTTGGACAAAATAGTTATTTGTTTTACTAGGCAGAAAAACAGTAGATTGTAAACTTTGTTTTAATATTGCATTCCATATAGGCTGTCCACCTTGAAACCTGATTTATTTCTACAACCCACAGAATATCATCCTATCTATATATTGTACCTATCATTTCAATCGCATTTTATACTGACGAGAAAACACATTTTATAATTCACTTCCTTCATGATAAAATGAAAGTATTAGGTACTAAGTAAAAATATATGTGTGTTTCCTACGTACGAAAAGTAATTGAAATGAGACTTTTATTGTGTTCGAAATATGGGTTGGAGATTTTGACTTAACAAACTAGGAGGCTGATATTTCGAGGATTGTGGAAAAGAACAAGATTCCAAATTCGAATTAGATTTTGGTTCATCTTTTCATTTTTGCAATAATCGAGGTTGTATTGAAACAAATCTGATATTTTCAAGGAACAAAATCTACAGAGAGGCTTCGTCGCCTTCCAATGCAATATATCTTGTGAAATAAAAACATGTATAGTCACTTACCAGTTTTTGTAAATTGGTTATGTCTATCCAAGATATACTTCAAGAAGTCATCAGCTACTACCACTACTACTACTACTACTACTACTACTACTTGCTAGAAAATAGTGTAGGACTTTTTCGGTCAATTTTTCTAGAAAAACCTTTCCAGAGTATCACTAATACTATCATATAACACATATACAAACTGAAATTGTTGAGAGCCGTTCTATATTGTGTCTTGGTTGCAAGCGGATATGACCGATTAATTCTAAATATTACTGCATATTATTCAATTGTCAAAGTTGTATTTTGGTAGATAGGTACCGATTGAATAATACACTGTATTCAAAAGTATATGACACATTGCAGTTCATTCGTAGAAGTACAAGGAAAAGTGATTTAGGAATCCAGTTATTCCAATATTTTTAAAAATTATACAGGGTGATTCAGGTTTCAAGAAACAAACTGAAATGGGTGATAGATCTCATTATTCTGGTCAAAAAAATCTGAATAAATATGTGTCCGATCTCGATCAGTAGCGGAGATACAGGGGGTCGAAGTTTAATATATTTCTTTCATAAATTGAAATATCTCGCACACTTCTGAAGATTCCAATTTGAAATTTGGTGTGGTCAATACTTTCTAGAATATCATCATATGAAGCATTTCGAAAAATTTTAAAATCCACAGTGTGATACGTTTTTGAGGTTAGAGGTTTCTTTATTCCCCCCAAATTTTTTCATAGTATGCCTTTGACATTTCACGATTAGGGTGGATCGTTCAATTTTTTTTGCTTCTCATTTTTTTTCAAGGATCGAACCTTTTTTGATATAAATAAGCATATTCGTTCTGAAACATGTTGATTTCATCTATATTTTTCTCTTAAATTTTATTCTTGGACAAAATTAGTTAACAATAGTGGAATTAGGAAGGATGGGAAGCTCGAAATCGTCTCCACTCAATTTAGTTAAGATGTTAAACAATCAGGGACATGTTCAGTCTTATACTAAGTTCTACAATATACAAATAGGATTGGTGTGACGAAAGCTAAAGTCACACCAATCCTGTTTGTATTGTAGAACTTCTAATAAGGCTGAAGATGGTCTTTAATAAGACTGAAACATGTCCCTGATCGTTAAACATCTTAATTGAATTGTGTGGAGACGATATCTACACGAAAAAAGGAATTGTTGAATCATGCAAAATTTAATTGAATGGAGCAAATAAAAGTGTCATATATGCACGACAAAATATAATCTTGAAATGAGTGAATCGATATTTTGTTTCAGAGCGAATTCGAAGTTTGAATCAAGTAAATATGTCTTGCATGAACTCTGGATCTTCTTCAATCAAGCACATCCATGAATTGTTTATGAAGAGATATTGAAATGGCTCAAACAATCATTTTATTTGGTTCAAAATAACAAGATATTGATTCAATCGAATATTTAGTTGATTCAACGAAATATTTGGTTGATTCAAAAAAATATTTGGTTGATTCAATAAAATATTTGGTTGATTCAATGGAATATTTGGTTAATTCGATTAAATATTTTGTTGATTCAAGAGGAACTATATATCCATTCGACAAATCGTTTTGTTGAACCAAACTCAACATTCGGGATTTTTTTAAAACTTCACATCAATTGAATAAACAATACTAGGAAACTAGTCGACGCCCAGCATAGATCTTCAGTATTTACTTCTCTTTAACTGATGCAAAACTATTTCGGATTGCTAATCATTCGAAGGTCGATTTTTCCAGCTGATATTTCAACCACGAAGAATCAGGCTTCACGTATATAATGAATTCGAGGCAGTCACAGACGAGGCGAAATGATCACCATCTAGAGGTGAAAATTTGAGTTGATGTAGAATGAACAAAATATTACATTGATATTACATATTTCTTTGCTTTACTCAAGCAAATGATCCGTTCGAAACGAGTTCATTGCTACATCGGAATTAGAAAACTTGATCCCATCCTTTGACTACTTTTAACAGAAATTGAATATTTCTATTCGTTTTCGAGATATTGGCGTGCGGAGTTTCAAGTGAAAACCCCTGTTTGTGGTAGGTTTTCGTGAAGACATTTTAGAGACACCCTGTTCATAATATATCCCGCCTGGATTTTTCCCCTGGACACAAATAATGATTCCTGGAGGTGTGAGCGTAGATTGAAGAATTCGATTCCAAAGCGGTGTTGAAGAAATCGATTTCGGTTATTGATATATCAACTACACAATAAACGGCAACCCCCTACTTTTATTGAGACTTCTAGAAATGAGGCTACGGAATTGTGAATAATGAACGAGCTCACCCAGTTCTTTGCCGGGCATAATTACAGCCCTTCGAAATTGATATACCTTACTTCGTATGTTTTAACAGTTATCTTGAAAAATGAAAATTCTGTAGTGAATAATTGATCGTTTAATAATCATGGAAGCCAGCCGACTATCGACGTGAAACATTTGAATGTGATCCAATCTTTAATAATTCACGTCCAATTTCGGACACTCGGTAGACGCACCTGTGTTTTCAGATTTTTTTCGATCATGAGATTGCGTGGAGATATAACAATCCGTGAAACCAAATATTGGAAGTTCATAACCTAGGTATTTATTTCATAGGTACTAGAATATTAAAATAACGAATAAGAAGGCAGCATAATAAATATAACAGGTGGTATATGTACTTAAGTTTTATAACATAAGGGATATCCAGTTATCTATCAATCTAGGTACATGAAATAAAATCCTAATTTCGATTATGTACACGAATACTTACAGGGTATTTCTTCATGAGTTAACCCAATCTACATACAGGGTATGTCATGACGAGCTTACACTATCCCTATACCGAGAATCATTTCTCTCGACTGATACTCGATATAAGCAAGTGTATATAAGCTCGTTGTGACATACCCTGTATATTATGGTGAAATGAAAATTGCATAATTCTAATAATTCGAAAAGTTCATTCTTGTGAGGCTTCTGGATCTTTGCCTGGCAAGTCCAGAAGTTCTGAAACTTTACAAATTTCAAGGTTTGGATGTCCAGAACTGAAATTCACAAAATGCACATTTGAATGCAAACTTAAATGAGTATAGTTTGATCAAAATGTATATTGAGGGAGATTGAAATTCCCTGCATAAATGTATGTTGATAAAATTCATTTTCCTGATACACTTTTACATTTCTTATTTTTTTATAAAAGAGGTCTTCAGTGGATGGGTCATGATTTTTACTTCTATTCTTTTTGATAAAAAGAACAGAAGCATTTGATAAAGCGAAAAAAAATGGTACTTTTATCAAGATACAAAAGATTTAACCGTTTTCGAGATATTTTTGTAGTGACATGATATCTGATAAATTCTTCAGTAACAATATTTAAGGAGGCCTCGAACTACTTGGCCGGCCACTATCTATATTTTTCGTTTTGAAACATTATTTTTCACGCAACTTCGCAAAATCCTCAAAATAGTTCTAGAATTTGGAATATGTCGAGAGGAGAACGTCTCTGCATAATAACCTGCCATTTTTCAAAATCCCATGTTGAAAATCGCAGGAATAATATAACTTTCCACAAGAAAAAAACATACAAGAAGATCAACATTAACAATGTTGATGTTGAACGTCAAAATTAGGAAGAAAATGGGTCATGGCCGCTTAAAATATTGTTGGCGATGAGTTGATCTGCTGGTATCATGTGACTCCAAAAACTCAAATATCTCGAAAACGGTTAGATTTTTCGTATTTTTATAGGAATACCTTGTTTATGAAATTTTCTGCGCTTTATCAAATGCTCTTATTTTTTCACCAAAACGAATACAACAAAAAATAATTACCCACCCTCTGAAAACACCCTTTTCAATATCTGTCACTGAGATGTGTCAATACTATAATGAGAAGACAATTCTAAAAGAATGATATTTTCTATTTTCCATTTTCATATTTCTGTAATGTGAAGGCGGCGGAAAAATATATTGGGTCATGAGCACCAAGTGGTCTTAATCCGGCCCTGTAAGCATCATGTTACTTTTAGTTCTCCATATATGAATCACATTATCTCATACCCTGTGGATGAATAACAGGTGGTATAAATATACTCAAATATATCAAAACATAAAATCAAGAATTTTATCTAACAAGGTGGAATCAACTTTGGTTAAGTAAACAAATAACTTCATCTCTCTATAATCCGCGATAGTCATATAACTAATTTCTCAATGTTGATATTTTTTCTTGTGTTTTTCCAGCTGCTCTTTGGTGAGGAAAGCTTTGTTGCACTCTTGGCACATATTCGGGCTGTAGCTCATGTGGGAGACTATATGAACTGACAAGTCGCATTTTCTCGCGAAAGCTGCTTTGCACCCTACTTCTCCGCACTTGAAAGGTAGAGGTTTACCTGTCCAACATAGTTATTCATAAGCCAAGGACAAAAAACTGTATTTTATAGTCAAGCCTGCAAATTGATAACCGAGGCCCGGCCGAGGCTAGCAATCAGGCGAGACAATAGACAGTTTTTCGCCGAGGTGCAAAAGTATTGAATATTTTCGTCGAACACTTTTATTCTTTCACCACGGTCTTATTCAATGTGGAATACAGAAACCTATTGTAATTCGTGAATAATCAATTTGACAACAGCACATGATAGATAAGAAATACGGGAATATAGGTAAACAAGAATAATAATCAACAACTATATTGCCTAGATCGCCCACTTTTCTACGGTGTTCCAGAGAAGTGAGTGAGTTTGTGAGCGAGGCATCACCCACGAGACGAATTGCCCCTTTATGGACAGAATCCAACAGTTTCATTCAGAGTATGTTTGGGTGCTGCACTCCAAATATGGATACAGTATTCCAGGACAGGTCGGATCTATGCCTTATAGATCATAAGCAGATGACTGGAAGTGAAATAGCTCCTGGCCCGAAACAGCAAACCAAGTTTCTGGCATGCACTTTTAGCAATTGATCTCACGTGATTTTCCCAAGAAAGGTAATTGCTGATAGTAATACCAAGCATCGAAATGGATGTCTTCAAAGGTATGGTTACTCCTGACAAGGTGACAAGCTTATGTTGGGCACAGTGTGATCGGCTTTTCTAGAGAAAAGGCATGCTTGTGTTTTGTTTGCATTGAAATCTACCAAGTTATTGAATCCACATTCAAGAATTGTTGCCAAGTCCATATTTATGTTGTCAACATTTCTCCCTCGTTCGTTTCTGATTTGCCTGGCTGGTATTGGAGCCCTGGAAGAAAAGGCGGTATGGAGGGTACTATCATCCGCGAAGCTGTGTACTGGACATCAAGTTGCTTCCAACAAATCGTTGATATGGAGTAGAAATAGTGTTGGTGCTGGAATTGATCCTTGCGGAACACCAGCATTTATGATAAGTGAGTCAGATGAAACTCCGTCGACCACAACATGGAGATACCTGTTTGAGAGAAAACTAGCTAGCAGAGAACATAGCTTGGGAGGCAAGCCATAAGATGAAAGCTTGGCGAGGAGTCCGTGGTGCCAGAATCGATCAAATGCCTAGGAGATATCAAGGGCCACGGCTTAGGTTTCACCATATTTTTCAATAGATTGCTGCCATATATGTGAGATATAAGCGAGCAGGTCACCAGTTGATGTCTGATGACGGAAGCCATATTGCCTATCGTTGATAATACCTGAATGTTCCATCAGGTATTCTATGAGCTCGATGTGGATAGCTTTCTTCGTGATCTTTGAAATAATAGATAGCAGTTTGATCGGTCTGTATAGTTGCTAGGTAGGGTCTTTTTGCCTTTTTTAGGAACTGGTATACATTATCAAATTTGTTAATATGAAGTCGGAGAAAAAAATCTTGAATACCTACTTGAATGTTTGTACATGTGATCCTTGAGGATGGATCTTCCTGTGAATCCCCGCTCGCATATACCGCAAATAAATGGTCGAGCCTCGCCATGCACCAATTCGTGCCTCCTCAGATTCCTCTTCCGAAACGTCGAATACAGGCAGGTATGACAGTTGTGGATTCTCATCACTTTTTTTGCACGGCATTTTCTCATGTGTCTCTTCAGGAGGTCGAATCGACTGCCCTTGTAATCGCATTGTTGACAAGCGAACGGCTTTATTTGATCGACTGTAGAATTTCTGGAAAAAGACAAAAAGTTACTACGCTTCTTTGCTTTGGTATATTATTCTATCGATATAGCCACGATATTAATAAATCTTTTTTAAAGTAACTTTTCCGCGAGATTTTTTGTTTTGGAAGTTGAACTTCCTCGTACGATTGCACTTTTTCGCACCATTTCTACTTTTCCCCACGATTTTATCGGGATATTATATGTGGTTGTTTTCGAATACTTACATTGGCAATGTATTACGAGAGCTATTCTGAAATAAATCAAGAGATCGTAGATATGCATTGATTTCACCACGTACTTTTTATAATCTTCCCCATTCTGTCACATTTTCCACTAACTGTTCGGTTTCCAAGTTTAAAATATTCGCTAAATAGATTTCAAATGGAGGGGTCACGTGGTGCCTTGTATTGAAGACCTTCCGATTTTCTATATACAACATCATTTGTTTGTGCAAATCGGCCAAGACATTTCAAACTGACAAGCGTTTGAGACACCCTTTACATTTAAAAAAAAAAGTAGAAATGTGCCCTCTTGACACAAGGCCACGTGACCACAACCATTTTCATGTCAAAAAGTAGTGACTTTTCTACCTGAATTTTACCCGACCTTGTTCTACTGAGAAGTCAATAGGAGGAAGGACTATTTACGTCCTCAGTGTATAATCGTCTATCAAATGCTTCATACAAGATATGAATCACAGAAGAAGAATCAAGAAATGATTGGAATGAGGTCTTAGCTTTATACTCATAAGATACTCTAAAAAACATTGAGCTGATAATATACGTCATAATTAAGTATATACGCACCTATTCAATGTATCAGATATGTTGGAGAAATCTTCATCATTACCATCTTCTTCGTTCCTTTTTCCTGCTTCTTCTTTTCCATCAGGATAATCATCATCATCCTCCTCAGATTCCGGATCGCTTATGCATATCAAATCTGGTATTGTTCTATTTTCTTCAGAAGTTGTAGCAACATCATAACTTATAGCTAATTCTTCGACAGCATCTTCAGCATCCTGTATTTTCTCAATATCTATTTTGTCCCCAAGATTCAACTTGTTCTTTTCCACATACATGAATATCTTCTCTTCGGTTTGGAAGCATCTCAGTTTGAAGAGGTAGGTATACCATAACATATTGTAACATGTGTTGCAAATTATTGGGCTATCAGTCATGTCAAGATCCTGAAAAAGCAATAAGCATAAATAGTTCAATCAACAATCCAAAAAAAGTTGGATATAAGAAACAAATATTGTAGTCGGAATTTTTTTTTACAATTATAGAGGGAAGTGCCATAAACATGGTAATTTTTTCAAGTTGATCTTGAATAATTCAAAAATTGCTACCTTCAGCGACAAAATGTGGGTATATAAAATTGAACAACATAAGATTTTCTATGAAGAAAGTCCCTATTGTTTCATCGTTGAAAAAGAACTCGTGTGACAAAGATGGAATCTATCGTACTATAATCAAACTAGCTGTTGACATCATTGGGAATTGATTTCTTGATACAATAAATTCATCTGTGAATATTGGGTTTTTTCCTGACGTATGGAGAATATCTACAGCGATTCCGATTCCAAAAGTACCTATTACACAATTTGCAGCTCAACATCAATACATTACCAATAATTAAAAAACTGTTGGAGCTTTTCGTCATAGATCAACTTCTTGAATTCATCAGTTCAAATGATATACTCATTTGAACAACAATCAGGTTTTAGGGAAAGTCAGTGTGAAACGGCTCTTCAGGTTTCTATTTTCAAAATAGAAAGTTGATATTCATGATAAGAAAATCATCGGGGTGGTTTTCTTGGACTCACCATTTGAAATTATAAAAAGAGAATTACTTTTGAACAAATTCAACAAATATGAAATCGGCGGAAAGGTTTTCGAATGGTTTCAGACCTATCTACAAAATAGAGAAGAACTTGTCGAATACACTTACTCAAATAGAGAAAAGGTCATGCATTGAGTACCACAAGGATCGGTACTGGGACCAATATTATTTATTTTATTCATAAATGACATTATACACCACTTTACTCCTCTGGTGAAAAAGAGAATGTGGATCTGTGATGATGGACTCAAAATTAATGTTACAAATCCGAAATTTATGATTATATCTTTGAAAGCAAATTCAAAAATGATCAAGGAAAATGAAATAAAATTCCATTTTCAAATAATCGGAGAAATCATTGGAGAAGTGAAGATTTTTCTGTTACTTATCACGTAAAACACCAATTTCTTACCATTAATAGTTATTCAACCAGCTAGGGTATCATTGAGGGCGATTAATGATCGAGATATTTCAACATGCGAGCAAAGCGAGCGGGTTAATGCTCGAGATTATTAATCGCATTTTAATATACAAGTTGGTTACAAAAATTTTCCGTCAACTATATTTCTCATTTATCCTGCAATGAAAAAACGTCTGTCGAAATAATTAACATATAGAAAATGAATTCCTTGTGTTATAAAACAGGAATAAAATCGTTACGGAAACTTGGAAAGGCTAAACCGTTTACGGATAATCTTTGATGAAATCCATATTTTCGATTTAAATGCAGATTACGTGAGTTATAGCACAAACAGTGTATGGTTGGTTGCCTATGCTACAATCGTGCATTGATAGACAAATCTTTCATTAATTAATTAAACTTATTCGTTAATACCGCGGTTGACGGAAAACTTTAATTTTGATACATCTCTTTTTTCATCCCCTGTATCTCAGAAACTATTCAATGTAGACCAAAAATGAATATAAACTGTTTAATAGGATATTTCATGTTTTCCAATTTGATATTCCTACATGCATTTGCTAGAGGCCGTGATTCTCGAATTATTCAGGAACAACTTCAAAATATGACCTTCAAACGCACGTTTATCGCCCGATTGGTCAGGACTTCTAGTATGTTGTTCAGGACATTTTGCACTAACGATTTACAAAAATTTGCAACTACACGATGTTTTCCTCCTATTTTTTGTTCGTTTAATGAACTAATAAAATATATCCTGAATATTTGTTCAGGAAAGGGACCATTCTTGTGTAGTTGGAAAAGTGAATACAATTGTTTTTGTAGACGAATAATGATGCAATCCCATCTACAACACATACCTACCTATCTATGTAAAAAACTGAAACTATTATAACAACTTACCACTTCTGGTACGGTTTTCTCGATCATATAGCTGATTTGCAAATTTTCAAAATACAAATTTTTGGCGAAGTCGTTGATGAACATAAAAGTTTCACCAATTTCGATATTGGCCAAACAAGTTCGACAAATATAAGGAAAGGAACTGTCTTCCTCTAGTTTTTCTTCACGCAATATTTCTGTTTGTTTTTGATCCATTTCTCTTATTTTGCAGCACAGCCTTTCATAATATGAAACCCAGACCTCCCGCCAGAACCGATACTATATAAGATGTGCTGAAATCTGCTGCTACCACTCCACTCCCCTTGACCAGATAGCCAATTATAAATTATCAGAAATTTTACTATTTTTTTAGTATTATCATTGAACTTTATTGGTTAATACAGTGTTTTTTTATTACGAATATACCACAGATGTACTTTTACCATTTCTGCGAATAGTGCATAGGTAGAAGGGTGAAGAGGTTCGCATTGCCATCTACGATTCTATAATGTGCGATTTGTCTGAAAGTCTCAAAAGTTGGTGGTACAAAAAAGGGTCCACCAGATGTACCGATGAACAAAAAAGACATGAAAACAAGCAGGATTCTTTTTATGATGAGACTTCTCGTATGCTAATTCATCTATTCAAATTCGAAGTAAATAAACATGTAGAAACAATTTTATAGTGAATATGAAACATACCTGCCTATTTTCATGCTTCGTTTCATTTAACAAATTGTGCCCAATTGTTTGTTGATGAAGTGATAATAATACTAATAATAGGAAATTAGTATAGAATGCAGACATATTGAATAATATACAAGGAGTTTCATAATATGTGGTACGCACTTCGAAAGTTGATATAGGGGGTCTCAAGAAACTGAGAAAGTTCCCATGGACGAAGGTCGTAAAAGGTTTAATTTGCGAATATTCATATAATTTTCTTTTGTCCACCCTGTATGGATTTCGTGGTGGCAAGATTTCTGTTATGTGATCATAGTTATATATAGTAATCTGCTTCATGAAATTTTGGAGTTGAAATTTGGATATTCCGTTTTTTCGAAAACAGTGTAGGTACCTTAAGGAGTTCCAAAAGTTGGTGCTTTTTTTGAAACAATTCATCCTCTTTCATATATTCATTTCGAATGGAATTTCAAAAGGTTTCATCGCCACCCATTTTGTTCTGACGCAGCACACACCAATACCACAGGTACTTAGTGATTCGCCAGACAGTCAAGAATTTTTGTTGAACGGTAATCTAAACAATCCAATGAAATTCATTTTTTATTTTCAACCTCAACATCCTGTGTCGTGTAAACGAAATCCTTCTACGACCTATATGTTTATGGAAACTTTTTAATTTTTTTTAAAATTTCCTATTACCTCGTGAAATGGTGTCCCACACCCACATATATTACTAAACGCCCTGTATTTGATTTTTAATCAAATATTCAGTTTCCAAATATGATTTTTTATCTCTATTATAGCGATGGAGAACATGAATTTGGTATTCATTTTCGCAGAGAAATGCTCGCGTTTCATGGTCAAAATGAATCACATGATACATTTCGTACTCATGCGGTTATGAGTATGAGTGTACCTACGCATGATGAAAGGATATAAAATCTTTATTGAAAGCCTATATAGATTCGTTAGGTACGCCAATAAGAACGCACATAACGACAGCTGTTAGCAGACCCTGGTAACATTTCCTGACCAAACTCACGCTCCATATAGGTTTTCTACAGGAAATCCCAAAATATCATTTGATGGAAATGCTTCGAAATGTTCTTCAAGAAACCTAAAAACAATCAAAATTTCAATAAAAGAGGATTCGGATTATTATTAAAAATGATACATTAGGATTTTGGATCGATCGAAATGAATTGTTAAATTCTACAAGTCGCATTATTAACAACAAACCGTTTGAAAACTACCAACGATTTATAATAAAAGTAAAGTCTTTATGGAGCGAGAATTTCTGTCATCTTTTGGAAGATGAATATTTATAGATTCTTTGTGATTGAATGATATATTGCGTTGATATATAGGTATATCCATATACATTCACGGTCTCTAGCTAGAACCAACATTCGTTTCACTTGGCCACATCAGTTTGGCATACAAATGATCAGAAATATATTTTTATTTTTTCAGCTTTATCAATTATTGGATACCTATCTGTGTAGTCAAATTGGTCATTACATAAGATTCTTTTTCATTATAAATATATTATGCCACAGAATTACTGTTACCATCTCTGTTAATACTGCAAGACTGTAATCTCAGTATAGATCGAATGAAGTCAACTATACATTTTTCTCCGTGTGTATAGAGTGGTTGGATGATCTGTGGCTTCGAGCCTTTTGAAGATTCGAATTTACCGCCATCTCAGCTAAATTCAATCCGATTGGTCGTGGAGTGTATGTGTATTCTGTCATCGAACATAAACAGTCCCTGTTTATGTTCGGTTATTCTGTGATTTCTGTGGCCTTCACACCATCACCACATCACCAACGTACCGTGATCATTGACATTTGTATGACATTTAGTTCCATGTCACTATGTATTTTTTATTTATTTATTTATTCATTATTGATTGATCATTTCTTTCATTCGTCATCTGATTGGAACAATTTAACAAAAAACAAAAATTCATGAGATTGTGAAATTACCAGTGGAAATCAGTTGTAATCATTAGTACAGTATAATGCCATCATTCTTATTTTGTCCAAAGAATATGCACCTTTAAATACAACAGGTGAGATTACTGCATTTTTTCAAATATTTTTGGATTAATCTGGGATGCCTATTCATTCAATACAGATCTGAATTCGTGAACTCACACATAATATAAACCTAGTCCTGGGATATTCATAAGATCACTATGGAAGCAGCGCCTAGACTGCCGATGTTGTCATTTGACTTGAAAGTGTGCACGGAAAACACACACTTTGGTCCACAACTCAAACAGGTATGTGATTGAAAAAACAGGATAAGTATCAGATATGCATTATTCCTATGTTTCATTTTAGTATATTGCTTCTTTTTATCATGAAGACCCTGATTCATACCTCACTGAAATCCATAATTTGGAGTCACTACGTGCAGCTGCTGTGCGCCCTACTATGGATGTCAATGGGGTACAGTTGTTGAAGAAATACTATTGCCAGTTACATTTCCTAAAGTCCAGATTTCCAATGGAAGAGAATAAGGATGCTGCTGTACAGTTTTCTTGGTTAGATTGATTCATAATATGCTCTCTAATTCATTGGCAACAAATGTTTTATTATCATTTTTTGTAGGAAAGATCAACATCTTGATGCAAACTATACTTCAACTGATATTGGATTTGAACTCATGGCAATAATGTATAATATTGGTGCATTGCATTCATACTTGGGTAGTAGTGATACTAGAAGCAATCCTGAAGGAATGAAAATGGCTTGTACACATTTTCAGTGTGCTGCATGGGCATTTCAGGTTAGTAAACACTTAGTATGTGTCCATGAATATGATTACAACATATTCAAAAAGGATGTTCCTTGAATTTTTATTGCAGACAGTGAAAGAGAAGTATCATCAGTTTGTAATTTGTATCTCTTTGATAGAGCTGGTTCATTTTTTCCAACAAGTTAGTTTAGCTCAAGCTCAGGAATGTATTTTGGAAAAAAGTATGCTGGATAACCGAAAAGCAACAATAATTGGTGAGTAACGTCTGACTATCTAACTATTTAGTTGAATGGATATTTTCAATAATATATCACTGTGTGAGAATACTTTTTTTTTTCAGCCAAAGTAGCAGTGCAGGTACACCAATATTATCGTCAGTCTCTGAGTATTTTGGAGTCAGCTAGTGATGATTTATTCAGGGATAAAACCTACAAGGAGTGGATCAAACACTTGCAATTCAAGCTGGCTTATTACAAGTGCATCTCTTTGCTTTATCAAGGACAACAGGCAGAGGAGCAGCAGAAAATGGGGGAGAGAGTAGCTTTTTATCAACTTGCTTGTGAACAGTTGGAAGAAGCAAAAAGATGGGCTAATTCCCTGAAAAATCAACAAGTAATATCTCATTTACATTACAGTCATTAATGTCAAGTACATGATTATTTCAAGAGTCAATAAGACAGCAATTTTCACAGAATATCTATTGAAAAAAATTTGCATCATAAATGGTTTTCTAGGTATTCAAACTTGAAATGAACATGTTTTTTATGCAACTTCCTTAACTGAATTTTATCATCAACTTCAAAAATTCAATAATATTGGCATTTGAAATATGTTTGTTTGTCTGAAATTTTCAGAAACAGCTGCAAATTTTTATACTAAAGTTGATTATCAACTGAATTTGGTTTCATCATATTTACTCAAATTATGGTTCATTCACTTTGTCACAATTGATTTGTTAGGGGCTAACATTCATTCGATTTTTTCTAGAGTTTTTATGTTTGAAATTCAATGCAGAATTAGATTTATTTTGGCCAATTTCCAGGGGTGCATTATCACTCTCATCACATCTATTCATAATTCCATTTTCTTGTGCTGTCCTCTCAATATCAGATGACAATTTAATAGGCAAGTGAACTAATTTCTTATCTCATCAAATTGAATCCTCACTCAAATACCTTTCTATTTCACATTTTTTCAGAATTTTTCGGTTGATTTTAATGTGTCAAAATCATCAATAATGCCATGGTAAATTTCAAACCAATAGAAGTTTACCTCCAGTAAAAACTTATGTCAGGATCTAGTAGGAAGGGGCAAACAATAGCACAGTTGCCATAATATATGTTGAAATACAATTGGGAACTTCAGAAATATTATTTATTCAATAATCCATGAACTCTCAATTATGTATTGGTAATATTCCTAATTAGCTTATGGTTACTAAACATTTGTGTAAATAATAATCATATCAATTCACACTGAAGGACATTTGAACCGTTAAACGCTCCAGTAAACGTGACAACAACGGCGCACGAATTGTGGGCGTGGTCTTGCCAGTTCTCAGCATTCACCACAATGTTGCCAATTCCCCAACATTTACATGATATAATGTTATGAAGTATAAGAAGTATTTGGACATGCTGGTTGCTGGAAAAAGTCAAGAATTGACTATAATATCATGGGTTCCTCCTAGTATGTTTTATTCAACAACATGACTCTAACAATTTTTTGATAACATGATTATAATTGGTGACTTGGCAACCTTGCTTCATGAGACGGTACGTTTGAAACAAGCTCTGAATTTCAACAATTTTGAACAACACATACACTCATTATAAAAAAAAGCATAAGAAGTAAGTGTTGCAAAAATTACTTCAGGTTAGGTTAGGTTTGGATTTTTATTATAATGAGTTGTTGTACCTCTTTAATCTGCAGAAAAGTGGCATTTGCTGTTGACATCACTAACAATATCTCTTCAAATATTTTGAATACATGATTTTCACTTGAAAAAAAATTTCTTTGCAGTCGGAAATACAAGAAGGTTTGGCTTTTACTCAAGATGTTGTTGAGGGCAAAAGAAAAGCTGCCAAAAACGAAAATGAATTCATTTATCATGAGTCTGTTCCCGATAAGGACCGTCTAGAAGAAGTTAAAGGTGCCTCTCTGGTTAAGGGCATACCTTTCAGCATAAATGATACAGAGGTGAATACACTTGTGGTGAAATAATTGTTAACTACTGATTATTAGTACTAGTCTGCAGTAGAACTCCATAGTAGACGACTTTGTGTTTCTGATCCCTGGTATTACTATTAGTAACATGGTCATCAATTTGTTGTGTTAGGTACCTCAGAAATATTGAGCAATTTCCCGGATTTCAATAGAATGGATATTTTCAATAATACATCACTGAGTTTGAATTATCAATGTGGTTTATTGTCATTAGATTTATGCAAAGTTTTTGATACTGTCAACCATAACATTTTATTAAATGAATTATTTGCTATTGGTGTCAGAGGAAAAATTCATGATTGGTTCCAAAATTATCTATCAAATAGGAAACAATATGTTGAAGTGAGTGGTACTTGTAGCTCCTTAATGAACATCTCATGCGGTGTACCACAAGGGTCAGTCTTGGGACCAGTTTTATTTTTAATCTACATAAATTCAATATCAAACTCGGAACTGAGAGGAAAACTTGAATTATTTGCAGATGACATGACATTGATTTATTCCTCTAAAGATTCAAATAATATTATCATGGACATGAAAAGTGATTTAGAGAAAATATCCTCTTGGTTACAAGTTCATAAACTATCTCTCAATTATAACAAATCCTCATATATGTACATAGCAAAAAGAACACTGAACATTTCAAATAGAACACTATCCTTCAACCATAAACTCAGCAAATATACAGATGTTACAGAATTTTTAGGTCTTTGTATTGATGAACAACTATTGTGAAATAAACATATAGATCATTCGAGAAACAAACTTAATCCCATTACAGGCATTTTATTCAAATAAGGAAATTCAATTTCTACTAGATACTTGAAGAGTATTTATTTTTCTCTTATTTACTCAAAATTTCAATACCTCATCTATCTATCTATATGGGGAAGTACCAATATTTCACGTTTGATTCCACTAATGAAATTACAAAATAAAACATTGAGGTGTATTTTCAATTTATATTTTCTCGAACCAACCATGAATTTATACAAACCTAGAGATTTATTAGATCTGACATCACTATATAAACTTAAAATATGTTGTTTTATTCAATTTGTCACATTAAATTGAAAATTTCGAATTTAAATTTGAATGAAATCAATTCATTACATAATCATGAAACAAGACAATCAAATTTACTGATAGCAAATACGTTTAATTCAAATATCGGCAAACAATCCATTTTGCACACAGGAATCGTTCTATACAACTCATTTCCAAGTCTATTGAGGAATATACAGGAAGCAACTAGATTCAAAATTAATTTGAAAAAATATCTGCTTCAGAGACTTTGATAATTCCATTTCTTATTTGAATACCTACTTATGAAAAACAAGGTTGATATTGCATTATATGCATTTTTTTCTTACTTGTTATATCTTATTATAATTTTATAATTGTATGTATAACATTATGTATATTGTTTATGTATCCCTATTATAAACATCTATGTTTCTTGGGGTAATAAAGACAATCAATCAATCAAATACTGGTATTTTTTCATATAATCAGCTTCAATAATATATGCATCTCAAAATTATGTCATATAAAGTTTATGGTCGATCACCGAATTTTGTGATATTTTTTAGGTTTCTGGTCCTCATATTTTCGCCCGACTAGTCCCCATGGAAGCTCACGAGGCTGCATCTTTATATAGTGAGAAAAAAGCCCAAATGTTAAGGAACATAGGCGAACTGATCGAAACCAAAGACCAACAGTTGGCCGAGTTCATGACTTCTTTGCAACTGGATCTGTTGACTAAGGTATATCTTCAAATGATGGATTCTAGATATGAAATTGTTGAGTCTTGAAGATGATTTTAGAAAATTCTCAGCTGCAATTTTCCTTGAATATCCATTTATGAAGTGATAATTAAAGGCACTTTCCACTTGACATTTCAGATGCATCAAGCTACAGGCATACCCCAAGAGCTGATTGACCGAGCTGCAGCCCTCTCTGCTAAACCAACTGCTATACAGGATCTTGTAGGGTCCATGGGAAAGTTGTCAAATATATATCAAGAAGTGGAGTCTAGTTTGAATGAAATTGACCAACTTCTCAAGGTAGAATAAGGGATAAGAAAATAAAATACGATGATTGATTTTTTTATTATTTGATATTGTGACATTTCTTAAATTCGCAATTTGACCTCAGAAGAAGTCGGATTTCTAGTTGAAATACTGAATCGGAATTCTTTTCAGAAAATGGTTTAATTTGAACAACTAATCAACTAATCTTTCAATCATTTGATAAATCTCTAAATGACCCTATATTGTTGAATTCCTGATAAAAATCGTTGAATGAATATGGACTATCATAAGGGTGTCCCATTTAAAAAATTCAATGTCAACTCAAATACTTATCACCCTATATTTTGTCCGAGATATGCAATGTCCCATGTAATTTCTTCTGGTAATTTTTTATTAGGCGAAGCCGCTTCACAAAAACTGATATGAATTTTGAAATCCAAATGCAAAATATGCTTTGAAATTACATGGAATTTCTTGTAATTTTAGGCAAAATTGAATTTTCATGAACACAATTTGAGTGTGGTTTACTGCTGTGTTTTAGTAAGTACGTGAACGTATTTTTCATGAAAAAATAAACAATGAAAATGGAAAAAGCAGTTATCAAAATAGTATTCAAATGCAGTATATACTTCAGAGTTATGGTATTTTATAATGAATAAAGAACCCAAGAGACTTTCTCTGTTTCTTTCCTCAAGATTAACTTCATCATGAATCATCTATCCCTTTGTATCTCCATTCATGATGTTTCTTGATTTACAGTCTTCCACTTCCACATCACCTACTGAAAAAATGAAAGATCATATAAAACAACGTGAAATAAACAAACTTTTTTTTTTCCGGGAATGAAAAACATATTTTTTTCTACAAACGTCAAAAAATGACAAGGTTCGCGCATTGATAACAAATTGCGAAGTGACACTTTTTTTCAGTTTCCTACGTTACCATGATACCTAGCACAAAACAATGTGCGAAGTAAAACAGTGCGCGAAGTACCTACTTCGCGCATTGTAATTTAAAATATATGAGATATTTATATTTCAACTTTATGGTCCCCAATAGAGCAAACATCCACGAAATCATTTATTTCTGAATGTTCACCAATAACTTTGTTCTATCTCTTGGAGCGCACGAAAGGAAATTCCTATTATGTTCGTGGAACATCGTGCGTACCTTTTAAGCCAGTTCAAGACTATTTTTTATATCAAGCTGAGCATATTTCTACTTCAGAACTATATTTTTTGACGTTTGCAGAAAAAATTTTGTTTGCAACTCCAGCGCGAAATACTTTGGTCATCTCGACTATTTTTTAACTCGGCTACGCCTCGTCATATTTCTACCTTAGAACTATATTTTTTGACGTTTGCAGAAAAAATTTTGTTTGCAACTCGAGCGCGAAATACTTTGATCATCTCGACTATTTTTTAACTCGGCTACGCCCCGTTAAAAAATTCAGATCTCGATCACCAAAGTAGCATTTCGCGCTCTAGATACAAAAATAACTATTTTTTATTGTTCTTTCTTAACGTTGTCATATAAAACAACGTGAAATAAACAAACGTTTGTTTTCGGGAATGAAAAACATATTTTTCTTTATTGTTCTTCAACGTTGTTGAAAGAAAGGAAGAAGAAAGTGAAGGATTGTTTCCATTTGTAGTTGGAAGAGGAATCAGAAAAAGGTTACCAAGAAATAATGGGTAAACGACCTTCCAGCATCATAGCCACCGATCTGTCGAGAGAGGCGGCCAAATACAGGGAGGCCCACAGCAAAGCAAACGATTCAAATCAGGCCCTGCACAGGGCGATGACGGCGCACGTAGCCAATTTAAAGGTCCTCCAGCAACCGCTGAAACAGTTGCAGCAACAGCTGCCATTCGTCGAACTACCGAATGGTAATTGACTTTTACCAAAAACGAATAATACAATCTACTCACAGTAATTTGATGAATAAATCGCAAGAAAACTTTTTGAGGATGAATCACTGTATTGAAAGTATTTAAAAAATTGATGTAAATCATGATCATTTCATTTTTCATTGAACTAAAAGTGCCCAAATATTTTAATATTAAGTTGTTCCGTAAAAAATGAACCATTCAAAAATTTGGTATTTCGGAATCGGTTATTGGAGACATATTTTCCAGCAAATATCGATGAAAATTCGCTGAAAGATCTGGAAATGCTTGTCGCCAAAGTTGATGAGATGAAAACACAGAGAGCTATGCTATGGGCTCAGCTAAGAGAGTCTGTACACCAGGATGATATCACTAATTCTTTGGTGACCAAACAACCCAATCAGTCTTTAGAACAACTGTTTCAACAGGAACTTCAAAAACATCAACAACTGGTATGTTAATATGTCATTTCTCAATCATAAGCAATTTTTCATTCTTTAAAAAAATCACTTTTTCGGAAATGTTTGTCGGCATGAAACTATTTTCATGTTTTATATTGTAGACCGTATTGATTGAACAAAATACAGCTGCTCAAGAAAACGTAAAAACAGCACTTGTAGACACATACGCCCAAGCTGTGAAAACCAGAAAATATGTGCAAGACATAATCCACAAACGAAACTCAATGATCTCATTGCTGGTCACATCCTATGACTCTTACGACGACCTCCTAGCCAAAGCCAATAAAGGAATAGAATTCTACACCAAACTAGAAACTAACGTCTCAAAGTTGTTACAAAGAATCAAGAGTGCCTCTAAAGTCCAGCAGGAAGAACGCGAACAAATGCTACTGAAAAACGACATACCTACCAGCAAAGAAGTCATAGCATCAACTCCTGCTGCTCCCAAGCTCAAAGATTACTTGGAGTCCAGGAAGAAAAATCCAGTCAGTGCCTATCCAGATGTTACCAATCCATACCCGAACCAAAACGTCAACTATGGCTTGAGCAGAGACTTGCCACCAGGAGTGAGACCTGCTCCGCTGGGCTCCGAATTCACAGATTCCCCTTCTAGCACCGGTAACGAGCCTTACATTGCGAACGTGCAGTACGGATACAGCCAAATACCACCCAGCAATACAGCCTACCCGTACCCACAACAAGCTTCTGGAGCCTCTCAGGTCGATCAAGACTTAGCGGCGAGAATGAGCAATTTGCTTCAGAGTTCCAAAGTTGATACGCCAGCTCAAAACTTCCCTACCTACTCTTACAGCAACTATATTCCCCAGAACTATGCTACCAATAGTAGTTATCGTCCTCCAACACAAAGCTTCGCAGTTCCTCCAGAGATAACCTCGCCTTATGATCCAGCTAAAGCATATACTAACACCACTAACACCTACCGACCTTTGTCCAGTTATTCCATCATGAATAACAGCAACACTCAGGCGCAGTACTCGGACTCTACGTTTGCAACTCCGACAAGTACTGCGCCTTCAAATGTCGGTTACAGTGCCAGCTACCAGTACCCTAGTTACTCCAATACCGAATATTCCCAACCGGCGCCTACCCCTAGTGGGGCAACCCAAAGTTTGCAGCCTAGTGTAGATACCTATTATCCCCAAGGCTATGCTCCAAATCAGAATGTGTCTCAACCTAGCGAGTCTCCAAGTTTTCCAGAAAATGTGCAGTATCATTCTCTGGAGTACTCCACTTCCGTTAAACCGGATCAAGTAACTTACAACTACAATACTTTTTATTCTTCTCCTGCTGCTAACCTATCTAGCACCCACGTTAGAGAAACTAAAACCCCTTATTATTACCCTTCCACTAGTAGTTCAAACGTACCAACTAGTATGTCTTATACTCCTGCAAGTACCCAGGCTGACTCTAGTTATCAGCGAGTCGACTCAAACATTCCCACATATTCCTCAAATGTTGCCAACTATGGTACAGCCTACCTCTACCCTGGTACACAATCTCAAGCAGCCGCTGTGCCTACTTACTCTGGTGGTCAGTTCTACCAAGACCCTCAGAAATATTCCCAGCAAACTGGTACTGAACAACAGGCTGTGAGTGATCAATACAGTCAGTATTATGCTAGCATGAGCCAGGCTTATCCGGATCAGTATTATCAACAGCCTAGCGGAGCTGTTGCTGGGCAGCAAAGTGATCAAACTCGGGCTCCTGCTACTTATGTCCAGCAAAATCAACAAGCTGCTAGTACGGGGACACAGGTCAACAGCACAGAGTCGAACATAGATCTGCTGAGCGGTCTCGACTTCACGATCAGCCAGGCTCCTTTGGTGCCCCAACAGAACGTCGCGAAGCTCCAACCGAGCGAGGTGAATGCAGCCAGCTCTGATACGAAGCTGAGCGCTGCCAAACCTGCTTCGGCAAAAGAAATGGAGGTGGTAGAGATCAAACGGCCGAGCTTCAAAATTCTACCAAGCAAGCCGTTGACCAATGCTGACGTCAAGAGGTTGTTCGAGCAGGAGGTGGAGAAGTATGAGAAGTTTGTGGAGACGCTGACTATCAAGACTCTGAGCGGGCCTACCAATTTGGATGTGAAGTGGAAGGAGATTCAGGACAAACAGGAGTGCGACGCGCAGAGGAGGATTATTTCTGTGGCGAGGTGTTATCCGATGAAAAATAGGTTTCCGGATATTTTGCCTTATGATTATTCCAGAATCGAGTTGCATGGTACCAAAGATGACTATATAAATGCTTCAATTATCAAAGTGAGTATTGTACCATCTGAGATTTTTTATCAGTTAGCACGATCGAAGTTTATAATTGTTTTCAGGACATTTCATTGTATGCTCCAGCTTTTATAGTGACTCAGGCGCCATTGTCTTCAACCATTGGCGATTTTTGGACTATGATCAGAGAACAACAGGTTGAATTGATCTTTTGCATCATGGGAGATAAGGAGGTAACTGATTGTTACTCAAATAACCTAGAAATTGGTTATAACTAGATGTTTATGAGGCAGTATTTGCGTAAACTTGAAAAACATGTTTACTTTTAAAACTGTTACAGACTTTTTTGACCAGAGCCAGCTTTTTTTAATATCCAGTTTTCTCTAAGGGTTTATAGAAAAGTTTAGACTTAGATATATGATTCTGGGTTGATTTTGATTCCCTTTTTAGATTGAAGATGTTTATTGGCCGAAAGAGAAAGGCCAGAGTATGAGCGTCTTGAACATGGTGATTACCCTACAAAGTGTGATAGTTAAATCTCATTGGACTGAAAGACTGATTGCTGTGAATTTGCCTGAAAAAAGGGATTCTCGAGTGGTTATGCATTTACAGTTTACCTCTTGGCCTGGAAGGTGAGAAAAAAATATCATCTAATAAAATTGGTATCAATTTGAAAACTTCACAGCTTTTAGTAATGTCCACGATTCTGCAAATGAAAATATGGGTATTGCAATGTATAGGGTGGTCTCAACAGTGAGCAAATCTGATCGCAATAGAAAAAAATCATCAAAAATTGCCCTTATGAAAGTAGTAAAATAACGAAGTTCAAAACTCACCGATAGAATTGACCATATTACGATCCTGTTATATTCACCATCTCTGGTGGAAATGTTCAATTGATAATATCTCCGTTGTTATGGAACTTTTATTGAGGCAATATTTGGTGGATTTGTATATTTCATTGAATTCTACATCCTCTTGAAAAAAAATGCATCACTTTTGAGAACACCCTGCATAAGGATGAATCAGTTACAATATTTAACTGTTCATGTTTTTCATCCAGAAGCTTATGAATAGCTAATAGCGAATTCCAGAGGAGTGTTTCTGCACTTGATGTATATGTTTCCTTCTTACTCGCATGTGTTAAAATGAAGTAAATATAGTCAGTGGAGATACACGTGGGGTGTTCCTGCCAATGGAATTTGCTATAAGGTACTTTGCGACTAAACTGACAAATGACATTCCTCGAAAGAATACCGTAAACAAGTTTGAACTTGTCAGTTGAAATAATATCGAGTCGCCGTCGAGTTCTTCGTTATTTCAATAAAAATAAAACCATAATGGATTATAATAATAATAATAATCTTTATTTTGAGGACTTATGTAAATACTATCACAGACAGTAAGGAAATATTTAAACAAAATAGTGTCTAGATCTAGGGTTTTACATTTCAAAATACTCACCTACATTATATGGTTCTAGTTTTATTAATAGCTCATGTACTTTTGTTTTGAACTTGTTGACGTTATTAGAGAGCAATTTAATAGTACTCGGCAATTTGTTATACATTTTAATGCAATTATATGTGGCTCCATGTTCTGTGGCTATTAATCTATGTCGTGGATACACTAGATTTTTAGTCCTCAAACAGTTATCATTTGATACAAAATTATTGAACAAGTATTTCCTGAATGAAAACTCCTATTACAGTAAGAATTTTATCCTCTCTAAATCTTCCTCTGCATGAAACCACATTTTTCATATTAAGCATTGTTCGAAGCATTCTCTTTTGTACTATAAAGACCCTTTCAGTACAGCTACTACCCCCATAAAACATTATCCCATATCTATAAATTGATTCAAAATTTGCAAAGTACACCATTCTTAGAACATTTAAATGTAAATAACTTTTCAGGACTCTTATACTACCCTCATATTAGCAAAAAATGTTCACGAGAATCAAAAACCTCCCTTCGTGTTCACAGTCTCTTCCCCACCACCACCGACCCCTTCGTCAGCTACGTCCTCGAGCTGATCGGTCTCTTCCAGCAGCAGCGCTGCCCCACTCGCCCCGTCCTCGTGCACTGCGCCTCGGGTTCGGGCCGCAGCGGGCTCGCCTGCCTCCTCACGGCCGCCATTTTGGATGTGGCCAACAACGCCAACGTGGTGCCCGACCTGGCCGCCCTAGCGTCTAAAGTGGGCGGATGTAGAAGGAACGCGCTGAGGGACCGAGAGCATCTCAAGTTTGCCTATGAGTGCTGGTTGGGGTACATGAAGCAGGTGGTTTCGCAAGGTGAGGATCGTGAAATCGTGAATTGTTGGGATAACTCTGCGCGAGATTGTTGCCAGATGATTGATAGTCTTCATTGATAGACACCAAGATTTATTCATAAATCATTTAAAAGTACACGATAACAATTCCAATCGCCATACATGGATAAAGGAATGAAATCGTGAATGGTGGGGATAACTGATGCAGAATAATTGCCAGAGAATTAATATTCTTCATGGATAGACAACAAGATTCATTCATAAATCATTGAAAAATTATAGGACAACAATCCTAAACGCCAAACACGGAAAAATAAATGAAATCGCGAATGGTGGGAATAACTGTGCGCGAGATCGTTGCCAGATAATTGATATTCTTCATAGTCTACTCCGCGATTCGTCCATGAATCATTGAAAATTATACGACAACAATATTGAACGCCAAACACGGGGGAATGAGTGATACCGAAAGTGGTGGGGATAACTCTGCGAACTCGCCTGCCTTCTCACGGTGGCCATCTTGAACGTGGATAACAACCCCAACGCAGTGTTCGAATTGGCCGCCCTGGCGTCCAAAGTGGGCAGGTTCAGGAGGAATGCGCTAAGGAACCGGGAGAATCTCAAGTTTGCTTATGAGTGCTGGTTGGGGTACATGAAGCAGGTGGTTTCGCAAGGTGAGGATCGTGGAATCGTGAATTGTAGGGATAACTCTGCTGAGAAATAGACAGAGAGATAAGACACCAGATTCATTCATAAATCATTTAAAAGTACACGATAACAATCCTAATCGCCATACATGGATAAACGAATAAAATCGCAAATTGTGTGTAGATAACTTGTAGAATCATCGCCAGAGAATTGGTATTCTTCATAGATAGACGACATGATTCATTCATAAATCATTGAAAATTATACGGCAACAATCCTAAATGCCAAACACGGATAAATGAATGAAATAGGAATGGTGGGGATAACTCTGCGCGAGATCGTTGCTAGATAATTGATATTCTTCATAGTCTACTCCGCGATTCATCCATGAATCATTGAAAATTATACGACAACAATATTGAACGCCAAACACGGGGGAATGAGTGATACCGCAAATGGTGGGGATAACTCTGCGAACTCGCCTGCCTTCTCACGGTGGCCATCTTGAACGTGGCCAACAACCCCAACGCAGTGTTCGAATTGGCCGCCCTGGCGTCCAAAGTGGGCAGGTTGAGGAGGAATGCGCTAAGGGACCGGAAGAATCTCAAGTTTGCTTATGAGTGCTGGTTGGGGTACATGAAGCAGGTGGTTTCGCAAGGTGTGGATCGCGAAATCGTGAATTGTGGGGATAACTCTGCTGAGAATCATTGCCAGGGAATTGATATTCTTCATTGATAGACACCAAGATTCATTCATAAATCATTTGAAAGTACACGATAACAATTCTAATCGCCATACATGGATAAACGAATGAAATCGTGAATGGTGGGGATAACTGGTGCAGAATAATTGCCAGAGAATTAATATTCTTCATGGATAGACAACAAGATTCATTCATAAATGATTGAAAATTTATAGGACAACAATCCTAAACGCCAAACACGGAAAAATAAATGAAATCGCGAATGGTGGGAATAACTGTGCGCGAGATCGTTGCCATATAATTGATATTCTTCATAGTCTACTCCGCGATTCATTCATGAATTATTGAAAACTATACGACAACAATATTGAACGCCAAACACGGAAGAATGAGTGATACCGCGAATGGTGGGGATAACTCTAAGAACTCGCCTACCTTCTCACGGTGACCATCTTGGACGTGGCCAACAACCCCAACGCAGTGTTCGACTTGGCCGCCCTGGCGTCCAAAGTGGGCGGGAGCATTTCAAGTTTGCTTATGAGTGCTTGTTGGGGTACATGAAGCAGGTGGTTTCGCAAGGTGAGGATCGTGAAATCGTGAATTGTGGGGATAACTCTGCTGAGAATCATTGCTAGAGAATTGATATTCTTCATAGATAGACACCAAGATTCATTCATAAATCATTTGAAAGTACACGATAACAATTCTAATCGCCATACATGGATAAACGAATGAAATCGTGAATGGTGGGGATAACTGTGCAGAATAATTGCCAGACAATTGATATTCTTCATAGATATAGACAACAGGATTCATTCATAAATCACTGAAAATTATACAACAACACTCCTTAACGCAGAAAACGGATAAATAAATGAAATCGCGAATGGTGGGAATTACTGTGCACGAGATCGTTGCCATATAATTGATATTCTTCATAGTCTACTCCGCGATTCATTCATGAATTATTGAAAACTATACGACAACAATATTGAACGCCAAACACGGAAGAATGAGTGATACCGCGAATGGTGGGGATAACTCTAAGAACTCGCCTGCCTTCTCACGGTGGCCATCTTGGACGTGGCCAACAACCCCAATGCAGTGTTCGACTTGGCCGCCCTGGCGTCCAAAGTGGGCGGGAGCATCTCAAGTGTGCTTATGAGTGCTTGTTGGGGTACATGAAACAGGTAGTTTCGCTGAGGAACTCGGACTAAATAACAATGAATATACACCGCGATTCATCATGAATCGTTCAAAGGTATACGACAAACAATTCTGAACGGCAAACACGGATGAATGAATGAAATCGCGAAAGTCTGCGAGATCGTTGTCAGAAAATTGATATTTTTCATAGGTAGACACCACACCATGAATCATACATAAATCATGAAAAGTATACGACAATCATCCTAAATGCCAAACGCAGATAGTTAAATGAAATCGTGAATAGTGGGGATAACTCTGCTGAGAATTATTGCCAGAGAATTGATATTCTTCATTGATAGACTCCAAAATTCATTCATAAATCATTTAAAAGTACAAAATAACAATCCTAATCGCCATACATGGATAAACGAATGACACCGCAAATTGTGTGGAGATAACTTGTAGAATCATCGCCAGAGAATTGATATTCTTCATAGATAGACGACATGATTCATTCATAAATCATTGAAAATTATACAACAATCCTAAATGCCAAACACGGATGAATGAAATAGCGAATGGTGGGGATAACTCTGCGGAATCATTGCCAGAGAATTTTTATTCTCCATTTTTATAGATAAATTGCAAATACAGGGTGTCCGAAAAGGTCATGCCGTAAATGATAGGGCTGATATAAAGCCTATCTCATTTCTTTACAGAGCTATCGACCTTGTAAGTTCCTGCAAGTCCATATAAAAGGCATGCTCATCATTACTAAACTCATCCATGCTTTTACCAAAGTATTGAAGACTGAAAATAATTTGAGGAACTATGTCAATGACCACAACTACCATGATGTTATTGAATAAATAGAGTTTTTATCTACTCTGTCAAATTTGTCACCTTTGTCAAAAGTTCCTCCATTCAACGAAAAAAAAAAAAAAAAAATCACTGAACATCCGTTTACATAAGAAAAGAAGCATCAGTATGAGTTGATTGTGTTGCCTTGATAGTTATACATGAAATATTTTTTATTCAAACTTTCAAGGTCAATAGCTCAGTAACAATGTGCGATAGAATTCTTTTCTCATATATCAAGTACTTACATTATTTTGGGTCACTGTTAGCCTATAATTTACGTCATGACCTTTCCGGATTAGAAGTATGAAATAATAAGATGTGCAGGCTCATTGAAAATTGATTTTTTAGTGGAGTTTTAGTCTTGAAGTCAAATGAATATGTTTTTTGCAGATAAAATGAAAAGGAGAATGAATGAACCAGTGCCTATGCCTATCGTTGAATGTTTACAACCCACAGATGTGGTAGAGACAAATCAGGATCCTCTAAGTACCTTGGATCCTTTTTGGGCAAGTAAAAAATGATAAGAAAATCAAGTTTATTTTTACATAATATATACAGATACCTATTACAAACATGTTGAACCTAATACAATATGAATATACCTACCTACATGTTCATAATATTTAACTTATTTTACTTTAAATGTTATTAGTTTTTAAATAATGTGACTGAAATTTTACCTTTGAGATGATTTGATGGACATCTGTTCAATATATTTATTTCGTTTATATTTCAGGCTTATGTTATATTATTCGTTTGAGATTTGATTATCACCAATTTGTAACTATACCTACTGAGTAAAAAATAAAGCTATTGTTTAGATTTAATACCTGTATTATCCAATCAGATATATATTTCACCTCATTCATGATTTTAGTGGGTTCATGAATCATTTCATGATTGATTTCAGTAATAAATATAAGACCTCAAAAATGACGAAAGCATGGTTGGCATTATTTCAGGAAGAAAAACTCTTTAACAGGATCAAGGAAGATTTTCCGTGATGAAATTGAATCTAATAATTGCATATTTTGACTGAAGATACTTCCTCGTACAAGAACGGAATATTTAAAAAACAAATTATCAACAGTGATACAGGTAGAAGATAAATTAAACAAATCATTTAGTCATGACACTGATTAGAAGGTATAACAAAAAGTACAACAATGGGTCTGTTCCAGTAAAAAACCGGATTTGTAACGAAATACGTTCAAGAACCTTTTTCAAATCGGTCCTTTTCAGGGCCACAACTCATATAATTAAAAACATATATTAGTTTGAAAAAAATTTAAGGGATTTCCGTATAAACATTTTTTTGGCCTAAATTTCAGGTTATAGGAACAAGATATTATCGAGATGCGGTTTTCACGAGCTTGTTTAGGGGCAGAGTTTAGCAACTCTTAAATGATAGAAAAATAATACCAATGCATTCTATTTATTCGAGAAAATAAAATAATTTCTGTCGGAATGTCGAAAAGTGCCCTCTATAGTAGTGACATGAGAAACTGGCGGTACTTCAAATATTATAACATTTGAAGCCCAAGAATATTTAGCTCTTCTCAACTAGCCCAAGTTCTTTTAAATCAGCTCTGCTGTTCCGAAGATTCAGGGTGTTTTTCACGGACACCTTGCAATATCCCCCACCACTTTATTTTCAGAAATACAGCAATAATTGTCTAACAAAAAAGTCCAGATAATCCCCGACTTTGAAGATCAGGTATTTTTTTGTTTGGTTAATATTGCGAAATTCACACAAACATCACTTTTTATATTCAAGATTGCAGTTACGCTACCTAGCGGCAATTTCAGAAGCTTGAAAATATCTTCCAGGTTTTTCTCTTGGCCGGCGTTTTGGTGATTACATTTTTTCTCAAGAGCCTCTACGATAGATAGTTTCCCAGATACAGTACCTCCCATATAGCACCACTACGTCCCCAAAACGTACTGAGAACGTTTCGTACGTACTCTGGGGGCGTCCAGATTAGTACCGTAGACGTACTAGGTACGTACTGGGGACGTCCAGATTCCTTGCATTTGTACATCCCCAGTACGTCCATTGAGGACCATGAATACCAGAATCAACATAAATTCGCCTTTTTTACTCAGATAGTTGAAAAAGAGATATAGGGAGAGTAGAAAATATCTTATTCTGAATAAAAATTTTAAAAAAATGCGCTCCTACCGGGGATCGATCCCAGAACCTTTAGATTACCGGGCAGATGCTCTACCTACTCTACGCAACGGGAGATAACAACCTCGAGCTCAAATCTACTAGTTTATTTTTCCCTTGCATAACAAATAAAACCATTTTATTTACAACCATATACAGGGTGGCCCACGGTCGATGGTACCTTAGACGTATACGGAAAACGGTACATTGGATTATCCTGAAAATTTGGTTACTCTAATAAGCGTTATTTGTGATCTAACGATTCAAAATATTTTCAGCGAAGCAGCGTTGCCACTTTTACCAAAAAGTAGCATTATCTTTGTTATTTCAAATAGAACACCCTGTATTTTATTGCGTTTTTAGATTCTTCTCGAAGAGCTGATTCCATCAATGTATCACACTTGGGGTCTAGCAGGAATCATTACAGAGATATAGGGTGTTCAAAATCGAGGTTTTTCAACTTTAGGATTTTTTTGTGTCGAAAGTATTCATCATTAGTCAAAACGGCTCACATGTCCCTATATCATCTTTTGATTAACTATTTACCGACATTTAATTGGAAAAAATACAGGATGGTCAAGATTCAGAATTTTGATCACCCTGTATCTGTTCCAGTTAAATGTCAGTAGATAGTAAATCAAAAGTTAAGATAGGGACATGTAAGCCGTTTTGATCGATAATGAATAGTTTCGACACAAAAAATTCCTGAAATTGAAAAATCTCGATTTTGAACACCCTATATCTCTGTAATAATTCCTTCTAGACCCCAAGTGTGATACATTGATGAAATCAGCTCTTCAAGAAGAATCTAAAAACGCAATGAAATACAGGGTGGTAATCCATTTGAAATAACTAAGATGATGCTACTTTTTGGAAAAGTGGCAACGCTGCATCGCTGAAAATATTTTGAATCGTTAGATCATAAACGGTTATTATGGAGTTACCAAATTTTCAGGATAATCCAATGTACCGTTTTCCGTATACGTCTAAGGTACCATCGACCGTGGGCGACCCTGTACGTAATGTTGTCATTACTAACGTTAATGAAGGTTGGGAAGTGTCCATGGACGTATAAACTTCTCACCCTCACTTCATTTTCGAATTTCTAGTATATTCGGAACGAAACAGAGATTTATAAATTTTGATCGAAATATGATGGTTGTGAATAAAAATAGTATAGGTACATATCGGTAGGAAGTCTTATTCCTGAGATTATAGCTGTCTCGAAATTATAGCTAACCTCGACGCTTTGCGTCTCGTTTACCTAAATTGGTATGAATCACTTCCCGTGTTCCCACCTCGGTGTGAAATATACTATTTCACGGTACTAAGTAATTTCATCCTTCAGTTTTCTGTAACCGAGGTTAAAATCAATTCAATAGTCGCGCCATCTATGCGCCAGTAGCGACAGTGCACCACCATTTCTTCCTATCACACTTCCCCAATTTCCCCGCATTTCCACAGTGCGTCGTTGCATCATCGACTACCGGCTGCCGTTATATCTTTTGTTACCTTCCTAGCCGCCTTGCTACAACCCTCGTCCATGCGTTCGTAACCATATCAGTTGCGCATATCGCTCACTTTCACCTCTCCATACCTCTCGCTATATCATGCGTCGCGCAGCCACTGCACGCAACGCAACCAAACGCAACCTTCCGCTTTTCCATCTCGAATCCTAAACCCAAAATCACACGCACCGCGAAGGTAAATTTTGACATGCGCCAATAAATGAGGTGCAAGAGTTGGTGTGCCAGTGTACGAAACCAGCACTGAATTGATTGTTTACCGACGAGAGATGTCAGAAATGCATCGTACGCTGGCATAGTTTTTATTTTATTTTTTTCGTTGAACACACTACGTTCAGTAAATGTTGTGATATTTGTGATAATGTTAGATTAGATAGTTTTTTCCCGTTGTACCTGAAATTAGCTGTGTGTGATCAGATGGAGTTCTGAAAGTTCGTGATTAGCCGAGATTTCTTGCATTTTTCAACCAGGTGAGTGCAACTTTCACTTGTACGCTTTGTTTGACCTCTACGTTCAGTCAGGAAACCCACAAAAACGTTAGAAATGCCGCAGGCGAAGTGGTTTTTGATGATTACCTACCTATACATGCATTCTTTCAAACTGCACTGCGGTATTTCGTCACGATTCTAATTGGAATCGAATTAGTATTTAATGAGTAAAACCTTGCAAGAGAAACCCCACGGCTCCCTTTGGGTAGAATCCAATTAGAAGGGATTATTGGGAAGAGGGTTGCATATATACCCTCCTGATTTCAGGCGACTCGGGAGACAAAAGGAGCATAAAGGGATAGGCGCATATGCATCCCTCGCGTATGATATCGATTCTGGTTTCAGGGTTTCAGTCATTCATTCACTATCACCGAAATAAGAGAGCAGAGACCCTAATCATCCATCCCCCACTACTATCCTAGCCCCTATGTCCCTATATATCATCGTTTCTGTCGCTCTCACCTGTTCAGGTAGGTACAGTCGTATTCAATAAAAAAGTGTACAAGTTTAAAAAGAGAGGATTTCTAGTTGTGTAAAACTGGCTCAGCCAATGCTTTGTATTTTCGAGAACCTATGACAACTTTACTATCAACATTTGGTGAACAATCATTCCCGATAGCCCGTAGCCCGATAGCCCTCTCTGTAATATACTTGTACGCTTTTTTTTGAATGCGACTGTACATACATCATCCATCATTCTCGTGTCTCGGATTTTGGGGGTGCATAAAGGATTTCGGGAATACATCAGGGAAGTAGGTGAATATACCAGGTGTCCCAGTCGAGGTCCCAGTATACCTGTTCCAATAGATTATCTCAGCCATTTCGAAAGATGAAAATTTGAAAATTACATGATCTACTACAATTCTAATGCAACTACTTCACTCCATCACTTGGAGACAACATGGACTTCTACAATAGGTTAACAATTCTACTGATTTAAAATTATTATTGAAGTCAACATCAAGATTACAAAAATATCATAGCCTATTGCAATTCGTTTAATTTGAAATTTCAATTGTCCTTTTCTCTATCGAATCAAATTTAAAATACGAAGTGTGATAGATCGTTGGAACGTTAATTTTGAGTAAACATAAAAAAATGCAAAAAATATACAGGGTGCTATATGAAATAAAAAAAGTTATAATCACTTCCGGTCAAACCAGAAGTGACTTTCAGTTCTTGTTTTTCTCAGTTGAAGCTTCCTTGGACGAATTGGAGATCATTAAATTTTCGAATTTTCATTTTTCGAAATGGCTGAGATAATCTCGGATAATTCATTGGAACAGGTATACTGGGACACCCGGTATACGAGGTGTGACTGCGATGACAACAATTTCAGTCACATCTACAATGATTTTGTCGTCG